AATGTTTAGATGTGATGTATATTAAAGTAAGAGAAAGAGATATCTAACAAACTAAGAGAAAATATTCTATTGAGAGTAAACTATTATCAAAGTCACCTTGTATAAATAGAGATTTGATGTCAGTTCATAATTGTAGAGAAAAAGTCTCTTTTGATCTTCACAATCTCCCATGGCTAGTTCCTTCTTCTTCATTGGAAAGAAAGATGGTTCACTCTGCCCATGCCAAGATTACTGCTATCTCAATAAAGGAATAATTAAGAATGCCTATCTCCTTCTTCTTATTAGTAATCTTATTAACAAACTAGCTAGAGTGAACATCTTTTTGAAACTTGACTTGCGCAATAGATATAACAATGTTCACATCAAAGATGGAGATCAATGGAAAGCAGCATTTAAAACCAATTGAGGCCTATTCAAATTTACAGTCATGTTCTTCAGACTTTGCAATTCCTCTGCCACCTTCTAATACATAATGAATAATCTATTCTGAGATATAATTGATAAAGGATGGCTGGTAATCTACATGGATGACATGCTGGTATTCTCAAAAGACAAGAAAACCCACCATCAATGTATCTGATGAGGTCTACAGTGTCTTTGAGAAAATGATCTATTCTTGAAAGCAGAGAAATGCATATTTAGAACTCAAGAAGTAGAATTCCTTAGTCTTATTGTCAAACCTGGTGAACTCCATATGGACCCAATTAAACTCAATGGCATCAGAGACTGGCCCACCTCCACCATGGTCAAACAAGTTCACTCATTCCTTGGCTTTGGAAATTTCTATCAGAAGTTCATTCAATATTATGCTAAACTCACCCATCCACTCCATGATCTTACCAAGAAAGATATACCATGAAACTTGTCTGATCAATGCCAGAGTGCATTTGATGCTCTGAAATAGAATTTCACTTCAACACCAGTACTGCATATTGCTGACTCACTGAAATCCTTCATATTAGAAACTGATGCCAGTAAATTTGCTATAGGTGCAGTTCTTTGCCAATGAGATATGAATGGGGACTGGCACTCATGCAGTTTTCTATCGCAAAGCTTTTTACTGGCAGAAAAGAAATATGAGATCTATAATTGAGAACTCCTCAGCATTATTCATAGTTTGACTACATGGCGCTATTACTTTGAAGAATCCAAGCACAAACTTGTCATCTGCAGTGACCATCAGAATCTCACATACTTCCAGCTTTCCCAATGGCTTACTCCTCAGTAAAGCAGATGGCATTTATTTCTCTCATAATTTAATTATTATATGAAACATGTTTCCAGCAAACACATAATTGTCTCTGACACTCTCTCTCAGAACCTCATATTTGCTGATGGTTCTAATGATGACACCTTCTCCCTCATGCTGCTTGGCTCACTTTTTGTTTACTCCATTAATACAACACTGCACAACAATATTCTCCATGCCACCAATCTCGATCTCATTGTCTGAGAAGCTGTCACTGCTCTCCAGCATGCTAGACTGCATACTCTCTGCTCTGATCTTTCTGATTGGAAAATATGCAATGCCCTTGTGTTTCTTAAATACAGATATTACATTTCTTTGAATAAATCCCTCCACTGATACATTGTTTGCAACCACTATGACCTGCCAGTTATGAGACATCCCAGCATGATGAAAACCTGCAAACTTGTCAGTAGAGATTACTGGTGGCCTGGAATGCATGCATTTGTTACTAATTATATACTCAGCTGCAGTATCTATTAATAGAATAAGGTCAATATACACTCTACAGTTCCACTGCTTCAACCAATTTCATTCAAATCCAACTGTCCATTTGCTGACTACAGCACTGACTTCATCATGGACCTACCTCCTACTCCCAGTGGCTTTGATTCTACTATATCATGGTCATGGTAGACCAAGGCCTTTTGAAGAGAGCAATTTTTACTGTGTGTACTAAAATAATTGATCATGAGGGCACTGGATGAATTCTACATCAGCATGTATACAAGTGATTTAGACCTATAAACTCTCTGATATTGGATAGAGAACTGCAGTTTATATCAAAAGCATTTCAGGAGCTTCTCAAGATTCTGAGAACCAAATTGAAGCTGAGCATGGCTTATCATCCTCAGACTGATGAAGAGATAGAATAAGTCAACCAGAAGCTAGAAGGCTACCTTTGAATCTTCTGCAGAAACAAACCAAAAACTTGGCTGAAGCTTCTAGCTGGTGCAGGGTTTCTACACAATGAATGTGTTCATGAAACTCAAGAAAGGTTGCCATTTTACATTATGATGGAATATCACCTAAAGGCAATTCTCATTGCTTACCCCAAGATGAACATTTCATCAGTGCAAGAGTATGTATAACACTTGCAGAAGATCTGGGATGAACCATGTGTAGCATATAAATTATTTATGAGAAAGATGGCAGAGTGCATCATGAGAAAGTTCACACTGTTCAAGAAAGGGGACAAAGTATGGTTAGAAGAAAAGAATCTTAAGCTCAGATATGAACATTGGAAATTAAAACCAAAAAGGAAAGGACCCTTTGAAATCTCTGAAGTTCTAGAACCTCTTAGATACTGTCTAAAACTACTGAGACATTGGCAAACCCACAATATTCCCCATGCTTTCCTTCTAACTTTCTATCATGAGACTGAAGCACATAGACCAAACTATCTCCAATTGCCTCCTGACCTTACCAAAGACAATAAGAAATATGAAGTAGAAGTGATCATCACACACTGCAAGGTTGCAGGATGATGGAAGTATCTTGTGAAATGAAAAGGATACCCAACATCGGAGAACTTCCTAGAGCCTGAGAGCCACCTGACTTATACCAAGACTATCTTGCAAGCCTATAAGAAGAGGCATCATCTCGATTGAATAAAGCAGAATGGAATCAGCCCTCAGACACTTACTCCATACACTCATCTGCATCTTTCTCACAACTTGCTTCAGTCAAATTGTCCAATTTATCTTTGCTGTCATGTCTGGAGACTCCCGCTTCTGCACCATCATCATTCTCAACAACACTGATGGCACTGTCACCAAATGCATCAATCGACTCTGCCGATTTGCCCTTGACTTTCATATCTGAATCTGCAACACTCAGGCCTGAGTCAATCGAGTCAATGCTGACCTCAAAGAACTCCTTGCCCAAGCTGAAACCCTTCAATGCGAGTTTCTTGCCACCTTCAATGCCCTCGAAGAAGAAACCACTCACCCTCCACTCATCTTGTCACCTCTCGCTCAACCTGTCATCAATCCTTCTGACAACTACATCAGCCCAACTGCTGACACCCTTCTCATTCCACCTCCTCAGCAACCTGACTCTCCTCCAATGCCATCACTTGTATCTATTCCCCCAACACTCATACCAGCTCTGCGACCTGTCTATCCACTGATCCCTACTCACTGATACCCACCTGGCGAAACACCTCCCAATGAACCACCATTATCTGACTTCTTATTCTCCAGTAACCCCTCATCCAATCACCTCACCAGCCCTGAAAGACTATGTCTTACCAATAGAATCCCTTCTGGCCAAATTCGCCAATAATGCTGCAACTGCTGTGATACTACCATTACCATCGCCCCTCTCACTCATGCTGGTACAGCTCTGGGAATCCCAGGAGGTAGTGAAGAAGACTGGAGAGTGCACCACAATGCCAATGTTGAAGAAGAAAGGAAAGAAAGAATTCATATCACTAAAGAATGTCGCAACTGGGGCCCTCATCTCTGGCAGAGAGATGAAATTCTGAGATGAAAAGAAGAAGATTAAATCAGAGAGGCTTTCGAAGACTACGGGAACTTAGATGATGTAGAAGCCTTCAATGTCACTGATAAACCAGTAGGGGATTACTAGACTCAGTAGCTAGGAGCTACTAAATGCCTCAAAAGGGGGTAATGTGACAACTCATCATATGGACTTATACTTTTTCTTTTCTTTTACACTAATAACCTTTTCTATTACATTTCACTTGTCTTCTATATGCTTTTCTTACTCTTTATAGACAATGATCACATGACCTCTTAGTTATATCCTGGTAGTCAGTATTACTTAGCAATTCCCGATACTTCAGACTCGCTTACTGATACTACTCTTCTCCTATTGGCTGAGTTCTTATATTGTATCATACCTTTTCTCTTTTTCTCATTGGATGATCTCTTTCTCTACCTAGGTATATAAACCCCATATATGTACTTAGAATCCTCAACCTGACCTAGGCAATCTACCCTTACCTCTACTCCTTGATTCTGAATCTAAGTTAAGGGCTTCCCATAATAATAGCCTGTCAAGACTTGAATCTGGCTCAATGCCCAGTTGTACTTGGTGTCTGGCATATAGAGTATACCATGTCTTTGGCATATTCTATATGAGTTCAGTAGAAATATCCTAAATTATTTCTCCCTTTCTTTCACTATACAAATATTTTGAATCTTGCTGCAAAGGACCTTAAGTTGAGTCAAGATATCTTGAGAGGCTGATAGGAGATCTTGAAGATTGTCAAGATACATTGTTTGTCATTTTTTTGATATGATTTTGTTAATTTTGACTAAGAAGAGTATAAGAAAAATATGAGAGAATAAAACAGGAAGCAGAAAAAAAGATGAATAAATGATAGAGATAAATGATGTAAAGTAGAGAGATGATATCTAAGATGAATTATTGTAGAACTTTTGTAGAAATATAGTCAAGAGTGAGAGTAGAGAAGAGAGAAATAAAATAGTCAAAAGAAGAAATGGAGTTGTCAAAATTGATAGAACTCGAAGCAGTGTGTGTCTTAAGTGTCTTGAGTCATAGTGTGTATTGTATTGATCCTCTGTAGGGTGTGCACCATATGTATACCTTACAGCGATATGCAGGGCATCTAGCACCAGTTACTTATTGTGGGTGTGAGTATAAGTAGTTGTAAGTCACATGAATCAAACTTATTATGATATCAAGATGACATTATTTTTGCTTATGTCATCACAGATCACATGTTTGATATATCTGTATATAAGTTCTGCAAGCTGAACTTCACTTTCTCACACTTTCCTTTCTTCTTTCTTACTTTCTTTCATTCTCATCTTATGACCTGGCATGTTCAACCCAATTTCTCACAAGAATGGATCACAAAGCACAGCAAGCAAATGTTGACAGAGTTCTACTGTGGCTGGATACAGTGTAATACTCATCTGAATAGCTGGCATGTTCGAAGACAGGTTTGTCATTTTTACTTGATATTCTGATATTTGTATCTCTAATAAAAATCTTCTTCATTACTCTATAACACCAGCACCTGCTCGACCACTGCAAAAGATCTGTGAATCCAGTAAATTTGCCACTATATATAACTTGAACAGCAACTGATGACATGCACAGGACACTGGCCACTTTTATTGCCAGATGGAGCATTGTTCATCATATGATTATCTTTCTCTGCATGACCTTCAAGATCATATGGAGACTGCACATCTTGCCCAGGCAAGGCTTCCATGCCCAGTGTCTGGTAAGTTCGCATCTTTGCATCTTATCTTTGACACTAACAGGTTCATTTTTATAGGATGCTGGAGCAGTATATCCTCAGAGAAGGCACTCGTTGACCATTTCAACAATGTCCATCTTAAATCCAACAACTTGCAATTCCTGCTACTTGCACCCACATCCCTTCCTTCCCCTGCCTCTTTTCTCCAACATCCTCAACCACCTCTGCCCAGTTCCATCCCCTCCTGGAAGGTCACCAGCCCTCTTGTGAATCCTAACTGCAAATACACTCCCTCGCAATCTCAGCCAACTGCTTCACAGGGCAAGCGGCACATCTGGAAGCACATGCAACATGTCACAGAGATGCCAGAGGAGGATGAAGAGGAAGAACCACTCCACACCACTGTTGCTCCTATTGAACCCTATCTCAGCACCCCCTTCACTCAGTACATCATCCAACCCACAAATCCTCTGGACAAAGACACTAGCCTCTCCTGCCATGCTCCTCTTCCTCCAGCCAGCATTTCCCCACCTCCAAGCCCCCCTCCCATCCCCACCATGGGGTACAGTATCTTTACTGCCAAGTATGAGCAGCTGGAACTTGCAGGACTGTTGGATGGCTCAGGAGTATGGGTGCAGGACCCAGTGGATCACCCAGATTCCGGGCATGAGCAGGAGACAATGTAGAAATCATAGTACTCTCATATTACTATTACTCATCTTGTGCATTGATTGACATTGCTTTTCTTCGCTTTTTTCGCTTTATTTGTTTTCATGCTTTCTTAGTATTCATGTAGATTCATTCAAGATACCATTTACTTATTGACTAGACCCATCAATTCATCTTTTCCTTCGCCCTGCAAGGTTCGAACTTGCCAGCTCACCACAATCATAATCACACAACTAGCATCATCAGATGCAAGAGTTTCGTGGTCCACCATGCAATCATTTCACCTGAGACTAGTATACATTTCTGGCTAACTCTACGTATGCTACATTCCGAGTATATTCTGAAGTACATTTACACCCAGCGCTGAACGATCACACCCTTCTCAAGACCGGCGTCTTTGATCGTCTGCTTGTCGTCCTCGAGGACTCGGTTAGGGAACGTAGTGCCAATCGTATACGGACGCGTAATATTCTCCGGACGAGACCTACGCGGTAGAATGTCAACCATAATCGCTACGTGTATGAGAGACGGTGAACGTACGCGTTGATGAAGTTTCGTATGTCGCCCACGGTATGATCGAGGTTCATGTGGCACACCATCCTAGGTTCGCGACAACCACTTAGCGTGACGACACGCAATGCAAAGAGCATGGTAGACACACCTTGTACCATCCGCCAACCGAACCTGCACGCTTGTTGTAGGCTTCGTCTGATCAACCTCGAAACGAGTACCGAAGCTCTCCCTCTGAACAGCCCTCTCCGCAGTCGTACTTGCATCGCCCGAGTGAGGTCCTGCGGGGAAAGAACCAGGCATACCCGTAGTCACTCCAGCTGTAGTGGTAGCAGTTCCGACGCCGGGAACGGGTGAACCCAGACGATGACCAGCGCCAGTGAACGCACGATTCGTCGAAGTATGAGGAATGTACTCTTCTTGAAGGCGGCGAACGACCCGCAGCTCGACCGGTTGACCGACTTCTACGCCGACGACGGCCGGTGGTGCGCGTCTGGTCGAATGTGCGATTAGGTTGTCTGGTGAACAATGGACCACAGTTGCCATACGTACCCTCCGTTAATCTCAGCCAGAATTTGTTCATTGCGTGGGTCACCGTACCGATAGAGCTCGCCATCCTCAATGGAGAACCCATCTCTCCACAATGTGAGATGTCGAATAGCGGTCTCCATTTCTTGCTCTTTGGTGCAAACAGATATTTTGAGTACGGGTTTGAAGCCAGATAATGGATTTGAGACTCACCAGCTGCATTAGGATCGGGGACGAACGTGCTTTCTACCTCATCACTACCCAATCTATGACCGCCACCTGAGAACGCGCTACTATGGGGAGGTCGATTTGAAACACCAGCGATACCAGATCTATGAAAGCACAAGCATTTCGATCATAGTCAGCGAGAGAGGTAGCAGACGTCAATAAGGATACACACTCTGCTGCCTGGCGTAGGAGATCCCTGACAAGGTGACCACCAGGTTGATTCCCAGGTGCATTAGGATTCTGCACAGAAAGACCACTACAACCAACCTAAGCAAAAGACAGCTCACAAAGATAGATCAAAAGGATACGTACCTGCGCTCCCCACCAGCAAACCAATTCTCACCTTCCCTATCATTATCCTCCTCATCGTCATCATCACCGTCACTTCCATGAGCATGTCCTGCATGTCCACCCGCCGCTGAAGGAGGACCGAACATCCCGGAAGGAGGTAGTCCAACACCACCAGGTCCGCCAATCGATGGACCACCGGAGCTGCTACTGCCAATATCTCGAAGCGTAGCGAATCGTCCACCGCTTGCAGATCTAAAAGGAACGAACACGGGATTACAATATACATCTCAGTATACATGAAGAAGATTGAGTTTTGATTAAGGACGAACCTAGAAGATGAGGACGATCCTCCCCAATTGCCAACTCTGCCAATCCGAGGACCAGCGTTGGCGGGTCTCGACCAGTCAGAAGGCAATGGATCGTTCACAGGCGATCCCCCTAAGGTACGACCTGTAGATTGGTTCTCATCGCCAGACATGATGTTTGCGTCCTTTCTGTTGTTGTTTCTAGTATGAGATGCAGTTGGCAAGAAAAAGCGAAAGTGGTGGTGATGATAGAGTACGAGGTCAAGCTGGTTAAGGCTCGAGTCCGGAACGCGTAAGTGCTCTTTAGCCCTTAGAGTGATCGTGTTGGGCGCCAAGGTCCTTCAAGGTTCTTACACTGTACAGGACGCGAATGCCGTTCGACATTGACAAGGTTCCGCACAATGTAATGCAACCAAATGAAATGTATGTGCAATTAGATGAGCAAGTACGACTATAATGTACTTGACATATGCTGCCAATGAGGACATCTAACCGTGTGGATAGTATATAACAATTAGTACACTGGCAGCGCCCCTGCTTTGCGTCGGGCGTATCACTTTCGCAACGTCTTCGTCTTCATCTCTCATCTTCAGCATACAAATGCGAGAGAAGAAGACACGATGGGGTGAGGGGTGGAAGGAAGGGAGGAAGGGAGGAAGGGAGGAAGAGATACTCGATCATACCTTTTCATTCGCAAACCCATTCGTCCCCTTCACATTCCCATTAACCTCCTTCACGCCATCCTCATCCCCATTCGCAATCACATTCTTATGCTCAATTCTACTTTCCTCATCACCAGCGAATCCTTTTCCAGCTTCAGCAGCTTTGCTTTGCTCCACCAGCTCAGCACGAGAACTGAACCCTTCCGGCGCCCAGTTTCTCGATGTCCAGGGTTTGCAAGAGGGGTCGCAGTACATCTATATAAGGAGTGGAAGAAAGACAGGCAGATGAGTACTGGGTGTAACGGATGCAGAATGGGAGCGTACCATGTCAACGCTCTCAAGTGACAAATCAGAAGACTCATACAAGAAGAAATACACAATGACGGCACCCGTCAAGTTACATGCTAAACTCACGAAGCACATCAGAAACCAAACACACACAACCATCCAAAACACCAACAATCACAAACTCACCAGCAAAGACGAATCCATATCTGAAAGCAATGGCTCTCGTGATAAACGGCGTAAAGAATGCCAACAAGAAATTCCAAGTCCAATTGGACGCAGCAGCGAGGGCGGCTTGCATTGATCGAGTTCGTGTTGGGAACGTCTCGCCTGTGAGGATCCAGATTCCTGGAGCCCAGGTCATGGCGTAGCCGAAGATGAACAAGCATGCGGAGACAAGCATCACTGGAAAGCAAAGGGAAAAAAGTCTAAATCAAAGGGACTCGAAATGCAGAGAAAGAAAGGCGTACAAATGCCAATACCCTTGTTCTGAGTAGGGTCCTTCGCAGTACCAGCGGCCGCGAAGACGAAGAGCCATATTGATTGCCAGACACCACCAATGATGAGCGGGTACCGACGACCGAACTATACGCGAGTCAATATTACTTTGTCTGACATGCGACTAAATTGAAGGACGAGATTGAACATACCTTTTCCATGACGTACATACCACCAAACGTACAACCAAAATTAACAGCACCAAGAATGATCTGAGTAACGAAGGAATCTTGGATACCAACGGATTTGAAGACCGAAGCGCCGTACTAGAATTGAACGTAGCATCATCAGCGGGGAGTCCCAAAAATCATATAGAGATGAAAAAGAAACTTACGTAGAAAAAGTAGTTGGCACCAGTAAGCTGCTGGAACATCTGCAGCGTCATACCCAAGAGGGTCCTGTACAGTTGCTTATTCTGAGGCCTGAAGCAATCAGCCCAGGTTGCTTGGATGGCGGACTCGTGTTCGATGGCCGTGCGCATATCCGTCAACTACATGCATCAAAGTAAGAGATATGAGCATATAGTCAGTCATAACGAGATGAGAAATGGCCCACAAGGAAGCGAAACATACCTCACGGTGAACCTTGAAGTTATCATCCGCCTCGTGGGTAGGGATACCTCTCGATCTCGCCAAAGCAACCTTAGCTTCCTCGAACCTGCCTTTCTTTGCCAACCACCTGTAAAGCAAAAGTCACATATACGTGAACAATTGCATCACGGCTTGCCAAAAGAATCCGAAGACATACCGAGGACTTTCAGGCATGAACAAAATACCAATACCGAGAATGAGCGCCCAGAGAATACCAATACCAACGACGATACGCCATGAGCCGGAGCCGGAGACGTTTCGGGTGCCTATGGAGATACAGTAGGCGACGAGAATACCAAAGGTGATGAAGAGCTGATATGTTGCGGTCAGGGTACCACGTATTTGAGGAGGAGCAGTCTCGGCTTGGTACTGCAGCACGCGGAAAAGTCAGCGCTTAAGGATATGGAATAGTGGAGAAGCAAAAACGCAGGACATACCATCGGTACCGCAGCACTGAGTGCTCCAACACCCAAACCACTAATCAGACGACCAACGGCGAATTGTGCCCAGGCGTGTTCTGCAGTGATTTGGACGATAACACCTACAATGAAAATGACACATTCCGCGCTCATCGCTCGTCTTCGTCCGAGAACGTCAGCAACTCTACGCAACAAAAAGGCGTAGGTCGTAAGCCATTTGTAATCTGCAACTATACATGGGAAAAACACGTACCGGGCACCGAGTAGCGCACCAATGAGCGTTCCGATAGAGAGTAGGGCGACAATGAGACCTTCTCGGACGATGGAGAAGTTACATGTGCCGACGTCTCCGGGGGTAGAACATTGTGCGAACCGCAGTAGGAAATCGTCCATAAGCTGCAAACATAGGTTAACATGGACGCGTCAGTACGGCGAGAAGAAGACAGTACGCACAAGAATATCTGAGATTTGACCCGTGTCATACTAGATGCCATAGTTAACTCATGGCGAAACAATTATTTATCTACGGAAGAGTAACTTACACCGAATATAAACTAGAAGATCGAATAATATGTCAACAGGTGGCGAGGTAAACGGGCGCGATGTACTTACGCCTCCCATTGAGGCCAAAACGGCCAACATGATGGCGATGAACCCGATGGGCACGCCTTGTCTGTGACAGCAAACGTGTAAGATATGTGAGGACGGCAGACAAGTAGAGAAACATACGCGTAAAAAAGAGCCATGATGGCAATGAGGTGATCTTAACTAATCGTTGTCCTTTCGTATAACGACGTGAGTGCTATCGTGCGGGGCACGATAGACACGTTGTGTGGGGGTCGGACGGAGACTGGGGAAAAGAGGAGGTGGTGGTTATCGCGGGAAGGAAAAGAGAAAATCAGTGTGGGGTAGGAGGGGGTGAAAGAACTTATATGTTAAGGCTCGGCTAAGGGTATGGTTGACGGGGCAGCCACTCGGTTGTTGGGCCAGTCTTTTGCCGCACAACCAGCCTCCCTCTGGCTTTTCAATTCGCATCTACTGGACACATGACATCACTCCGTATCAACACTGGAGTCGACGAGACGCAGCTGTCCAAAACTCCCCGGTGTATCGTACCGTGCATGGGAACCTTGTGAGGAAATCTCCATTTCTACTTAGAGTCGGCAGAGAAGAAGTCGGAGCGCTGAGCGTCTGAAACATCGAGGCTTGCTCACTCTTTGCATAGATTTCCGTTCTCTTGCGAGGTCCATATGCAGAGCGGGAGACAAGACGGTTCAGCCGATGGAGGGCATGTGTTGGAAAAGACTGGAGAAATGATTATACGGCTGCCGCGTCGTCGGACCTCGCCGACCACTGCCGACTGAGCGGCGCGTACTTTTCGAGATGGAGCCATTTTTTGTCGCGTCGATCCAGGTATGCGGTCACTGAGGATGACAGTATTGACAGCACCTGCTGGGGCATCGATGGACCTGCGCCCCCACATACTGTTCACGAGACAGAATTACAGGCATCAATGCATCATGGGCTATTCAAATATTCAACAAGCGCAATCGAAAGACCATCGCAGGCGGTCGTCCATTACCGCCGGGATCGATGTTCGACGTCGGTCCCGAGGGCCCGGCAATTTCGATCGATGACACCTCGAAACTCCAATCGTCCTCGACAACGCCACCAACGTCACTGCTAGGATTCGAAACACCCAATCATTGTATCGCAGATCCTCTCCGAGATTAAACGCGAGATAGACTCTGGTAGAGGGTATGCTGTGAAAGTGTACATATTTCAATAACATGATACATACTCGCGGAAGGAACATACCTAGTGACAAATCCCTTGCTTACATAGCACAACCAAGCAATCGCCAGTTCCCGGAGACTTTCGTGGTTCGATCAGCTATTTGTGGAATGATATATGACCATCTTTCGAAAATGCCCTCCTTTGCGATATTCTTTTGGTAATCAATCCGCAAATAGCTGCAATGGCTAACTACCAAACCTGTTGACCGAACATCCGTGCTCTCGCAGTACAAATAAGTAAGGTTATATGATACAAGTGAGATGACAAGTTAGTGAGTAGCGCGAGGGAAAACAACTTCCCGTATGTATACAAGTGACATACGTCTGGGAACCCCAAGGGCCCACTGCCGAGTATAGATAATAATGTTTCAATCGTGTAGTATGGTTGAAGACAAGCAGTGAACTCGGATATAATCGGAAGGTGACAGCAAGCGCACATGCCGGCGTTTGAGTACTGTGGATGAAAAACATCCCTAAGTTGAAGGGGATTCGTAACACCTGTTTGTCTTTGGTCTGTTTGAACCTGGTACTCAGCGCGAATGCCATACGGCCTCCTGAACACAAATATGAAGAGAGACCACACGAATAAGCGTCGATTCAACGCAGATTTGCATATTACGTTCAAGCCTGCATACAGCTTCGCCATAAGTTACAACCATAATCGGTATAGAAAGTCATAGAGAATAGAAGTCTAATTAAAAATTACAACGGCACGATACTCATACACGCGGAAGGAGCATACAAAACTCACTCGCGAATAACTAAAAGGCACAAACCACATCTCGGATCAAGAATAAAATAACTTACGAAGATGGAGTTGTTCCGGCGGTGGCTGTTCGACGACGATAATGCATTACAAGCTCCCCAGAAGACCGCCAGACAAACTGACGAACAGCAGCTAGGGTCATATCCAACGGCAAGACAACATCGTTACATAAGATCTCGAACGTTTCTTCCGGTCGAGGTCGGCCATCGTTCCGACTGGGTGAGCGTGTATCGAAAGAAGAGCGAGGCGTGTTCACTGCGCTGATCCGTCCACCCATGATCCTGTCTAGCTTGTCCTGGACCTACGAGTCCAAGTAGAATAATCAGAATCAGCATTGACCAAGGGTAGAGGAATAAAGCAATGGAACTAACATGATGTGTGAGCTTGCGCACGCGTAAGAACCGACTCGCTGTAAGCTTTGACTGCGACCTACAAAATGAACATCAGCACCTGATTTACGTGTTACACATTTACACGCGCAAAGTGCAAACCACAAGCGCGAGGTCTGACTCACGTATTCAGCAGCTCTGGCAATGTCTCCTCGCCCTCTTTCCCCGGATACGGCAACATCACGAAACTGAGTTTCATCACCGGAATAGGTGGGACCTTGTTCACCAACAGATACTCCAAAAGCCAAAACGGCATGGCCTCCCCCAGCGTATTCACATCTCTTCCCGTCGCATTAACGAACCCACGATACAGCGGTGTCCATCCCGAAACGGATTCCTGCGATATTATAACGGATGTGTTAGAGGGAAGATTAAGGGGAGGCGCGTCAGTTGATGTTGGCGGTGTGAGCGGATGGGATAGTAGGACTTGCAAAGGAGTCTTGGGAAACACCGTCGTAGTATCGCCCTATGACGAATCAAATCAAATTGATGAGCGACAATACAATGGACACATGAGTATGTACTAAAATGACACTTACTTCGGAAGGTGTGACGACCTCTGACCCGACAGTCGTCGAAGTACTTGCCGTCCCAATCTCACTAGCCTGCCGTTTCGTAGCCTTCCCGAAAGCCCTTAACCGGCCCATCAGCCCACCAGTGCTAGGTGTGCTAGGCGTCTGAGGTATTTCAGCAGTAGGTGTCTGTAGCTCTGCGGTATTATTATTAGGAGTTTTGGAACCTCCAGGTCCCGACCATCCAGAAAAGTCGTCCGGAGTGACCACCGTACCAGCACCAGCATCCCCACCAGAGGACGGTCGTTGACCACGTAATGAGAAATAGTCGTTGGTGGTAGCAGCATCTTTAGCAGAATGAAGATTATTCCCGTCAGTGGTTGATGATCGGCGGACGGGTCTTGGCATAGGCGTAGCGTCATTGATTGTAGACGGGGACTGTGGGATCGGAGACAAGATAAACGACTCTCTCTTATACCCACCGCCGGTTACTATCGATGGCGGCGTTCGGAGCGGAGGATACCTAGATGCTGGAACCGTGACTGGTGAAGCAGCAGGAATTAAGGTTGGTGAAATGACAACAACAGGGCTCCTGCTTGCACTAGAGCTAGGGGAACTGTGGGTATTTGAGGGAGAGGTACGAGAAGCATCAGAAGAAGAACGACCTCGGTTACTGGATGTGTGTGGGTCAAGGTCGATATGCGTTGGTGCGCCACCCCGCTGGAGACGATGACCAGCTTCTTGAGCTGCGATATCCCTGTTTCGACGAGAGATGGCACGTTGTTGTTCCTTGATAAAACTCGAAAAAAGGTTCTTCAAAACCCATTTCCCAACATTGACTATCCGGAAGAGACCAGAAAAGCACAGCCATAGTCAACATCACGAAGAGTGAAAGCAACAAGGAAGAAAACGTAAGGAACACATACGTCGCATATCGTCAGCAAACTGACGTTCAGGGCCATATCCAGCTTCATCCGCGTAAATCTCCGCTTCGAAGCACTTCCCATTCAGATGAACACTTAGCACTCCGGTCTTGGTGTCCACCGTCGCCCAAGGCAATACTACCGCCTCACCCTCGATGCGTTCCTTGACAGCCTCAAGCGCCTCCCGTGGACTATACTCTTTCTCCCCAGTGCCACTACGCCCCGACGTACTTCCACAGAAACTTGCAGCAGCGACATCTTCACTACTGAATTTACCCAAGCACGTCCCTCGAACAATATTCCAAACTGCCACTTCCCCAGCAGTGTCAACCGTGAGGGCGTGAATTCTGTCGTTGAGGATGACAGAACGGACAAGCCCATGATCGCCATGAATGATATAGTCTGGTGTGGAGTATAAGGGTACAGCATCTGCTGCAACTTCACGTTCTTCGTATTCCATACGAGCTGTCCTCATTGGATGTAAGGTCTCCTCTACAGGTCTAGAAAGTAAAGTATCGCCTGGAGCTGGACTGACACTTCGACCTGTGTTGAGGAAGGTGGGTTGGAGAGGGGGACGATTGATGCGAGGAACTGACATGACTGAAGCGGCGGAGTAGAGGGTTGCGATTTCGGGGTCACGTCCTCGTGACATTCCAAGGGTTGTGAAGGTTTCGTTGGGCGAGGTGAGTTTGACGAGACTCTCGAAAGGAAGACCGTACCAGGTCTCTTCGCCTTCCTTGTCCTGATTATAGGCGGAGTTCTCTGACAGGATTGAGCCGGAGAGGGAAGGCGTGATGGATACGCGATGGGATTTCTTGAGGAAAGACGAAGGACTGGAAGGAGAACGAGGAGGGGAACGTGAGCGAGCGACTTCGTTTGACCCTCGTTGTGGTGAGCGGTTGAGTGGAATGTAGTCAGAGGCAAATTCAGAAGTAGTTGGACTATCGACTTCCTTGCAGCCACTTCGTACCGCTCGTCGACAAGGGACTTTCCATCGTTTGATACTCGAGTTAGCAGAAGCAGTCCATAGTAGGTTGTCGTCCATTACAACGATCTTATTGACGCCTTCTGGGGAGGAAAGACTACTGTCACCGTTGTCTTGACATAAGACGATACATTCGCCTTCTGAGATGTCCGAGCAACCTTCGAGATCCACTTTGCAAACAAGACCAGATCGGTCGCCGGAGTAGAAGGCCTCGAGAGATGGATGGGATGAGAATAGGGACCAGACGGATTCGGTGTGATGGGTGAAGGTGTGCAGACACCTCTGTGATGAAAGGGACCAGAGTTTGATTGATGCTATAGTCATACTCAGTGTGATTCGTTTCAAGACGATAGCTTTGCTCACCGTCAGCAGAACCTGTGAGTAACTGGGAAGAATATCAACACACAGACAGGACTGACAAGAAGACTCTTACATATCGTGAATCGTCTGAAATAAGGATTGCGCGTATGTTATCGGTATGTCCAACTAGTTTGCCAATGCGCTTGCCAGACCGAGGGTCCCACATCCTTACAACGCGTTCTGGCGAGCCTGCAACAATGACCGACCCATGTGAATCAGTAGCAAGCGCATATATTGAACCTTTGGGACCTGACGTTTCTGGTGGTTGAAGAGTGATCAAAGGATCCTTAGTAGTAGGAGAACCGGCAAGGTCCCAGAGCTTGATAGTGCGGTCAAAAGAACCAGAAGCCACCCAGTTCTGTTCACGACTTCAGAATGCTCAGAGTATGAAATGTGTACAGGAAGGAGAGAACATACCTACTAGCAAGACATCGAACATAGTCGGCATGGGTCCCTATTACAGATGGCTCGCTGAATGAATGTGGACTCCAGGCCTTCACTGTGCCATCTGAAGAAGCGGTGACCACTGTGGGATGTGTCAGACCTCTCGCCTCCCCAATGGCCATATAATCTGCCCACCAGTCTGGTTGAGATTGCACAGAAGGACGTCGTTTATCCAGTCTGAATGGATTTGTGCACATTGGCGAAATTGGGATATCTGAAGTTATAGAAAGATTGGACATAACCGCATGACTGATAAAGCAACACAACATACCTTGCCCTCCTGGTACATTTCCATGTCGGTCTCCCATTGTTGCTCATACGGAACGGGCTGCTCGCGAACTGAGTTTCGTCGCCACCGCTCCCTGGCACCGCTGCCCCTTACTTCTCCAAGAATATCTCCAGTACTCCGGTATTCTTCGGCCTCCTCAGGGTCTTCCTCAATGATATCGTCTGTCCAGCCCGTCATTATTTCCCATCGTCCCGCACCTGTACGCATACTTCGGGCGGGTGCACCATATCTATGTTCACGTTGCTTCATAGTTATTCCCAAATCCCAAGAACATACCAGCCCATCCCTCGCACCACTGTAAAGGATCCCCTCTGGGCTACTACGTCCAACGAGTTGCGTGGAGGTGTCGAGTGCAAGACATGCTACGCCCAAACGGTGTCGAGGATGTTGAGCCCATTTGGGAGTATCCTCATCCTGGAGACCATTAGTCGATCGAATAAGCAGCGGACTTATGGAACCATGTCGAGGAACACCATGAGGGGGAAGCTGTAGGCGAGGCGGTGGTTCAGTTGAAGGCGGAATCACATAGGAAACTCGCCGTCGAGACGAGAGTGCCATGCACTAGGTACTAGAGCGTTGAAATGCCCTTGAGAGCGTTCCGTGACGATATGAATATTGATTATCGCCAACTACGGTGCAGCATTAGAGTTCATGAAGGAGAAGGAGACAATAATTCCGATCATTCATGAATAAGTACCTGATTTAGTTTCGAATATGACAAGCGGCCACTGCCACTTTACATCGTAAGTATCCTCGACTACATGCGTGACGATCATTATGCCTTGCTCTTATATCTTTGCGCAGACCCATGCAGCTAGCGGAATATCAGAGACCTATGAAATGACGCTAATTATGTCGTCTCCCAGACAGCGTAAAGGTTCAACGTCAATTTTCGTAGCTCAGAATATTTATCCAACAAAAGAGCCACTGGCTAGATGAAACATAACTCAGCACGTAAACGTGAGCTGCAGAGCCGTGACCATCTTCCAAAGTCTATGGAGGGGAAATTGTTCATAGGGTATAGGCTCCAAGTATGCAATCTATATTTGTTGTGTCAGAATTAGGATAAGATGGCAGTTCATAGGAAGGCTATAGTTCTGAGAGGAGGAGTTATCTAGCAAATATCGACATGCAAGGAGAGAGTTTCGCCGAATTCAGCAACCAAGTCGTAGTATATCCGCGTGTTCAATTCAATACAACAACGTGCAATGCTTATCTATGCATGGGAATGAAGTATATAATGTTCAATTGTTCGAATTAGTATATCAGGGAGTCTAGGGACAATAGTTCATAAGGATTGGCCGGATGAGACCTCTACCTTAATATGAGAAGATCATCAGCCATGGGTTCAAGACGATCTATAAAAGACGTCTCGGTGTCAGTACTTCGGATATATCATAAGACGAAGGAAACGTACAGGGTAGAGAAAGTGGCATCCAACTGTGAGGCTACCCGAGAATGTCAGTTATTGTCATCTTACAAATGGTCATAAGGATGCGACATACGCAAGAGGTAATATGACAGCCCAGTTGGACCCAGAGACGCGCCAGGCAATGGGAAGCAAGGGGACGCGCAGGATAATCATGAGGGCAGTGAATATGACACAAAGAACAAAAGTAATCCAGAATCGTCTAAGGATCCTGGGCACTTCAATCCAAAAGTTGGAACGCTCGACTTCTTTCTTGGTTGCACCCCAGGTAATGTTGTATGAGAATAAATGAGCGAGGAGGGATTGGGAGAGATGAACACTCAGCCCGCCGAAGAAGAAAAAGCTGTCAGGGAAAGTACGTGTGAGTGATGACATTATGGCCAAGAAAAATGATGAACAACTTGAAACCTACAAGAAGGGTACCCAGGTGACATTCTCTATGAGGGCCTCCAGCAGGCTGCGTTGTCCAAGTCGATACTGCAGAAGAGTGAAACCCAAGTTACCGGCAATAGGGAAGACGACTGTGCACGCCAGCCATATCTCGAAGCTGCGAAGGTAGAATCCGTCGACTTCAAATTCCCAACCCAACAGAAGGTAGTTGACGACTGAGAGGATGAACGATGCAGCCAAACCATCTGAGCGTTCGAGTGAGCTAGACATCATTGGTAATCACCCGAGTAAAAGCTTACAATAAGAGAACATGTCTATTGCGCGGAATCAGTATGATCAATGCGTTCTCGTGCAAGGAAAGATGCGAACTCACAGGACATCATGCTGATCTTGTAGTGTATAGGTGCATCGGACCAGATAAAGATCCGCAACTGTTTCGTAATTGGACCATGCCTCCACCAGTCGATGAGAGGATGGAAAATCAACTCGTTGCAACCTGAAAGCTTGTCATAAGAAGCTCGGTGCTTGAGAGGAATGTCTGATCATACCATATGCATACTTCTGCCAACGATTCAACTCATCATCGCAGGTCAAAGAGACGCCCTCCTTGAACCCACCGTCAGAGTATGTCGCCCATCTTATGATGTAGTTTTTCAGTTGCAAGCGAAGAGCCATATCGAAGTCTTCTGAGACATTGGTTTCCGACCATATCTTCTTAATCCCATCGGCCGGGTCGACAAATGCAGCATCTTGTAGGGCGGACCATTGCAAGAAGGCGTTGTGACCAACGAATGGGGCAACCTCGCCATTCGCGCAACAAAGCGAGATGGCTTTATTGATGCGACGGGTGAAGTGCGCAATGCCGTTCTCGAAGTAATGATGGGCGACCTGCATGACGTCAGACTCATGTTGGATAATGGCGACGTCGGGGCTCTCCGCTAGCTCGCGAGCAGCGTCGCGGAAACAGTCCTCGGGAACGAGAGTATCCGCATCGACGATGAGAATGATCTCTCCAATCTGAATAGACTTGGCGTTACATGCCCAAGGCTTCCAGCGGCGTCCACTTTCCTCGTAAATCTCCTCGATCGCCAACTCCAATGCATGTTCCTCGATGTTCTCTTCCTCGTCAATATCTTCGCCAGAGCCGTCAGCCTTGGCAATGAGATCGGCAAGATGCCTTTCAAGCTTCAGCGAGAGTGCGAGACCGTAGTTCATGTTCGACGCCTTCTTGAAACGACCAGCACGTTTGTAACCGTCCGGAGCACTGGAATGTGGTGGGCGAGCAACCCAGCCGATGTTATTGTCAGCGTAGAACTGAATGCGTTCGTTCTTCTCGGCTTCGGAGACAAGTTGGAGACCGTCATCGTGAACGAGGATAGCGGAAGTACCTCCTTGACGGGCATAAGTTTGCATGGCCTTCTTAATGGAAAATACCGACGGTGCGCTGAATAAATGAAAGGATATGAAAGTTCAGAGCCGAGATCCTTAACATCACAATACTCACATCGTTTCAGAGAGACTCTCCTTGTATACTGGTAATTCGATAGTAATATGAGGAAGATGGGTATCAACCTCTTTGTTTGGCGCCGGCGACACAGCGGAATAATACTTGGAGTTCTCGAGGTACTGAGCGACCGGACCAATACTATAGTTTTGGATCAACAATGTCTCTGGTATATGGGGGCTGAGTGCGAGGGATGATACTATACGTACACCATTGAGATGTTCCCGATGATCTGAAGGGAGAAGAACTTTCGTAAAATATTAGTAGACTCTAAAGTTACGGGAATGGTGTGACATGACTTACTAGTGATACACAAAAGAACAGGGGAGTTGTCAGGAGAAGCGCCAGGCGAGTATAATCACCATCGAGGACGATCTCTTGTATCAAAACGTCGGTACCACTGCCAATGAAGTCTATACGCAAGGTGTCACCGTAAGGCTCTCTGAATTATAACGATATCACTTACAAATTGATAACGCAGTAGCAATACCGGCATAAACAGCGGCGAATAGGCGCGTGGGACGTGAAGAAGGTCCATCAGCTCGCTTCTCAACGTCATTCTTGCCCGATGTCCAATAGCGAAGTCCACAGCTCCGGGCCTTGCGGACTTTCTGCTTCGATTCCTTGGAGGCTTCAGGTGTCTCGTTCTTGATTTCGCTAGAAGATACCTCGGCTTGGGCCTTCTCAGTCGCTATGTCGGCCTTCATGGTTGCCACAGAGTCCACCGTAGACTGAGGCAAAGAGAACGCCGAAGAGAATGTAGATCTTCGATTCCAAACAAGTTTGATGAGCTTATCCTCGAATTCTCTGTATGTTGGAATGATGTCATCGAGCTGGTACGCCCAAATGACCAGCACACGTTCGTCCCTCTATATAGGCCCAGTTAGTAGCTAACAGTTGTTCCACACGTATGACACATACAATGAAGGCACCACGTTGCTCCTTGTCCGCTCGAGGTAAAGACGCCATGGTCGGCAAGATCTGGATACGATTGCTATCGTCAATAAAAATCGTGTCCGAACTCTCAGGTCTGTCATACAACCGCTTAGCATTATGAAGCGGCAGCAGAAGGAGAGCGGGATAGGACAAACACCGTGGAGATTGAGGCATGGATCGCCGCACTTCGCAACTTGACTGCGACAACAGGATTGAGGATCCTGACGGCAGCCTCAAAAGGCTCGAGATAATGATTTTCGTAGGGAAAGACACGAAACTGGCCGGAACCAACTCGGAGGCATACGCCTGTTCGAAAAAGCTCTTCCGAAGGCTTCAACCATGTATCCCCTTGCGTCTGAGTAAGGACGCAGTTATGTCAACGTTGCAGTAAGATTGAAAATATCGCCACGTACCTCCTTGAAGATATGGTGCAAAAGAGCGTCGAATGCATCGTAGTCCATGATCAATGTTCAAAAAGAGTGTTTGAGCAGCAAGTGTCAATAAAGACACAGAGCGGACAGCTGATAGAGGCTAGCTAAGTGTCCAAAGATCAACTGTCCATGTCTTTTGAACCATTTCCAGAGGCTGAGCATCAGTTTGGCTTCCAATAGATGACACTGATTGCAATCGTAGAAAAGATCTTGGCCAGCTCAAGCAACGCATGGAAGCAGAATCCAATAACGTATCTCGGCGACGAGATGAACTTAGGTCAATGCCGGAATCTGGAAACAATGCGGCATAGGATGTCAAAATGATTGCACGGCCGGCAAGAAGCACTGTTATCGCCTCGAACCAAGACATACCAGATAGCATGTACATTCGCCTCTCAAACAACGCTGTTGAGTCAAAAACTTCCGCACCGAACTGCAGCCTTAAGTGTCCGACGTTACGATGACAGTGTTCCTAGTAGGACAAACCTTCACGCGTCACGGAGGACATCTTCAACTTGCTGTACATGGGATGCGTGAGAAAACACCCTCAGAATGAGGCTAAATGCAATATGCTTCCTGTAGGAATAAACCTGAGCAGAATGTGAACATTAATGCAGACAATGTACTACCTTCGAAGGTGATGGAGTGTGGAGTGCAAAGGATCATCGGATACACCAAAGTTGCCATAAGAGGGTTATTCTGACAACAGCCGCCCGATCAAGAGCCGCCAACGTTAACTTCTTACGCTCAGTGACCACGAGTCAGGCTACTGCAGTGCTAGTAGGCTGTCGACTTCGTCATTCAAACTTCTCTCAAGAAGCTAGGAGATATCGCTTTCTGACTGGTGCTTTAAGGTTTCCCACTAGTATGACTGAGGACCACCCAATCACCAACTCGAATGTATGTGAAATTGTTCAATGGCGAGTACGGTTGCTTCTAAGTAATTGGTTCGGAACCTTGAGTCCCCAATAACTAATAAGGTTCTGACGACGGTTTCACTAGGTCAGTCTGGCTCACTTGCGATGATACGCACACAGTGGTTCCGATACTACGTAGGTGCTGTCAGTCTCATACTGCTGACCCTTCGGGACCAGCCCAGACCAGTTTGCTCAGAGTTCACCGGCACCATGAGCAACCTCTGTATCTTTGACTCTTCAACTCATACCTACACCCTTGACTTGTCGGCATATCTGGGGCCCGAGTTGAGATTTTGTGTTGTGTTCCTGATGATCTGTCTAGTCTGTGTTCCCTTCTTTATCCAAGGTTGATCTGCCTATCTGTGACCGCAACGACATGCCCAACAGTTCCGAGGATTTATACCACAGTTCACCCGGTACCATTACATCCTGCCACCGCGGTTCATCGCACTTAAGCTAGCCGCACCGGGTCTGTCGACTTCCCAGCCACTGTATGTGGAGCGGACGGTCTCTATTCAACGTAAGCGCAATCGATGGCTTCTGAAGATGCTCCAAGGTGCTTCTCGCAAATTTGCAGATCCAATGACTATCTTGGGAGCCTCTAGGACACTCTCAGATTGGTGCTCCGTACCCTCGTGTTCCGTTTCCAACCCTCCGGTATCTCCGAGCACCATTAGCACTATAGCGCGAACCTTGTGTAGTGGAACCTTGTATAGCGGGACAAGCAGCTGTTACCAGGGAAGCTCCGAATACCACGGAATGTTCTCCCGTTGCTTCCTGAATTTCACCGGCTTGCATATCTCTTTCGCACGGACTGGTTCGCAAATTCTAGTCAGCTGTCCAGGCTCACTCTGATCCAGTCCAGATTTTTTTTTTTCAAACGATACCGTCAAGCCTGTTTATGTTGCCCAGGGCTTTGTCGACGTCATCGTGTTCCGGGAATAATGCCGGTCTCCTGTGATGCATCCATGGACAATGTTATGGACTTCAAAGACACATCATTTCAACGGTTTCTTGAGACTCTCGCCTCTATTTATCTCGCACCAATGGACTACAAATGAATACTGCATATCTAAAACACAACTAGTAATTATTCCTAGAGAAGCTACACTATCCAGCAGAGGTAAGACGGATTAATACTGATTGTTAGAATGGCGTACGTGGAGCTTTGGTTCTTACTAAGTTACTATACTCGTAGCAGCATTAAGTACTTTCGAACCTAATCCCCACGCCTGAACTGGTTGCACCTCGCAGACTTAGGACAGTTGCCTTGGCGTGTATTGGTCAAGGTCCCGGCCTATCTCAAGGTAGATTAATATCGTCATCGAGTGTAACCCTAAGCTGACTCACATCGTCCCAAGTACAAGCACCATTCGGATAAGCACATTGATATCCGGTGAAATAGTTGATCAGGACGCCTTCGTCGTTGTTCAAATCCAAAGGGCAGGTACACCCACTGGGGGGGCACGGAGCTGATGCTTGACAATTGTCCTGGAAGGCATTTTGCAACTCGCCGTTCTATTGGAGGCAACGACGAATGCGAGTCAACGGAGATGTAGGATGTAAGGTGGAACATCTCTGAGCTTACCTTATCGCTCCAGGAACATGCGCCTTCTGGATAGGCACATTGGTAGCCAGGGAAGACATTGATCAAGAGACCTTCATCTCCAAAATTGTCTATGGGACAAGGGCATCCTCCTGCACCTCCGCTGTAACACCCGATGAGCACACCCTGAGGGGCTTGGCGTTTGGTGAGTGTAGAGACATCACGAGGGAGTGTCAACATTGCGTTGGTGAACAATGTCGTGGAGACTGCGAAGAAAAGAAGCGAAGAACGAATGACTGTCATGATGTTGAATGTAAGTTGCGTCAAAGGTATTGGAACTGATAATTCTGGCTCTCTCCGCCAGGTTCTTATAGGTAATAAACATTCGGCTTTCGGATATTTTGTGCGTACTGTGGAGAGACCCACACCTTGGCAATGGACAGCATAGCTCCATGACATATGCAAAAGTCGTAACGATTGTAGTGCCGACAACCCTGAAATACATTGCTCTCGAGCTGCCCATCCGGTCCCGTGTACAATGCGGCACCAAGTTTCTGACAGCAGGGGCCCTGAACTCTAACGCGAACAGCAGGATTCTAACACGGCCGGTTGGATTTTATCATGGGCAGACGAGGCTCAGCCTGACTCAAAGCCAGCATTGGTTTCAGCATCCTCCAAACCACGCCTTACGACCTTCTCTTCAAACCTTCACCGTTGAAGAGTAAGGCGCCTTCAGATTTTCTATGTCACGGTCAACAGTCAGTGCCTGTGTCGCTCACCAAGGCACGAACTTATTCTGTATGGGGAGTACCTTTGCACACCACTGCCAGCTCCATAGTCGCCTTTGCGAGGACGAATTCGGAGAAACACGCAAACACCCGTACAAAGGTCGACTTACTTTGGGCATTTCAGTCTCACATGCATCGTTTTTACGAGACACTGATGCACATATCTGCGTAGTATGGACCTGAATATGCGACGCAAAACCTTGCTAATCTGTTTACGCCTTCGTCAATGATCGAAAGACTCAAGAATGTGTGGGGAGCCTGGAATGCCTACCAATAGCTTCTATCTCCTCAGGTACTCTTTATGATATGCAGACAATGCGTCGATTGAACCAAATTCCCAGTGTAGGCATTCTTATGGGTTTTCCGATGTACAGTATTTCGGGCAAACTCGGTAGTTTGCCGCCAGTATTCTCCAGGACACCTCACTATACTCATTTTTATCTAAAGACGAAAAAAAAAGATTCAATGGTATGCTATGCTATGCAAGTGCTTTACTACATGAATTCAGAGAAGTCCCTTTTTCTTATTGTTCCGAAAGGGGAAGCGCAGATATATTAGTTGACACTAGTTGACATCGCGGTGGCGCTCATGAGCACCTCAGAACTCTTCACTCAACCACTTTGAACAAATCCTGGATGTTCTCCAGGATGGCGGTTCGCTTTATTCCCTGTGTGGTGCGAATGTCATTTGGTTCAAATTGCCGTCTTCCATCGTCATATTTGGTGCACTGGTTTGACTGCTGAAAAATATCTTCTCTCTTTCTCACGTTTGTTCGCACATGTACGTCTTCATGCAAGGAACGATCTTTCCAACAACTTTCCATGCGTGCCTGCTTATGTCGTTTCGTCTGTCCCGGGAAAGGATGAGGATGCAAGGCCGATGGAGATAATCCGATTCACCCAGTCGGCCAGCACGCTAAATCGACTGAACGCGTCGAAAGGCACTTGTCATCTATATCAAGGTTACGGCAGGATGGACAGGCGTGTTCGCTGATTCATTGTGTAATCCTTGAAGCGCTGTATATCTTTGGCATTGTTCATCGCTTGGGTGACAGATGGGAAAGATGTTCTGAATCCGATGTCTTGCTCAGTACGGCGTTCCTGAGGACCTGCCAGGTCTCTTGGTTTTCCACGCAGAGGGCGGATCGGTGGTCGCTATATGCTCCTAGACCTTGTTCGGCAATTTGCTATCTACACTGATCCCGGGGACGCTTTGCTTTCTCGGAGGACACTGGCTTATGGTAGATCAGAGCATTCTACTGTTCCCGGGCCTCGGTGCGTCTAATCTGGAAGTCTTGACATTCGAAGGTGATGTAGGACAGAAGGACAGCTGCGGGAAACCTTATTGGCCGAAGAATTGTTCCAGGGGCAGGCCGCTGCCAGTAGGCTGCGATGACTTGCGGAATGCTTGCAGTCCACAGCTGTCGCTTTGTCACGTCAGGGGGGGTTGATACCTCTTTGCGCCCATTGTATTCGGGTCAGAGTACTAATACCGCTTGAGGTGTTTACTGATCGCTTTAGTGTCTGGAGACACTAGTCCACTCCTTACTAGCTTCACTCGACCACTATGCGTACCCCTCCATCCACGGCGTCCTCGACGTCCTCGACCACATCTCTTCCCGCTGTCCCCGAGATGGGTTCTTCTCGTGACCCGCCTCTCAGTCCTCCAAAACCTCTCTTTTTCATCGACCGCAAGAGCTCCGGACAGGATGTCGAGGAAATTCGCAGAGATCCTTTCCGCTCTCCCGACTCGTCTGTCCCATCCACCCCTCGCAGTGTTATCAGCAACCCGTTCTCACCTCCCGTAAGTGTCGTCAACCTTAGTTCCGACCAGCATGTTACCATTGCCTCTGGAACTAATGCGACACCTTCACATTCCCGAGCTCATTCGAGTCGCGTCTCTGTCCATTCGAGTCTGCGCAACTCCACCACTGAACTCAACCTCAAGGAAGTGAAGCCCGGCCTAACTAGCCGGGCCAGTTCCCAGATTCGAGATTCATTCATGTCCCCACCTACCCTCGCTCGTCGTGCTACCTTTCACGATGCAAATGGTGTTTCTCGTCTCTCTGTAGCGGGACCGAAATATAAGCGCTCCCGCTCCACGATGTTGAAGGGAGAGATCGAGAAACCTTGGATCGGGGAAAAGGATGTTTATGGCCGTATTGCCTATTGGCTCACTTATGGAGTGGGCTTTCTCGGTGTAGCGGGTTCCATCATTCTCTGCTACTTCGGGTGGCGTAACGTTCCTCGAGTTGGCAACCTTTGCTTGGTTATGGAGGACAACTTCGACCATTTCGACACCGATTTTACTTGGCAACACGAGGTCGACATGGGCGGATTTGGGTCAGTATCCGTTGAATTCGTATAACATCACTCGCTGACTAATATCCATTTTATAACAGAAATGGGGAGTTCGAGATGACGACCACTTCTTCCAACAATTCCTTCGTCAAGGATGGGCATCTCTATATCGTCCCCACTCTCACTTCCGACGTGATTGGCAAGGACGCGGTTTTTAACGGTTATACCTTCAATATCACCGGCTGCACGAACACCAACAGTAAGCTGCTATCTTTTATTCAACGCTTAAATAGGTCTAACAATATGCTTAGCGTCTGCTTGTGGCGCTATCTCTAATGAAACGATTGCCACGGTCATCCCTCCTGTAATGAGCGCTCGCATAAATACTCGTCGAAGTCATCATATCCAGTTTGGCAAGGTCGAAGTTCGCGCGAAGATTCCCAGAGGTGACTGGCTCTGGCCATCCATTTGGATGCTTCCTGTCAATGAGAAATACGGACCTTGGCCCCGCTCAGGCGAAATTGACATCATGGAGGCTCGTGGGAACAGCCCCGAATACAAGGGACAGTAAGTCATCCTCACATTCATTAGGGTGTTAGACAGTCAGAACTGATACCTTATCGAATAGGGGAGTGGATGTTGTCCGTGGTCAACTCAATTGGGGCCCATTTTCATGGTTGAACGGTGTATCCAAAACTTTCGGCTTCTGGTCTGACCGTCGCAAATCTTACGCGGACGATTTCCATACCTACGGCATGGAGTGGACACCTCATTTCATGCGCATCTACGTCGATTCTCGTTTGCACAAGTTGCTTGACCTTCGTTTCAAGGTGCCCTTTTTCGAGCGCGGCGATTTTCCTGAGACCGTGGCCAACGGCTCCCAGTGGATCGTCACTCCAAATCCTTGGAAGGATGGCACGAAAGCGGCACCTTTTGACCAGCCCTTCTATTTGGTAATGGACGTTGCTGCCGGCGGTACAACGGGTTGGTTCCCAGACGGCCTTGGTGACAAACCTTGGTTAGATGGCTCTCTGAGTAAGCTCTTTACTCGTTATCTCGTTTCGAATCACCGAGCTAACGTTTCGCTCTAGCTGCCATGCGTGATTTCGCCCTGGAACAAGATACTTGGTATGATACCTGGCCCAAGAATATCGAAGACCGTGCGATGGTCGTGGACTACGTCAAGATGTGGCAATCATGTTGATAACGAACGACGCTCATGATGTTCTTACCCCCAACTTTATTGTATAGCACCGTCACCCATAGACTATAGGCGGGTCTTATTTTCTTTCACGGACGTTTACGGTTTGTTTGATTTTGCCCGCGTCTGTGTGCTTTGCAACGATTACGTTTCGGGCTATGGACGGTCTAGCTATGGGTCAAGATTTTGGCTTTTTCTTGGTACTGCTGTGTATTATTGGACTTGGTCTCGAATACATCCATGATCGTATTGTTTGCATATATCGGTCCCCTCCGGTATCTTACTAAGTTGATCATACTTCGTAGAGTCGCTCAAAAGTCGCTAGGGGATAAATATGGTCTTATCGTTCATTTCGCGCTTCGCCCAGTACTTCTATCCATTGTTCTGTAGTAACAGTCGTACGTTGAGGGGCGTCAAGTGCGGACATTGAGAGGAACCGCAACTTGTGTTCAGTCACAGAATCCTAGCGTACGTGAACGTGAATATGTGTGACGGGGTTTTGCCTCCGATGGACATGGAGATTCCTATAAATGTCGTTCTTAGCGCGTTCGTACCTGTTCGTACGATACTGCCGTTCAGCACTCCGGCTAGAGGAACCGAAGTAGAGTACAATACGGTCTTCCTCGTCCGGAGGGCTCATGTCCGTTTCTCCGTCATTCCCGTAATGTGGGCCTCTTAAACCGCAACAAGTAAGCCAAACGCATAGACGACGCGTGAGTAAAAACGTCTCTGAACGATAGTTGTTGAATCCTCCGGATCAGTCTGGAGCCGATTAAACAAAGACTCTCACACATCGTCAATAGTGTCCAAATGCCCCCTGCCTCATTCATGCGAAAGATGAATGAATATAGTATTCGAAAAAAGGAGCAAATGCATGAGGCGGGGACGTATGCATATGCTCTATGCCAAGTGGAAACCTGCTTCATCACAATTGAACGGCACCACAACGCTTGCCTGTTCCGGGACCCCTGTCATTCACACGTTGACAGCTCTGACCAACTCTTCACATAGATGGGTACTCGCGGGAAATGGAAAACGGCTCACGCCGCAGTAAGTCCAGCTGTCGGCTTGAGCTTGTCGTGCGCGCTGCGCCACTGAAACGTTTTCTTTTGAAGGACATGAAGGTCTTAGACCTGCTTTTTCCCGACATGAAGGGGAGATATGAGAGAAAATGTGGGTAAAGTTGAAAATGACAGGGCAAACCCCACGGTAACATTGGAACTGTCAGATCAAATGAGTACGTCTATTTTGTCCTTCAATTCAGTCGTGGAGACATGTGTCCGTGATGAATATCTCATAATCAGACCCGGTTTATGTGATGGATCGGCAGTAGACTCACCTCGAATCATCCAGCTCCCAATAAGGAACTTTCGATGTGTGGACTGTACGTGAAAAGCACCCGCTCTCCGTGAAGATCAACGCACAAACCTTGGAGACACTACCGGAATGAATGGAATGAATGGTCGAGGTAGCCAACCACAATGCAAGCGGCATCAAGCCAGGGATTTTGCTCGCTGCTGACTGGTCAACAATGTATGCCGACAATCACTTGATCAAAAACTTGACCTTCGCTGCCGTGCATCACGTCAGGGGAACCTGGCACCGTGCCATTGAGCGTGTCGGATGTGAGGCCTAGATGTTTAACACCATTGATTTCCCAAATACAAGGAATTCTGTGCCTTTATGTGTCAAGGGGTAAATTCAGGTTCAATGAACGTGCGGCGCGAAGACTTGCTTGCAGGCCAATGGTCAGCGACAAGAAATCAATGTTGGTGTTTTTGCGCGCGGAAGATCTCAACTGTTGAGTAGAGCTGGAAAATTATAAAAGATGGACCCAGTGGAGCGTAGTCGACACCAGCAAGCACTTTGCCCGACATGGTTTCACGTTTCTTTTCCGCCGGCCTCATCATCGTGTCCGCTGCCATGCTCGTCAGTGGTGGCACCACGTCCGCCAGGGAGCTGACAACCCTCGAGGAACGCACCTCTACAGCTGATCCAGTCCTTATCGGCTGTTATCCTGGAGGTGCTCAAGGTTGTCCCTGTCCCAAAGACAAAACTGGCGCTTCTGGGGTGTTGATCAACTTCTTCCCCGGCTACCAGTGTGCCTATCCTGGCGGTGCTTGCTCTTGGGACGATCAGGTCAGCTCCATCATGACTGAAAGCGTTGATCTAACTGATTGCTCTTGGCATTGACAGGATGGTTCGCTCATGAACACTGCGCAAACCAACTGTCCATCTTCCGCACCGTGCCCCAGCTCGGGGTGTACGTGCCCCTCGGACCTTAACGGCGACAGCGGTATTTTGATCAACTACTTCACTGGCTACCAGTGTGCTTATCCCAATGGTGCTTGCACCTGGGACTCCGTGAGTACAATAGACACCTGTGACCTCATCAATGACTGACCGTTTGTTATGAATAGAACGGTGCTTTGACCAACACCCGTCAGGGAAACTGTCCCTCCACGGCGACCTGCGACACGATCAAGGGCAGACACCCTCCCAATAAGCCCCGCCCCATTTTCCCGTTCTGGCCTTTCTGGTTCTATCCTTGGTTGTAATACAGTTAGAGTATACCCAGTACCGTACTCGTCCGGTTTCTTTAGGGTCTTACGCCAGGGGACGTTCGCGATAACTTGATACCGGCCTATAGTTAGAAAATCTTAGGTAGTTCGCCGGACAATGTTAGCCGCTTGTTCAAATACCATCGATGTTACAGAAGGAAGGGATGCAACAATTGTGTTATCATGAGCGCGTTACATCTGCATACATACCGCATGAATAATCGACAGCAAAAGGGCAGTCTGGACCTTGCTTCTTCAACGTAACTAGGAACGCATTAGCCTTCGACGAACATCAACTCTTCTTGTCCCTGGTTTTTTGTTCCCATTCCCCTGTACGAAGCGGTTGACGCATATAACACTGCATGCAGACCTTCGAGCTGCAGACCTTCAAGCCGAGCTCCGGATCGCCATACAATCGGACATTCACTGGACGAAAATTCTTCCTCAGGGCCCCCAGACGACGTGATCAAGTTGAGAACCTCATGCATGGACACTGTCTTGTGTGAATGGTGCCTGTAAATCTTCATTCTTCTAAATTAACGGGGCCGCTGAACAAGGCACACAAATATGCGTTCGCTTCAAAGAGTCGACCGATAGAGTTGGTGACAGGAGAGTTCAAGTGTTCAAAGGTTTACCGGCGGTTTTACCGTCGTGGCATATTTCCTAAAGAGAAGCACTTCCAATTTTGTAGCACAGACGCCCACTGGCAGCTGGTCCGACCTTGTCTCCTTCTTTGATGTTTGTTTTGCGAGAGCTTTTGCATGCCTAAGGATGCTTTACTGCAGATATGCTCCTTGTGTTAGCGAACCTCTCCCTCTGATCTCCAGAGGCCTCAAACTGTATGGTGTGGGATCATTCGGACTGCCGCATATCACGCTTGTTCTGATTGATTGAAGTTCCGCTCGAAACAGGTCAGAGACGTCCAATTGGACAGGCATTGTCAGCCTTGTACCAATCAGAACAGTTCTCTTGTATGTTTTCTGATATCGAGTACCTTTCCGGGGACACAAGAATGAAGTTATTAATGTCGCCGAAGGAGCCGACTATCGTCACATCCCCGAAGGAGTGCCTTGGAGAGTTCTATCGACGAGAAGAATTCCGTTAGCGCGGTGACGAACAACGTTGGACGAGCATCACCTCCAAGCGCCACCACTTTCGATATCGAGTCCTCGGCGCTGGAAGCTGCCAATAGAACTGTCGTTGGAAAGATTACATCCAGAAAGGGCTAGATGGTCCGTGGTGTCTCAGGCGCGATGTGAAGGTCTCTTTCCATCTCTTAGGGCAGACCATGATCTGGATCCCCTGTGAACGATGCGAACATTGAGTGACGGACGAAGAGTGATGCTCGAACGGGTGCAGTTCACTTTGCTAGTGCCATCGAATGGAACGGAGAATATTATCGGACGCTGTGTCGGGGAATCACATCATGGAATTGTCCGTGTTGCAGTATTTGGTGGCCTCCCATACGTATCCGCCGGCCTGCAGATCCAGCGTCAGGATTTAGGCAGGCCGAACATGAGCTGATTGGAGATACGTGTGCAGACGTCCTGCCCTTGTCAGCCGCCAGTCATCTCATCCAAGAGTCATCGAGTCGTTGCCGACCAATAGGCACAGGAAGCTCATTGAACGGTTTTTGTTCCCATCTTGCGTGCTTTTCGCCCGCCCCGAGTGTTCTTGTGCCTGCACGAATGTGGGGTCGGGAATAGTAAGTATGTCCCGCGGGAACGTCCAAGGCGATGGAGCCATGACAGAAACATCAGGCCGTGTTGTCAATCTAAATGCCTGCTGTCTCCCAGCTTATGGAAGACGATTGCCCCCTTCGGAATTTTCTAATCGGCGTTGACAGTCCTATAAGGAGAGCTCTGATTTGCTACGCTTCCTACGGCTTCCTCGTTGAGTTCGTTGCGAGGATATTCGCTTGCCTTTGTACTTGTCCCTCTAGTACACCCACCATTCTTTTATTCCGATGGACTACGATGCCTTCGATGCCCTCCTCCACCACATCTTCAGACAGGTAAGGTCGACCTCAGTTTGTTGCATCCAGCGAATTGACATTACACTAGACTCAAGGCGATGCCTGGTTTAAGCCTTCCGAGGAGAACATGCACGCTGGTGTCTGTCTCCGTGTTGACAATGGCCGCTTTCGTGTCTTTCCTTACGAGAATCGCTACCTTGAACCTTTCGAGGCAGCTGTCCGCATTCTCAACCCTGTCGTTGCTGTCAAGATGAGAAGTGCTGCCATCCACGCTGCACTATCAACTGTGTAAGTCTGACGCCTGTTCTAATTTTAACATAGATTAACATAAGGTATGGCCATGCAGCAGAGACGACCAGGATGCCATCTTCGTTGATGGCGATACTCGTATTCAAATTCTGGACACGATGGCTTGGCTACCCCGCGCCGACAAGGAGCAATGTGGTGCTTTCATCGTGCGTCGAGACTGGCAATTCTGTACTCCATTTGTTGTCTGAACTCTATCCATTAGCGCGACGAACGTGTACTCGTTGTTTGGTCCTACAATCTCGACAATATCATCCCGACCTGCCGGGACTTTGAGGACAAGCTGATCAAATTGGTTTGGACTCAGCGCTCTGCTTTCACCTCCCTCAGCCCTACCGTCGCGTCCTCGACTACCAACTCCGCCTCCGATGTCAATCTTACTGAAAAGCAATCTGAGGTCGTCAACGAGAAAGAAGTGGAGGCGATCATCCAGCGGAAGAAGGAGTCCAGCCAACCGAAGAAGTCCCGAAGCTGGTGCGGTCTATCGTACTGGGTCTCTGGCAAGAGCGACGCCGAGAAGGCTGTTAATGGTCCTTCGTCGAGGCCAACACGTCTCCTGGCACCGTTTTACGGAGGACTTGCGGGTGGATTGTCTGTTTGTAAGTACCATTGGCCTTTTTTAGGCGCATATGTTCACAATATGTCATATTTACAGATTATCTGGGAAGTGGTGTGAACACCATGATTCAAGAGATCGTTCTCGATGGTTCATATACCCGCCTTGCCCTCCTTGTGACCCTACCCTTCCTTTACTGCATATCTTTGGTGAGTTCAAACATATTGTATGTTAGTCTTATATTCTCACGCGTGTTCTTAGTTCTTCTCCATAGTTATTGTCGGTAACGTGTCCATGATGTGAGTACATTCGACATTCCACCAGCCTTGTTCTGATCGTCATTCTTTTGCAGCATCGGTCCTGTCGCTCAGTATCATGAGAATTCGAAGTACTACTCTGCCATCCCGCCCTCTCCCGACAAGGATGTCGACAGCCGGCTCCCTCACATCACCATCGAGCTGCCGGTTTACAAAGAAAGCTTGTCTGAAACAATGTGAGTAGTCCGTTTTGTTTAGCTTTCGTTCCTTGCTCGTATGCGATCGACCCTAGCTTCGATCACGGCAACCTGCTTACAATTTGCAATTCATCTTGATCGCATCTTCTCACTCTTGTGGCTAAATGCAATTGAAAGTATGAGCTCATCGCCGTCTATTCTAGTGCGCCTTCGGTCTACTCCATCAAGAAGGCTATGCAGACATATGCTCGCCAGGGTGGTACTTCCGCTATCCTCGTTCATGATGACGGTCTCCAACTCATCTCCGAAGCCGAGAAGAACGAACGTATCCAGTTCTATGCCGACAATAACATCGGATGGGTCGCTCGCCCACCACACTCCAGTGCTCCGGATGGTTACAAACGTGCTGGTCGTTTCAAGAAGGCGTCGAACATGAACTATGGTCTCGCACTCTCGCTCAAGCTTGAGAAGCACCTTGCCGATCTCCTTGCTAAGGCTGAGGGGTCCGGCGAGGATATCGACGAGGAGGAAAACATCGAGGATCAGGCATTGGAATTGGCAATCGAGGAGATTTACGAGGAAAGTGGACGCCGCTGGAAGCCTTGGGCCTGCAACGGCAAATCACTTCGCGTGGGTGAACTGATCCTCATCGTCGACGCCGATACGCTTGTCCCCGAGGACTGTTTCCGTGATGCTGCTCGAGAGCTCGCGGAATGCCCCGAAGTCGCCATCATCCAACACGAGTCCGACGTTATGCAGGTCGCCCACCACTACTTCGAGAACGGCATTGCGCACTTCACTCGTCGTATCAACAGGGCTATCTCACTCGGTTGCTCCAATGGAGAGATTGCACCCTTCGTCGGTCATAATGCCTTCTTGCGGTGGTCTGCTCTTCAGGAGGCTGCCTTTGTCGACCCTGCTGACGATATTAAGAAAATCTGGTCGGAGACAAACGTCTCAGAAGACTTCGACATGGCTTTACGTTTGCAACTCAAAGGGTACATCATTCGTTGGGCGACGTACTCCGACGGTGGATTTAAGGAGGGTGTCTCCTTGACCTGCGACGATGAGTTGAATCGTTGGCAGAAGTACGCATACGGTATGTGATCCTGACGCATCGTAACGCGGTTTCGCTCTAACACCGGATCACAGGTTGTAGTGAACTGATCTTCCAACCTCTCATCGAGTGGTGGAGATCAGGCCCGATCACCAAGCAACTCCGCATTTTTGTGTGGTCTGATGCACCTATACACTACAAAATCAGTATGCTGTCTTGTGAGTCCCTGTCCTCATCCATCGTCTAAGTGCTCAACATTAACCTGTCCTGTTTTAGATATGTTTTCTTACTGTATGTGAATTATTGCTTCTGAACTCTCACATGCCTTCTGACGTTCTTGATTGTATAGATGGTATTGCCATTGGACTAGTACTTTCACTCGCAAACTATCTTCTTCTCGGATGGGGCTACGAAGTGGATGGATTCTATCTCAGGAGTTTCGAGATCTGGCTTGCTTGTGCTATCGTCTTCCCTTGCGCGGGTAACATTGGTTACATCCTCCTTGAATACCGTCTCGGACACCGGAGTCTCTTGGATTCGGCATGGGAGACACTGAAATGGGTTCCATTCTTGTGAGTACCACACATCCTCACTCGTCCTGTCCTTGCTCATTCCACTTCCCCTTAGCTTCTTCTTCTTTGGTGGTCTCAGCATTCACCTGTCCCAGGCCCTCCTTGCGCACATGTTCTCCTACAACATCACTTGGGGCGCAACTAAGAAGGAAGTTGAGCGGTCGAATTTCTGGCTTGAAGTTCCCAAGATCATCAAGCGTTTCTGGATGGCATTGGTCATGTGCATCGTGATCGCTGCTGCGATGGCAATTCTGTCAACCAATCTCATTCCATCGGGTTGGCGCATTCCTGGAAGTGATTGGGCCGTCATTCTTCCTCTTGCGTGAGTACCATCTGTCCTGCTATTTAATCTATCTGGCTGACCTTCATCTGTAGACTTTGTATTGGGTGCCATGCGCTCTGGCCTGTGAGTAATTTCGCTGTTCCCCTACCAATTTGTGATCTCTTACCCCCACCTCCTTTTGCAGATCGTCTTAAACCCTTGGCTTATGATCTTCTCGTACTGAACCTCATGCCGTGCTCACGCCCGTATTCACGAGTCTCACTATTTTCATTACGTCATCGTTGGATTCAAGATGCACGATGTACTTACACTCTTTTGGACTTTAGTGATGGGGTCACAATGTTTCCCACTCACGGACTGATGTATCGCTTTCCTCACTCTGTCCTTTCCCTCCGTCGTCTCTGTCGTACATGTTTAGAGTTTCTGTTTATACCTCACTGTCGCTTACTTGGGTCTAGGGTTGTCATTTCTCGGGATCTTAGGATAATTGGGAGTTTCTCCTTCTATACGCACCTTTGCCTTGATAGACTGTATAGCTACTATTCGTGTATTAATCATAACACCATGCATAGTTTCCATTGAGCATCGTGATGTACGGAAGTGAGTGCCTAGGGTTAGTCATATCCTAACGTTTGATTAATGACTGTCATGTCCAACTTCGGTGGCCTCCAACATCGGGAAAGTGACCCAAATGACTTCCCAGACATTGAGGAACGTTGACGTGGGGAGGGACAAAAGGATCATACCACTTCATGACCAATGATGTATTGCTACATGTTGGCGAAAACTTCAGTGACTTATCGCATGACGGAGAGAAAAGAGGCTCTGGAGCGTTGAACCTGGTAAAGGGGAGAGTACGAACACAACTGAAAGTGGTTCTGCAAGAGAACCGGGATGGAGGAGCCTGTAGAAATACCTTCCACGTGGCCAACAACTTCTTGGAGGGTTTCTCGGGCCTGGCTGTTGCCGCTCTAGCCTCTTGCGTTCTTGCTTTCACCTCAGGCGGGACTGGATAACTTGGGATATGGTGCAAAACACCTAGTCACCGCTACTTTCGGACAGTGGCCAACTTGGGGTCGCGACCAAAACAATTGATATTTCATGTCCAGCATCGGCGCGACATAGTCGCGCGAGCTCCTGAAGCTTTAAATATGCATTTTCCTCACTGAAAAAGGTCCGCAGCGTAGTCCAAGAGTATGTTCTCGGAGACTCTTGTGGGCGCTAAACATACCAAATAAGGTAAGTGGCCAAATTCTCACGAGCCCTGGGAATAACTTCTGTAGTTTTGAGAATTTCGACAAACCCTCTGACGAATCGATTCCTATTGCAAAAAGGAGTGTTTCTGCAAGAGGAATAAAAAATCTGGCGCTTTGTGTGAGCGCTGTTTCCGCCGTACAAAAGTAGCGGTGACTAGGTGTTTTGCACCATAGGTGGGTTTATTTTTTTTGGTTTTGCTCATTCATTGTCTCGTTTTTTGATCAAGCAGGAGATTAGTGAGACCGTGCTATAAAATGCGCGGGATTGTCACTGCGCATGACTTCAAGTCGATCGGTCTCTGAAGACATCTACTGAAGCGCCGAGATGGGTAAAAATCAATTGTCACCTCGATTCGACAACGTTCAACTGTATCGCAGGTGAAGTGATTAGAATCGACAGCGAAGCAGCGGATCTACAGTCGAAAATCCCCTGCTCCTCTCTCTATAGTGGTCGACGAGAATAAGCATTCGTGTACAAAACATTATGACAATTTGACATCAGCAGAAGGTTGCGTTAGAAATCTTGGACAGAAATCGGCAAGACAACCACCAAGTAAGCGATATGTCGAGTGTCCGCGCCAGGCATGTACATACTCTGAAGTCCTTGGTTAATCGATGCCCCATCCAGATGTCGTCCAGAATACATGAAACCGCTACGCCCATCATGCCCATCATCCGAAGAAGAACCAGTAAGGCACACCAGCTTGCTCACATCGTGTCGAGTCCCTTAATCGATGACAAAAGCCATGGGCAGATTGGCAGGGCTATGCAGGCAACTGCCCCGCCTCCGGATCCTATTCAGGTCCAAATTTCAGCGATGATCAGCATTGTTTGGGATGCTCGCGGGTGCAGAAGCATTTGCCGTTTTAGACCGGTGCTTCGTTGTAGTCAGTCCATACGTTTTCCAATGCAGCCTTCTAATGCCGAACCGTGGGTCATATAGGGCAACAGAGGCAATTGAGTATTACTTGTGGCGTTGAACCACGCCAGCCATTACTCTTCAGGACCACCAGAGAAGGTAGTTAATGAAATTAAGGATATGCTACGACCAGGGTTAGTTTTGAGCTAGATTGCTCGCGTCAGAATTCAGGTCCCCTCGTGTCAAGAGCCTGGCGTCGCATCGTACAGAGAACCAGATAGACACCTCAGGCGGCTGTGAGAGAAAACTCCGTGTGTTTCAATCGTTGTTGGTACCACAATCTATGCGATGCTGTGCGCTCTCGCCGGTGAAGTGGGTCTCTAGAATACGGTGGACCAAGTGTCACCGATGACCGGATGCTGAATGCCTATAAGTACCTAGTAAAGGGAGCTGCAATCGTCAGTTCCAGTAGTCCCAACCTAACTCACATTCAACGTCATGGCAGTCATTCATTCTTCTCTTGTATTCTTCGCACTCTGGTCCATGTCATTGCTCGTCAACGCAATGTCTACACCTACCCGTGACGTGTCTACACTCACCAAACGCGACAGTCCACAGGGTGTGCTCATCGGATGCTACCCTGGCGGCGCGGGTGGATGCCCTTGTCCCACTGATAAGTTCGGGGACGCAGGCGTCTTGATTAATGTCTTTCCTGGGTACCAGTGTGCGTATCCATCAGGCGCATGTTCCTGGAACGATAGGGTGAGTTCGATATTATCCTATATGATCGCTTGTAACTAACCTGGCCGTCATCACCTACAATAGAATGGCGAGTTGGATAACGTCGCCCAGGACAACTGTCCCTCTTCGGCTCCGTGCCCTAGTAGCGGGTGTACCTGTCCCTTGGACAAGAAGAAGGACATTGGTGTCATGATCAACTACTTCACGGGCTATCAATGCGCCTATCCCAACGGAGCCTGCACTTGGGACGAGGTGAATCAGCTTCCTGATGTCGCCAATGAATTATACTTACCTTGAAATAGAATGGGTCCTTGACCAACGTTCGTCAAGGAAACTGTCCATCATCTGCACAATGCAACAAGTTCAAGCGTGAGGAGGAAGGTGCGAGGATTTAGGGGTTAGTGGGAGGTTGATACCTTGAATAGCCCAGGGTCCCGTAGACGTGTCTTGGATAGTCAGTTTTTTTTTACACCGTGATCGTAAGTAGTATTGTAGTTTTACCTGGGTTAATTGTGGTTTGTGCTTAGAATGTGAGGTATTTATTATAATGGGTGTGTGAGACGCAAACTGAGATAATAGTCGAGAGGAGTTGATAGACAGTGCGAAGGAACCTGTCCTTGCCGTCCTTGTCCTTGACACGTTTCTGGCATCTACAGACCGGTATATGTTGCTGACGTCGAGAACATGATAGTGGAGGATTTGGAAACAGAAACAAGTTTGACGGCATCGTTCTATGAGCAAACGAGTCTGGACTGCACGTTCAGCTAAACTGGAGTTTTCTTACTGAGGAAGAATGCGGTCTGAAACAGACCAATGTACGTGCGGGACGAGCGCGATAACGGCCATCCACGATATACAGTGTATGCTTGCTCCGAAATTCAACATTAACATACACCTTGTTCCGCTGACTTTAAAATCAGTGATAACTTGGTAATACCGAAAGACCAATGGTGACATTGGGTTGTCAATAGCGAAACGAGACCATCCAATTTATGAAGCAACGGAAAGATAATTGTCCACACGCGGATAGGTAGTGAAGGGAAGCGCAATATCGGTGATGAATATCCCATCGCATAAATCGATGGAATAATGTCATATGAGGTTCCAAACGAAGATACGCTGGCATGCCTGGATGGTACCAGCACGACAAAGAAATCGTCAGCGACAATGCGAAGACTTTGAGTGGTAGGGGATCCAAGACACACAGTATGATGAGGGCCATGGTGCCGGCGTAACACTATTCAAAGCGTAGTGTCTTATGTACTGAGTGGTGAGCACTGACAACAAACCGAACGAATGTTTCGATGCGGAAGCGAGGCGAAGGCACTCCAGCTATAATAACCTGAACAATGTCAAATCTTCCGCAACATCCGGCACCATTACCATGCTCATTAGACGATAACATCCGAGAAGATCCATTTAAGGGGCATTCACGACGATATACACTATGCCAAAGGAGTCCAGAATACAGCCTTGAATTATAGTGATAATAGAAACAGGTGTGACGTACGTATGTGTGTGATAAATACTGCAAAGCGAAAACAATCTATATGATGAGTAGGGAGGTTACTTTTTAGACTGTGGCATAGTCTTCTTGTAGCTAGTCTCAAGCTCCTTCTGAACTTGAGGCATGACAGGAAGGTGTGTCTGTGATGAAAAGTCAGAATCACTGAACATGGAGAAGAATGAGGAATGAACGGACCTTGTACTCCATGCTGAATTCACCCTTGCCTTGGGTGACGCCTCTCAGCGCGCTAGAGTATCCGAACATGTCGTTCAAGGCAACCTCCGCGATCGCCGTGAATTCGTCCTCCCGAATTTCGCTGTCAACAATGGTTCCACGACGCTGATTAATGCCACCGATTACCGCACCTAGAATCATCAGATCGCGGTTAGTGCAGGACTAAACCGTTCGGTATTAGAGACATACTTTGGAATTCCGATGGTGCAACAACCTCGACAGTCATGATGGGTTCGAGAATGAGAGGAGCAGCCTTGGCGAAGGCTTCACGGAAAGCACCGATGATAGCCAACCTGAAGGCCAACTCGGAGGAATCAACGGAGTGGAATGCACCATCCGTGAGAACGAGACGGCATCCGGATATGGGGTTACCAGACAGTGAACCTTTCTCAAGAGCCTCGTAAAATCCCTATCCAAACACTATTGTCACACACTTACCGAGATAGAGGCCTGAAGACACAACGTACCTTCTCACATCCGGGAATGTAGTTCGTCGGGATGTTTCCACCGATGACGGAGTTCTCGAATGCAACATCTTTACCGGTCTCCTCATCCTTCTCCATAGGCTCGATATAACCAATCACGCGAGCGAATTGACCAGCACCGCCAGTTTGCTTTTTGTGCGTGTAGTGGAAATCGGCTCGTTGACTGATGGTTTCGCGGAATGCAACACGAGGTTTGCCAGTGACACATTCCACCTTGTACTCACGTCGCATGCGCTCCGCGTAAATGTCCAGATGAAGTTCTCCCATCCCTGAGATGATAGTCTGGAGCACAAGTCGTGAGACGAAATGACAGGCAATCACTGTATGGTGTTGCCTACCTCCTTACTGTCCTTATCGATATGGACACGGAAAGTGGGATCTTCCTTCGTGAATCGGTTTAGAGCGCGAGAGAAGTTAGGAGTTTCTTGACCAAGTGGTTTCAAGGCAAGAGACACAACGGGCTCAGGAACGTACATAGAAGTCTAGGAGACACTCTATGAGGAATCGAGGAAGCCATCTGAGAGGAAGTTTGCTTACCATAGAGAAGGTGGTAGAACCGTCAGTGAACGTATCTCCGGATGCACATTCGACACCGAAAATGGCGCAAATTTCGCCGGGGCCAATCTCGTCAATATCCTATGTGGCATGTAAGTCTACAAAATGATGGGGTTTCACATCATAATGTGCGTGCTCACCTCCATTTCGTTGCTGTGCATACGAACTAACCTGGGTACCTTGACCTTCTTACCGGTGCGAGCGTGGTAGATGAACTGACCCTTGCGCATGCTCCCCTGGTAGACACGCATGTAGGTAAGTTGTCCGAAACGACCCTCTTCGAGCTTGAAAGCCAAAGCGACGAGCGGGGCTGCAGCAGCGGCAACGAGAGGAACAGGAGGAGCAGACGTCGGCTGACTGATGTCATGAGCAGTCATTATAGCTTCAGATGGCGTGGGCAAATAAGTGCAGACACCGTCGAGAAGGGGTTGAACCGCAGTGTTCTTGACAGCTGAACCGAGGAAGACAGGCGAGAACTTGAGACCAACGGTCGCACGACGAATTGCGCAAGTGAGCTGTGCGGTCGTAGGATCCTCATCCATGATGAGGAGTTCACCAATCTCGTCATCAACTTCGGCCAATTGTTCAATAAGCTCACGACGTTTCTCCTTGGCAAGATCGATAACTTCCGCAGGTATTTCATCGGACTCAACGATAGTGGTACTTAAGAAAAGTGAGTATAAGAAAAGTGAGTATAAGAAACGAGAACACTTTGAATACACGTACCCCTTCTCGCCTTCGTTATAAATTGCTTTCCAACGCACGAGATCGACTACACCACGAAGTTGGTCTTCCACACCAATAGGTACCTGAAGAGCGGCAGCCGGAATCTTGAGCTTTGTCCTGATCTGGTTAATAACTCGCCATGGGTTCGCGCCGGGCCTGAGAAGGATATATACATTAGCAAAAAAATCAGATGCATGGTCTCAAAGTTGCGAACCTGTCCATCTTATTGATGAAGGAAATCCTAGGAACATTGTACCTTCGCATTTGCCGATCGACCGTTGTGGTTTGACTCTACACTAGGTTATTGGCCTTGGTCTGACTGTAAATAGGATGTAAACATACCTGGACGCCAGCCACAGCACATAAAACCAAGATTGCACCGTCGAGAACCCGCAAAGCACGTTCCACCTCAATAGTGAAGTCGACGTGTCCTAACTGTCTGTCAGTCATTTAGAGACCCTACTCATTAAAGCAACATACCAGGAGTATCAATGATGTTGATAGCATATTTTTCCTTCTCGCCAGTGTCAGGCATTGTCGCGACCCAGTCGCAGAACGTAGCCGCACTCTGAATCGTGATGCCCTTCTCTCGCTCGAGTTCCATGCTATCCATCTTGGCACCAACATTATCTCTACCTCTGACCTGTCATTGCATATGTAAATTCAGATATGTAACCCTGCATGAGACCAATAGACACACCTCATGAATGTCCCGAATACGCCCGGTGTAGTAGAGAATACGTTCCGTCAATGTAGTCTTGCCCGAGTCAATGTGGGCAGATACTCCAATATTTCGCTGAAACCTGAGTCGTTTTTCATCCGCCTCCGAGAGGTTGTAGGAAGGATAAACTGGAGCATCCCCCTCAGTAGGTTTCGGCTTGATAGCAGTTGCAACGGAAGCATATGTCCTAGCGCATGATGAAACACGTAACCAGTAAGAGAATGAAGAAGTTGGCCTAAAGGAAAGATGGGAAAGAGGTCCCCGGAGCCGCATCTTGGCCGTCGTCGTTATCGACCCTTCTCGCCGTCCTCTACAACGTCGAAAGTTACTGTCGGGACCAGCAAGCAACTCTATGGGCGCTAAATAAAAATAATGACCGCGGTCCGGGTTGGACCGCCCAAGCTGCCCAACAATGTGCTTGATATTTGACCGAGACTTGCAACTTTCGATATTTGTATCTCTGCTATCCTTTCACTTCCATCTCTATACCCATGTTGGAGAGCCAAGTCGCTGAGAAACCTGTTCCAGAGTGGGCTCTTTCGTTCCCTGTTCCTCAAAGCCACCCACCATCCATCGATGCTTCTGAGCTCGCCGAGCTCGTTCGGACGAAGCAACCTGGAAAAGATTTCATTGTTGTGGATGTTCGCAGGACTGACTTTGAGGTAACCCTCGTTTTACAATTGTGTCCTTGGGCAAACTTCGACGAAACAGCGATTATTAGACTGCCTTTGTACGAACGGCTATCAACCTTCCCGCGCAATCATTCTACCAAACACTTCCGTCCTTGCTCCCTATTCTTCGTGATATTCCCGTCGTCATCTTCTACTGCAATTCATGCTCTGCAGGAGGTCGCGGTCCTCGTGTCGCTGCTTGGTATCAGGACGCGCTAGATGCTCAGGGGATTAAATCCAGTCAGGCATTAATTCTCGTTGCAGGAGTGAAGGGTTGGATTGCTCGATATGAAGAGGACTCAGTTTTGACAGTAAAGCTTTCTTAAAGCTTTCTTGAGTAAGCTTGCTCTGTGCGTTTCTTGTTGCCTTGCTGAGCGGCAATACGTTTGCAGACATACAATATCATCCACTGGATTTCCGTTGAAATACGACGGTGTCTATACCCTATGCACTCGTGATACATCGTTCTCAAATTGATTCTCCAGGCGTGCTGCGCTGCGAGCTCTCGGCAATCGCAAGTATGTTCCAACAGAACCTTTACAAGACACGAGGCGTTTGTATGGGCGTTTCGATTGCTTTATCCTGCTCCTGACGTTGAAGTATTAACGTGCTAGCTCCTCCGCGTTCTCATAGCTCCTGGGCTGGTGCGACACGTTGTTTCTTGTCTAAGGATCCATATATAAGCCAAGGTGTCTTCTGGCCGACTTTCTCTGTCCTCTTCTCAGGCCCTGTTAACCTTCGCTATGGCCCATCCCGTATTCTGGCCTCACAAAACATTTTTCTATCCGATCGGAAATACACCACCGGTGCTGTTGACTCAGTTCCTTGCCTCGAAAGAGAACACGAAGGCTCTACTCTTGGGATGTGGTGATCCTAGGAATATCCTCTATACGCTCTATGCCTCAGGAGCAGACACTTTGGAAGGTGCGTCGTTGGAGGAGCGCACCCTTGGCGCTATGCTTATGCTATGTGCGGAGACGAGAACCTTCGACTTCACATGCGTCGATATCGAAGGCGCGATACATGGTATGTGTGACTACATCCGTGACTCAATTTACTAAAGTTGAGCATTGTAGCCCGCAACATGATCCTCTTCACTCTGATCATGGACGATTGTTATCCTAAAAACGACGTCCAAGTCTGGAATATATTCTACCACTTCTTCCTTGACAAGGATTCTCTATCGCTGCTCATCAGTCAGTGCCGCAAGCTTTTGGAACTGTCTCAGGACATGGAAGCCTGGAACGCTGGGCCATACTCCCGTGTTCTGAGAATATGCAGTTCCTTCACGCTTTCCGAATTGCGCCGTTACTGGACTGCATATGCCACAACCGATACTACGGGGCCGTTCAAAAGGCGGTTCATGGCGGGTATGAATGATGCGCGAGAGAAGATGGGTGATGGCATGTTAATTCGCTCCGCAGGCCCACTCCTAACGAAATCTTTCAAATCTCTGCGCCGTGCCTGTAGGCACTTCTGGAAGACAGGTGTCATGTCTGAAGATACCAAGGTCGTTACTTCAGCGACACATGTGAATCCTATGTTCGCATACTCCATTCAAGGTGATGGATTTGTTACACACTATGGGACCATGCCTGCGGCTGCATTCCCCATTGCTCCTGCCTTCGCACAACTTCGTGCATCATTGCCAACCTCCACATCTTTTCCCAAGAATGACCTTTACGGCACAATGCATGACCAATTCCGAAGCTGGTGTACCACATTTCGACATGCTGCCCTCTATGTAGGGCAGAAGAGTAAAGTTATCATCAGGATACTCGTGGGTGACGTCCTCTCTTGCTGTTACACCCTACAGCACTATGCTTATAGCCGTACAACAACTGCGCAACACCGCGTCGCGCCCTGGAACGCGGAGCCTCTCGTGTTGGATGGCTTGGATTACGAAACAGAAGGGGATGCCATACCTCCTCGCACCTTTAACGTGATCGACACTTCGAACCTCGCAGATCACATTGGTATCGTGAACATACTCGTAGCAGCTACGCCTCTACTATCTCGGACATCGACATCCACGTTGAACACCGAGACCCTCCTCCTTTATGGAAAGGATTCCGACACAGCGTTTGCAACCAGCCTATGCGGTGACATCACTACCATGTCTATTCTGTTGGATATAACCCCATGTTCATACGTTTCCAACTTCTCGACCATATCGAATATCCATGAAATCCTGTTATATAAATCGACTATGCTAGGAGGACAGTTTCATGATCGCGTCACTTGGAAAATCCCTTCCCTGATGGACGACCAAAATGGTCCTCATCGACTCGCGTTCGAAGCCAAAGCATTTGGGGAACTACTCTTCAACATCTACTTGAAGATGTTCCATTTCGAGGATATGACTGCAAAGTTTCAAAATCTTTCCGTTGAGACTATTCGCGACAGTGAACGAGTTCACTACTCCCGATTGAGCCTCGCTTTGCTGCTCCAAGCTGTGATGAAAAATGTCACCGCTGATTGGTCAGACGTTATTCGAGCATTGCTCGACCTGATTGAGCAGGACCGCTCGCTGATACTTGGTTCCAATAATTATCAAGATTTACTCTGCCATCTCCATGTCTTGGGCATTTATTCCTGTAACAACTTCAACGTGCCGGGAGTCGATGAATCCGCTATGGTCAGGGACATTGTCAAAGGCCTGCGAGCATGGGACGTGATTCCGCCCCTTATATGCGTCACTCTGCTTGTTCCCCTCAAGGAACTGCAAGCCATATCTGATGAGCTAAGGCTCAACCCAAATATGAATATGCTTGTACACAGTGGTCGATTTGTGAACGTTTTCACTCCGATCCAGACCGCTGTTGGCACCATCACGGGGACTGTGGAAGCTGGAACACAGCCAGTATACATTCAAGAAGACCCCAATGGTACCAAGGGCAACTCGTTCCTCATCGTCTCTTGTTGGGTTCGTGCCTGGATCTTGACGGTCGCACCGAATCACACTGTCGCTCTTGCTCTGCAGAGCACGGGCAATACTGCTAAGTTGGCTATGCAGGGCAAATTGGGTCTCAATCTGGAACTTTATGGATCATCATTAGAAAATAGTCGAAACGTATTGTTGACCCACCAGCCTCCAACGAAATTCTCTCAGCGTGGATCCCTCACTGCTCCCATGTTCGGAGCACCTATTTCTTCGGGAGGATGTGATACATCGAGTTCTGCGACGAACCGAGCTGGAGTTATCTCTACAATGGCTTGCCGGGTAGTTGTAACGTGTCCAGATGCACAGGCGCAGCTCGCCAACCGCTCGGTGGAGCTTAAGGCGACCCAAGTATCATCTTGTAAGATGCTGCTTCATGTCGGAGCCGCTCTGAGACAAGAAGTCGCATATCCATTTCCGATCCAGGGTGCTCAAGCTAAATTGCGAATCGCTCGGAAATCCCATTACGTTGAGGTGTGTCACGCAACATTTCTCTTGTTCCGCATGCCTGCTAACCCTTCTTACAGATAGTGGTGTCGCCTGCAGGCCCTAGTGTTCCAGGAGGGATGGCAATGAATAGGTTTCCTGTCGTACGCAACGGTGGTAACACGGTGGCATGGAACATGCATAGGGTGAATATGGATCGTCTCCCTCTCCTCGATATATCACAAACGGAACAGCTTGACTGGCTCAATCCTGCCGTGTCTGGGATGTTTTCTGATAGTGACCGCACGGCACGCGAAGGACGTGCGGAGAGAGACCTCGTACTCGGCGACCTTTATGATATGAAAGATTCCTGACATGTCATATTTGTCCGGACAGCTGGGATTCAAAGTGCTCCATCCACAGTGTTCGCTCTGAACTGCGAGGGTCGTTCCGATACGCTTCTGTTCATTACGGGTTTACGATTGGACCTTCCAGCACATACCGTCGTCGCAGATGCGTTCGTGTTGCCTATGCAACAAAGCCTTGTAGGAAATCTCAGGCAGGCGCTGGGACGTCTCAAGGGAGTGGTGCAAGTCAGAATCACTCATGATGAGCTAATACTTTGGAAACGAGTACTTCCAGCTATGGTAGAGCGTTGTAGAACCTGGGAGCACAAGGATGATTGTTTGTACAGACAATCTCAGCGGATACCTATCAGTGTCCAGTACAGTCAGATCCCGATATGCGAGTGCGGTCGCGGATTGGACACCAACACTTTCAAGACAAGAATTGAATGGCGTGCATTTGCCCCATATGTGACTCGCATCGCAATCTGCCCTCTTTTCCCGGTTTCCTATGTGGAAAGCGTTGGTGGTGCTGTCGCAGAACTGGCTCAAAAGTTCATGGAGATGAAAGGCGAGCCTCCTTTGAATCAATGCTCAAAATGCGGTGTTTACGCTGGTCGTAATGTCAAGCTTTTGGTCTGCAGTAAATGCAAGACTTCCGCATACTGTAGCAAAGCTTGCCAGACCGCACACTGGAAACTGCACAAAGGCAGTTGCATCGCCTAGCCTGTTGAGCTTGAAATATTCCAGCGTTTGTAGTATTCTATTCAAATCTTCAGTCTAGCTTGCCGGGATGTGTTTGATGTAGGCTTCCACCATGAATTCTGGCATATGCCAGTACGAACACCAGGAGACACTTTTTTTCAATCGTTGGTCGACACCTTCGGTCGATAAATGCGTCAAAAGGGATTGATGTTCCCCAATCCGAGGTCCGGCGTTAGTTACACAGAGCGTCTGAACTCTTCTCCATTACCACAAACGGATTCCAAGTATGATACGGAAAAGAGTGGACTGATCGCCACACGAGTGACATATGGAGCGAATGGCTTCCATTCCTTTCTAGTGATAAGAGTCTGGATGTCGCGTCCGACTCCACAGTCACAGAGAGGACTATGAACATATTCAGTTGAAAGCGGGATCTTGCCATGCTTTTTGTACAAGCATTTCATTTTGTGCGTCCAATGCCTGCATCGTTCTGCCATCGCTGGGAGTGCACGTTTCCACATAATAAGTTCATCGGGGGATAAATTGACACCGAAGATGGAATTCGTGAGGCTGAAAGCCTCTTTCAAGCCGGTCTTGAGTATGCTCTGGTTGACCGGAAGGACAAACGCATCGGCGACGACGGTGTGCGCGGGTAGATCCAATCGTAAGCCTGCGACAAAAAGGAAGCTGTCGATGCCACCTTTCTCTTCGCTATTCAGAGCAAAAACAACATATTTCGACTCCAAGGTCCCAGAAGCACTGGCGAGGATGATATGTAGGGTATCCTTTATGTCTGAAAGGTCGTCGAGAAGCGGGTCTTTCTGGGCACTTCGGTTGTGAATAGGTAGTTCACGAGTGGACATCATCATGGAAGAGACGTGGAAGTTCATCCAACCTATCTTCGTTGGATCGTTTAAGTCGAGGGCCGGCAGATTGTCTAGGTTCACCAGGTGCAAGTTCCATGAAGCAGTCTGAGTTTCATTCTTGATCATTGGGAACCTGTTAACTGACATCCCACCAGTCGTGCGGAAACCAGCTAGTGGCGCAACGACCTGCGAAAGTTAGCTATATAAGGATGACCTGAGGGGCTCATGAGGATGCATACCTCTATGTATGCAGACTTTCGTGCGATGCGCAGCTTGACCTGGGGTCCATCCACTGGAAATGGAAATGACAGTTCCTTTTTCATAGTAGTTCCGAGAGAAAGAGACATCCTGCACGGCGATATCTGAGTTGCGTTGATTTCTGTGGAACGTTCCGCCAGATGCGTCTTCGCCTCAGTATCAACAACGTCTGTTCGAATAGTGAAAGACGAGATACCCCGGTTGTCGGTGCTAAATGAAATCGAAATAGGATCTGCTTCTGGAGCAGATGGGCATACGAAAATGGGAGTCGCGGAAGCACCACGATATGTAGACTTCCGAGGAGGCTCACGAACCAACCAAACATGGTGCATGTCGTCCAGGGACGTGGAAAACACTTCATTGAACATGCCGAGCAAGGACGAGAGCTTTGCTGTTTGGGGAGTGCTTTGTACTCCAAATGCTACCGTGATGGCTTCTTTGGTTGACGCTAACGTCCAGGAGGGAATCCAGAATGATATTACCAGAGAAGATGATCCCAGTCGTCCATGAGGATCCTCCTCAATGTAGACCACATCCTGGCTTTCGCCTACGATGACATCTCCGAAAGCCGCATATATGGGCGTGAAGTAATTGAGGAAATGTCCCCCTCGGACTATAGCATGAACACCAGGGTTGCCCAAATCCGGATCTTCTAAAACCTGTAGTTTGGCTCGAGGAATAGACAGAACGATGCATATGACAGGCGGAACAATATCAAAAATATGCAATCTTTTGACTACCTGCTTCGTCGACCTCGCAACTTCAGCCGGGTCAACTGGCGCAAAGTTCGTCACAGAATACATGTCGAGGGAATGTAGGTGGCAGGAGAAGTCTTGCAAACTGTTCGATCCGATGAGCAGAGTCTTGTCCGAGTTCATGAGGTCGAGCAGATGTTTGATAACATTGTGCCAATCAATGGTAACCCGCTTTTGGACACTCTGAATGAATAGGGCGAAGGTGAGTCGGGAGTAATGCGCTGCTTCTCTGGCTCGGGGTTTCTCCATAGACATGTTACGCATCCTGTCGGATAAGTCCTCCGACCAGAACATCTTTAAGTAGATATCAAAGAGTAATCTTGCGAGTTGCTTGGGGTCAGAGGTGATCGGATGGACGTCGGACGATGTGTCCATGAGCGAAGGTATCTTCCAATGAGTACGCTCATGAAATTGACCTTGTCCAGGTGTGGCCAGGCATGATATTATCTCATGAAGGTTTGAATGGCTGTTGAATGTGGAGACAAATGGTACGGGTGTGAGGTCGAGTAGGACTGACATAGTGGCAATGTCGCAACACAGGCTATGTGCGAACGCTGTAATGGAACTATCGGAATCCGATCCATATTCGTGCAAAGTTTCCGTGTATAGTGCAGAAGTCGGTGAAGGTGCGAGTAGGGGTGTGGCTGCAATGAGGATGTTCATGATACCAAGGTGATCCGCCAAGTTGGAGGTTTCGATAACATTGAATGTGGAAGGTGGTGCGAAGGGACCATTAGATGCATAACCTCCTCCATCCAGAACCATAGGTTCGGCGGTCCATGTGGCAACACGATGACCCGCAGATGTGGATTGGTCGGAGTCATATCTACGAAGGGTGTAACTGGCAGCCAACGCATCACCTGCCAGGAGACGGATGATCACCTTGCCTCTCTTGGCTGGAGATGGTCGAGTTACATCATGAAAAGCACTGCACCACCGATGGAATTCATTCTTCACATATCGGAATACATCTGCGCTAGAAGGCTCTTGATGAAAAGAGGATGATTGTACAGGTGCGAAAAGGGGTGCGAGGGGAAATCCTGATGGGGGAAATGTAGCATGATGTGCAACAAAACCATCTCCTCGATGCCAGTGGGCAAACATCGGGTTCACATGCGTGGCAGCTGCAATGACATTACGATCGGTAGACATGATACCAGTCTCCCAAAAGTCATGGAAGGCTTTGGGCAACACCTGCATAGCGGCCACAAATAAAGGACCAGCGGATCGACCTCCAACGACAGCGTTCTTATTGAGTTCTTGTGTATGCTTCATTCCGTCGAGGTAACGATTCTTGAAAGAGCCCGTAGTATTAGTGTCAAGATACGCTTGCCAATATCGACGAAGCTCCTGGAGGGTGTAGAAACTGCATAACCTCACAACGTGGGCGTAAGGTCCAGAATTCCAGGTCGCCACATCCCCGGAAAGCTGTAACAGCTTACGACATTGGCTCGACAGTAGCGACAATGCGTCTTCGGCTAGGAAGAAATCATAGAATATACTGCAAACGCGGGTTGCGTTGGCACGATATTCTTCGTCCATTAGCAATGTGCAGAGGATGACATTCCGAGCTGTCAATCATTCGATATCAAACATATGCAAAGCTACAAAAGAGGATGACAATACCGAGAATCGCGCTTTCCGTGTCCACACATGTGAAGTCCAGTGAAGGACACTCTGTCCAATTAGAAGTTAAAACAGTGTGACACTCAAGCAAATAAAAGCCCACCATCGCCATTATTCAGCTTTGAAGCATGAATCGTGTACAAGATATTCCTAGGGTCTCCACAACCTAGGAGTAACACTCTGCCGTCTTCACTTGGCGCGAGGAACTGAGTCAAAAGCACCGGGGAGGTGTTTCCAATAGGATAAAAAAAGATTTATGCGGCCAATACAGAGGCTGAGTCATGCTGGCAAGTGCTAGTGAAGGTCGAAGACAAGTTGTGTAAAAACGTGCACCAAGATTGCTTTACGTGTTTCTTGGAGAAGCGTGTCTTATGATGCAGTTGCTTGACCATTAGAGTTGCAGTGTGACCTATTTGGGGACAGGTCTTCAAAGCTTCACAATCTTTGCAGTCGGCAAGGCTGGAAACAAGTTGAGCGGCGAATACGGTCAACATGATATATGTACTAGCTATGTATGGTTTTCAAGTTGGCTGTAAATGTTGTAAGACGCGACGCGACGGTAACTGCAATTCGCGCTTACGTCATGCCATCGCGTCAAGCTTGCAATTGAAATTCACCTCCCAGATCCTCAATCCAAAATGTCGATTCTTAGATTCAGAACGTCCAGGCCAGCGTTGCCGGTAAAAACACTTTCGATATATCCACCATGAGCCTCACGTATGCCGCTGAGAAGCAGGTCGCGATTGCGGCAGTGACAAGAGCATGTATCCTCGCATCTTCTGTATTCAATAAACTCGTCAAGAACGAGACATTGACCAAAGATGACAAGAGTCCTGTAACTGGTGCGTAAACCAACGGCCCATGTTGTCAATTTTCAAATGTTGACATAGCATCTCTTCTTCAGTGGCTGATTATTCTGCTCAGGCAGTAATCAATACGATATTGAGTCGCACCTACAATGATGACCTGATAGTGGGAGAAGAGGATGCTGGTGATCTGCGAGCAACTTCCGCTTCTCCGTTACGGAACCGAATTGTGGATCTTGCTAATGAGGCTCTGACGGCGGAGCTGCGACCAGGCGAACGAGCAGACTGGGGTGTTGGACCCGGTTCTGCTCTTACTGCCGACCAACTTTTGAGTGCAATTGACCGAGGAAATTATGCTGGCGGTCGAACTGGAAGTGAGTATGGTTCCTGATGGTAATTTTTTTTCTGATTAAATCGGCTATAGGGATGTGGACATTGGACCCTATTGACGGCACAAAAGGCTTCCTACGAGGCGAGCAATATGCAGTTTGCCTTGCTTTAATCATCAATGCACGCGTCGAACTCGGTGTCATCGGGTGTCCAAACCTTCCTGTCTCAGCAGCTGACCCCTCCGGTCCTCGTGGATGTATATTCGTCGCCGTACGCGGCCAGGGGGCAGCCCAAGTTCCACTCACTGACCCGTTCACCTCCACACCGACGCCAATCTCGATACCTACATTCACTCAAGAAAATTTGAACCTGCTCGAATCAGTCGAGAAGGCTCATGCGAAACTGTCGTTCAATGAGCGTGTCGCTCAGATACTGGGTATCACGAGACCGCCGACTCGAATGGATAGTCAGGCGAAATATTGTTCATTAGCAAGGGGGGATGGGGCTGTCTATCTTCGTATGCCGACGGGCGTCGGGTACAAGGAGAAGATTTGGGTATGTCTACATTTGTAATTTAGTCACATCATGCTCACGTCTTCGTATTTGCAACCACAGGACCATGCTCCTGGGTCGCTCTTAGTTGAAGAAGCCGGCGGAATCGTGTCAGACTCTCGTGGGGAACCTCTGGACTTTGGTTTAGGTCGGACATTGGGAGAGAACTTTGGTGTGATCGCAGCAGGCAAGGACATTCATTCCAAAGTCCTGGATGCAGTCAAACGCGTGAAAGAAGAGGAAGCAAAAGGCCAGTCGATGTTCAAGTGATACCCAGGAGAGGGGAAGCCGATCTATTGACGCAGTTTGTCGCTTGTGACATTGCACAACATGAGCTTCGGCGGTACATCGTCTGTAGACACTGTTTGTAGCGACATCCAGCCTATTGGCATGACTCAACTTGTAACAGTTCTGGGGCTTGATTTGTTCAGGCAGAGATGTATCATTTCGTAGAACCTTACAACTGAAGTGTATGACGGATGGAATGGAAATATCGATGTGAGCAAAAGACATGTAGCTTGAAGGCAGCTGTTAATGTCATTGTCTGGCGTCGTAACCGCATCCAAACCATGTTTCAAAATTAGCAGAGTTCAAACTTTGAGGTGACAAATTCGTATGTCAGTTTGACGACCATACCAGTGACAGTGTTCTGTTGGCTTTCTGAAAGGAATCGGTCCGAAACAAAAATAAATACAGAGAAACCTACTATCTTTCAACTACAAATGACACATCCACAGGACAGAAGTGCCGTCCTGCAAGACATGTACGATCAACTCGTGATATCACTCACACATTCCCATGTGCCCTTCAAGTTCTCCTTCCACAATGTGACCTTGCCGTCGCCACAGCTGACGGCAAGAATGTTCCCTGCCAGAGACCAGGAGACTCTCCATACAACGTCGGGGAACTTGCCAGGTGCACCCCCTGGAGCACCAGCAGCGGCAGACGCCGAGGGGTCCAATGCAGTCTTCACCCACGGCGAAGTAGGCGTGTCTTTAGTCCAAATGAGGACCGTCTTATCCTATACATAGTGTAAACGCACGTTTGCGACTCGGTTAGGGATGATCGTCTTCCCTCAAGGGTAAGTATAGAGAACGGACGTACCTGCGATGCGGTAGCAATATAGCTTCGAGGGAGACCGATGTTAGGAGCCCAGGCAACATCACGGACCCAATCAGTATGACCATCCAAGACCTCTTCTTCCACCCAAGCTTGGGTATCATCCCGGAAACCCCAGATCTTCACTAAATTGTCGCACCCCGCACTGGCAAATCGCTTGACGGTCTGGATGCTGGATGGATGCTGACCTGGGAGTGTCTCAGTGGGTTGAGGGGCAATAAGCGAACCTGGTTGAACGGCGGGTGCCCACGAGACCGCGTTACAACCGATAGCATGTCCGATGAAAATGTCGGCGCCCCATTGACCGTCGTCTGGAAGCATACGCGTGAGGACAAGAAAATTAGGGCGGAATGCGGCCGGGCGTACTTTTGAATGTGAGGACGGAGATCTTGCCGTCCGAAGATGCGCATGCAAGGATTGCACCAAGTTCATGGGGTGCCCATGATACAGAATTAACTTCCGACCACTCCTTAGTTCACGGGTATTCTTGAGAAGAGGGCAAACACGTACCTGAGGCTACGTGGAGACTGTGTTCCTTGATCTTTGCCCATCCAGTCGCACCAGGTTGACCTTGTTGCTCCTTCCAGATGATGACCTTGCCGTCATACGAGCAAGACGCAAGAATGTGTCCGAATTTCGGATGTGCCCAAGCGACTTGCCATACGGGGCCTGTGTGACTGGAACAGAAGCGAACTCTAAGAGCGGAACCTTCAGTGATTCAAGTAAAGACTCACCCTTTCAATGTCTGTCCGCTGTTTCTCTGAGTCTCCCCGTCGACAACATCAAACACTTTCACCGTTCGGTCAGAAGAGCAAGTTGCGAGACGTTTCCCGTAGTAGTCCAGTTGGGCATCATGCTAACACGACGTGTTAATACCGCGTTCAATGAAGCAAAGGTGTTTGAAACGTACGATCATGTCCTCATGGGACGTCTCAATGGGTATTGGGTCCGATGCATTTGCTGCAGTCTACACAGACATATTAGCATTCCGAGCAATGTTTGAACCAGTGATGACCATACCATGGTGGACTACGCTGAGTGGTATGCGGTCGTTGCAAGTCAGTGCCTTGGTTCAGTATCGACGTGGTCAGGCGCGTCTTCAGGATCGACTCAACTGAATCGAGCCTCCGGCCCGGGTTAACATATTGTATTTCTGAGCGCTCAGCGCTGACGCCGCTGAGCGTTGAACTCTCGAGTCTCGTTCATTTCGACGATGTTCTCTTCTTTCTAGACAACATTATATAGCCCTTGGTCCCTTTTTCTAGCTGGTATGTATGCTCTTACTATATTCTACCGAATTCATCCAGGTTTTGAACAGTGCTGACCGGTTATATGCAAGGTATAGTATACAGCTGGTCCGTCAGGTCCATAATGCGATCTACGCCATTTCCGTTGGAGGCTCATCCATTCCTACGGCCGCCCCGACAGCTGAAGCGACAAATTTAAAGCCTTTGGTGGCACTTGCACCAACACTACTCTCCGCTTCTGAAGCTGACGCGCCGTCGGGGTTCACCAAATAGCTAATTGCTTCACTAGGCATCGAATCAGAAATACAGCCCGCCACCGTTGAATAATGAACTTACCCAGCCTGGTGAGCGGATATAGACGACAATGTCGCCGGAGGCACATACTCTCGTATGGCGCCAGCAATTGCAGATGCAAGGTCTTTGGATGGCATGCCCAATGCTGACGCCAGTTCATTTATCCTTTCCTCAACTGTCAGCTCCGCTCTACCCTTAATGCCTGCTGTTCCAGTTTGCCAATCGCTCCCTCCCGATGATGTACTAGTAGTACTCTGGACTGCCGGTTGTCTTTTCCCTAGAGCCAGATTCCACCACCCTCCTGCATCCGACTTCCATTGTACGAGACGATATGTGTATAGGGCAAACATGAGCGCTGCGAAGATGGCCAGGTAGTAGTTGAATCGATGCATGGATATGTTCGATAGTGGTGGTGAAACGGATCTAATGGCTTTAGCCTGACGAGGTGGGGGCAAGTCAGATGATGACTGCACCGCTGTTCTCTTGCGTGAGTTGATAGCTGGTTCGGACATGGTGGTGACTGGTAATAGTAGAGTTTTGAAGGACGAGATGAGTGTCGCGAATGAGTTTATGTAGTGTTTGAATGAAGTCAAATATTTCAAGTAGCTTGAAGTACGTACATGCATGGAATTCGCCACCAGTACCACTGACATCATCTCCACAAAACGTCATTTACGTTGATTCCAGCGTGGCAACGACATCCGTACCTGTTTCTGAATTGAAGCTCAGGCTTCTCAAGTTTCAAGCTCAGTACTCTTTCTGATCATGGTAAAGGAAACCGGTGCACGACAATGTCAACATTTCATAGACACTCGCAGGCAAGAAGGCTAAAATACAAGTATTCTTATATCCACGGGCAGCGGACAACTAGCAGAAAGTCTGTCACGGGCAGGCAATCATCAAGGGCAGTACAAATAGTAGGAACTAGACAGGTATAGCGGTACTGGGACGTCGTAATGGAAGAGCGCGAGAGAAAGCGGGAGCGATATGCATACACAAAGAAATAGGAGGCATCGCGAAGGTATCTATCAGAACCAAAACAAGGAGAACGCAGAAAACACAGTCGGAAACACATAGCGCGTAGAAACGGAAGCTCAGAATAAAACCCGGATGAACGTACGTGTAGAGCACCAAAAAGCTAATGTACAGCGGTCAAACACACCTAGCGCGAATAACGACGAATTACCATCAAGCACCAGTGGATCGGTCTTCATCACGATCCGCTTCTGCCACCACATCCGAGGCATGACGTCCATCCGATGCGGCGTCACCAGTATGCTGCCCATGCGATGGTGGTACATAAGTACCATATGGTTGTGACCAGGCAGGATATGTGGGGTATCCATAGTATGGATAGCCAGCTGGTTGCGTAGGAGCAGATGTTTCTGCAGGGTAAGTTGGGTAGACAGGAGGAGGGTGAGCCGGAGGTGGAAGTGTATGCGTTGGGGGAGAAGGTGCTGGGGGAGACGGAGACGTTTGAATTGGTGATGCAACAGTAGCCGGTGCAGGATAAGGCGTAGGATAGGAACTATGGTAACCATGTGTCTGGTAATATCCATATGATGCATACTGGGGTGAGGTAGTTGCAGACAGACTGGCATCGCTGTACGTAGGCGAAGGATGGTGATAAGATGTCGCCGTGTATGAATGAGTTGAAGGATCATTGTGAGCCACGTCCTGCGATGAAGATGCAGAAGTCTTGGGTTTTCGTGTACGCTTCGGCGTTGGCGCACCATACGGGTCATAGCGTCTAGCACGCTTGCTCGAAGTGCTTGGCTCTTCGTGATATGGATGAGGAGCGAGCGGTGCGGGAATTAGTGTAGGCGAGCCATCAATGTCATCTGCTTCTCCTCGGTATCGTGGTATGCCATCCACACCTATCTCGACCTTGGGTGGGTTGCGGAAATGCGTTTTGTCAAGATACTCTGGTGATATATCAAGAGACGCTAGTTCCGGTAAGCTTGAAGGGGATCGAAGGCGGCCTTGCTCGACATCTTCAATCTTGTAGTACGATATGAGATGTTGAGCGACACCGCCAATGGTAAGCGAGAAGGTCTGTCAAGACAGGATTGTTAGGCGTGACCAGTATGAGGCCGGAGAGAACCAGATAGGCACCTTCTTCATCATACCCCCGGGCTTGAACTTGTAACTGTTGGTCAAGCTGCCGACAAGGCTCCGTTCGCGTTGCCTGTCGATGCCCAACCGGGATGCTTCACTACGAGGCCTGCTGAGGGTTTGCCCCTCGGACTTGACGCCTTCGACATTGTAATTTGAGGGGTCAGTGGCGTCTGGGTTATGTTCCCGGTCAGCGCGCGAACTGCGATGGCCAGCGCCTCTCTTCTCAGTCTCGCGATAAAGCAAGAAGTTGCCGAGGATGCGACTAGGACTCCAGAAGAAACCATCTGTCCAGCGCTTGATGCCGCTCTCGTCCTCATCGAAGACGAAGACGGAGCCCGAGGTGATCATCTTGCGTTCAGAGTCGACGAGACGACGAGTGACACGAGGGATGAGGCCGCGACGGGCAGCTTCGAGGATCAGAAGGGCATCGCCGGTAGTCTCGATCCAGCCGGTCCAGGGAGGTTCAGTCCAGGCATTGGTGGGTGTGTTCTGAGAGCTTGAAGCAGCGTGCGCGTCGTGGGACATGCCGCGTGGGCTGTGTGACTAAAGCGTGGCATGGGGACAGCAATCGCGGCGCAGAACGCAGGGCCAGTGTGAGCAAGAGTGTGAGCAAGCATGGTGGAGGAAGCACAGTCAGTTTAGCGAGAAATAAAAGTAAAGTTCATAAACAAAGTTGACTGACCGAGGCAAACTTTCGGGAGGTCTTGAGGGGGAAAGGGCAAGCTTTTCGTGCCCCGCCGCTCCGCCCTCGATTATCTGAGGCGTGGGAACTTTACCACACTCCGGCTTGCGTCTCCTCCTCTTGCCCGCCGGGTCTCGCTATCCCCAATGCCTGCAAATCGCTACTGCTGCTCGTCGTCCTCGTCGATGGCGACCACGATATCTATTCGTACCCACACTATCACACTGTAGGTGGTGGTCTACCAGGAAGGAACGTGCTCTCGTTCCGTTTTCGTACGCTTACCCTAGGACATGAGCGCTACCCTTGCCTATCCTGGGCCTCAATCACCCTTCAAGCTCTCAGCCCTGAACGTTCACCATCCTTTTCTTATCTCTTACGTCCAGAGCGTCGGTGACGTCGCCCTCACTGCCTATGACGCCTCGAGTCCAGGCGGCGGTTCGTGTTCATCACTAATCCTTCCGCCATGGGCACCACCACGTCTTCGTTGCCCCTTCATCTCCGTCTGCATGCAGTGCTCTTCGACGTAAAAATTTCTCTGTTCTTGTGCTCGTCGCACTGTGTATCACCATTGTGTATCCTGGTGGACTGGATCTGTCGAAGCCATCACCGTTCGTCGCACGCTTGATTTCAAATTTTGCTTCGTGGTTCAACTTTCGCTGCCGTATCGTTGCTCAGTTTGCGCTCTCTCATCGATGCAGCCGGATTCCCTGCTTTACATTGGATTTTCCCTTTGCTCTTTCACGTTAATATGAATCTTGCAAGGGATAGGCAGACCTGTGCCATGCTCTTCCACACCGCAAGACTAGCTGATCGTTATTTCATTATAGCTTCCGAATTGGTATTCGCGGCTGTTGATGTTGGCTGAGGTATTGTTCAGTTGAACCTCACGAAAGATCAATCGGTGATAAGGGCTTTAGGTATGGTTCTATTGTGATTATATGCATTCAAACAGCCGATAAAATTGTCCATTTGTAGCATGGTGCTCTTAGAACAAAGATCATGAACGATATGGTTGTTGCAAACTGACCTTTGTGAATTACCGGCATTTCTACTGGCTGGAGGAGGTGCGATCGCTCACATCGTACCTTTTGAGACCAGCATCCGTCCGCATTCGGTACTTGATTGAACCCTATGAATATACTCGTGCAATCCTCATTGAACGCAGTAATCCCAGTCAGTTATATTGGGGTCCCAATCAGACTCTCATGGTGAGACTTGCGGTTCGGCAGAAGTCGAGGCAGACTTTCACGATCACCTAAATGCGATACTGACCACGGCACCATCGATAGAATAGTCAGTCTGCTCGAATTCCCGGTGCTGCCAGCCGATGTGACAATCCTGTGAAGCGCATGGTGAGCTTATCCAGTCGTCGGAGAAGTCTCGTAGCCTCGCGTCGGTAAGTTATGCTAGGATCTATTTCCTCCGTTGGTTCCGAGAACAATGATATATTCAATGTCACCGTCGGGATTCGCCATTCACAAGCAGCGTTTCAACGAGGCATGGAAAGGTACGATGTCTCCAAAAATACCATCACCACTCCCAGCCTAATTATGTCGACGTTTCTCTTACAGCAGAAATACCTGTTCGTCTGACATTCACTCAACGAATAAGGTTTTCACGGTTCCGAGGGGTTCTCGAGCCGCAGAGATCCGTTGAGACTACCACGCGAATCACCTAGGTCTATATTGCTGGCCAACACCCTGTCTGTTCGCCCATTGAGTACAAGAAAAAGAATCTGCGATGCCATTAAGATACTGACAGGTACCTGTCCTAGATGTTCCTGTGCTTGTCAGGTCCATCTTGATTTTTAGCCGACAAGCTGACCATTACATCTTGTACGAACATGATAACGAGTGAAAACACCTGAGTCGTGCAATCCAGCCCCGTCTGAGTATTTTTCCGCCAGTCTCCAGCAGTTTGTGATTACAATGTACGTAGTCTATGCTGTCATGGCCACCCACATAACTTACCAACTGAATTAAGAACCAAGAAATATTGATGCCGTTTGCGGTTGTCCCTGTTCCAGTCCTCCTCTCCTGGAGAAAGCGAACCCAGTGCCTGCTGCTTCATTAAGTTCTGCTTCATTGTGCCAGATATGTGTACATGCGATGATCGTACGTATTCCTTGCACTGATCCGTTTGTTTTGACTCAAACGGAACCGTCAAAAACATAGAATTCTGATCTTCAGAACGGAGTTTCGGATCCTGGTTGTCATATGTTGCGCTCGCGCCTCGTATGCTTAGGCTCTTAGAACGCGGCGACATGGCAGAGTATAATGCCGGTCACAAACGCTTCGGACAATGATACATTCATTGCTGCAAAGTGTGCGCCAAGTCTGGCTCTGTTCGAGGACGCTGTCTTAAAGCGTCCGATGTGTACTGCCTACCGTATGTGAAGTCCCTTGACTGTTGGATAGATTTATCTGACAATGCGACCCAAAGTGTTGGATAGCATACGGGTCCTCCTGCCATCAGGAGGGTGCAATATTCCCATGTCAAATGCATATATACCGCCCGACAATGGACTTGCCGGGTACCCACGAGGGAAGTATGCGAGGATCATCGGGGTTTTATGAGAGGAAAACGACGCTACCGTATGGTACACATTATTTTCAAGCGCACTCCATATTCAGTTGCGCAATTATCTAGGCGCGAGATAGTCCCCTGACGGTCTTAATGGCCTTCGTACTCGCGCTTTAGCGTTTACCGAGTTTTATCCTGTCCCATATGCCCTTACATCCAACCAAAGGAAGAGATCGGTGTATATGCTTTTAGTTATTTTTTTCCTCTCGCTATCCGATGTCAATTGATTATAGAGGGAAAGTCAGGCTTCGGTGCATATCCGAGATGCGAACAAGGCACCACACGGCAAATGGGAAGCGATGAGAACTCTTCCGGCGCCTTTGCTTCCTGAAAAGAAGTGCTGGCATTCATCTTACAGCCGGTGCCAATTAGGCGTGCATGGCATCTAGAATTAATTGAAGGAACTTGTGAGGTGATTGTCACAACTGCATCTCCTTTTGCGATTATTAACACCTAGCCTGATCCAGATGTTCGCAATAACTGGATGCTGAGATATCATGTCTGCCTGATCGACTTTTCAGGCACCTTGGGACAACGTCAAGAGTCAGTATTTGGTAGGCTGTCAGGCAGAGCTGACGGCTTGCTTTTGACATCGTCCCACGCGACTGCTGCATCTCAATTCGGATGAAGTGTTCCAAGTCTGCTGTACCTAGGCAGATGCTGACGGCGCCCAACAGGGCCGTGGCGTTTTCTGGAGGTGATTGGCAGCTGTCTGAGCTGTCCCTCCGTTGCTACCGGTTCGAAGTTGTCGAAGACTACCTCCAGAGCCCGCCCTGACGAGAATCATTTTGTTCCAGCAGTTTCATCGGCAACAAATCCCGCGTTGTTCTTCGGTGTATAGAGTCGAGAATGCACTCGAACAGGCAAATGCAAGACTATGGGACGGTCCTCTCCGTGGAATATTGTACAAACCGACGTTCCCCCTGACTTCCTTTCTAGTTCTTTTCCCTCCAGACTGACATCCGTAAAGTACAAAAGACGGCGCATGGATCCTCTGAACCCCAGCCTACACCGCCCCTTCTCACAGGTGGCTTACAATGGCGTCCTTTCTTTCTTACGTCCCAATATTTGCTGCGTTGGCACCTAACGTATGTCCCCTTCCCCGCCTTATATGTTCAAAGGTCGTCCATGCAACTAATTACCACCCCCCCTTGACCTGTAGTTTATTCGAGCTTCTCACATCTCCTCTCCCTTCGTTCATCGTCAACATGCCCGCGCTGATACCCTCCCTGCAGGATGGACGGCCCAAGGTTGTATCACGTAAGTGAGATCGTGTCAGAGATCGGCTTTCGCTGATCTAGCTCTTTCTTCAGCGATAATCCCGGTGCTCGCAGCCTCACTGGGTCGACATTCACTGATACTCAGGCCATGACTGTCGAGTCATGCGTCAACTTTTGTGTCTCTGGCGGTTTTGTCTTCGCTGGTCTCGAATTCTCTCAGGTCAGTAGTCCTCCGCAGTATGAATGAAGCTTAATTGAGTGTCGGCATCGCAACAGGAATGTTACTGTGGAAATAACGTTGTCGATGGCGCTACGAATGCGACTTCCACTGACTGTAACGCCGCTTGTACTGGAAATTCGAAGGAGATCTGCGGTGGCGCCAGTATGTTATATATGTAACATCTGTTCGATGCTGTCTTAATTTCCAAATTTTAGGTCGACTTAGCCTCTTTTGGAGCGGCGTTCAGCCTCCCCCTCCCCCTCAGACCGTCCCAAGCGTTGGATTATGGAATTCGCTGGGATGCTACAGGTGAGCGCTTTGTTATGATCATAGGTTTGACATGTTTCACAATAATATCAGCGACAACGTCAACGGCGGTCGGACATTGACGGTCCAAACGTTCCCAACAGGACAGACCAGCGCTGAGACGTGTACCGACAGTTGTTTCAACAATGGGTACCCTCTCGCCGGAATGGAGTTCGCCGATGAATGTTGTACGTCAACCTGTCTACAACCCACATTGATATTATTTTTAATCTTTGCAACAGACTGTGGCCTCGGTTTTGAGAATGGCGGAGCGCCGACGCCTTTGGCTGATTGCAGCATGCCCTGTGCTGGAAACAGCTCAGAATTTTGTGGTGGGCCCAACCGACTTAACGTAAGGAAACTGCAAGCTTCATTCTGTATCAGCTGTTCAGTACTCCACTTCCTAGGTATACAACTTCACTGGAACTCTCCCCCATGGGCCTACCCCTCCAGAAGGGGGCGGCGGAGGAGGAGGTGGTGATGCCCCCGTGTTCTCGGTGGACGATCTTCCCGCTCCTTGGGAATATGCGGCTTGCTACGTGTACGTCAATCCTTTTATGCCATATTTACGAACGTTGTTGACACGGAATTAAACTGTATCAGTGATGGTGCCCACGGCCGTGTCTTCCCGCAAGAATTGCCAGATGACCCAGGACTGACTGTGGAAAGCTGCATTGAAAGCTGTAGCAGTCAAAACTACACTCTCGCCGGCGTCGAATTCAGGTATGCATATCACTGCTTCCACTTCCACACCATTCTTCATGCTGAGTCACATGTAGCGTACAATGCTTCTGTGGGAATACACTGGTCAACGGCGCGGTTCTTGGTCAAGAAGCGGATTGCAATATGGGCTGTGGTGGTAATGCGACGTACGTTTCCATGCGTTTGAGCATTTGAAGCAGTTCTGAGGCGTTCGAACCTGACAGTGAAGCTTGCGGAGGACCGAACAGACTCTCGGTGAGCTGATTGGCGTGACGTACATGATGACCTCATATACTCATAGAAGTTCCAGGTCTATACGGCGACCGGCGACGTTACCGCTCTTCCTGTGCCTGTAACTCAAAATACCAGTCTGCCTACAGGCTGGAAATATCAAGGATGCTTGCAGTATGCTTCTATTCTATTCTTACACAGTGTTCTCGAGTTGATGAATGATACAGAGATGGCGGGACACGAGTCTTCCCTTACCAAATTGATATGGTGACCAACGCTACTGTGGAAGCATGCATTGAGCAATGTGCAACTTTCGGCTACCCTGCCGTAGGAATTGAGTATGGCACACAATGCTTCTGCGGCGACGTCGCCGACGAACAAAATAATAGCCCAGGGTTCGCTCCAGAGGCTGACTGCAACTTCCCGTGTTCTGGTGACCCTATTCATCTCTGCGGTGGACCGCTCCGTCTGAGTGTAAGTCTTCGCAATGCATTTGAAGAAGGGACAACTGATGCGATTTTTTGTTTCGTAGTACTATGCCTTTAACTCAACCCTGGATACATGGCACACGCCTGCCAATACTGGGCGATATGAGGTATGCCAGAGATCATCAGGTTCTTTGATTATACCTGACTGGCCCTGCCCAGTTCCTCATCGGTGGTCTGGTCGTCCCCTTGGTTGCTACTGTTGGGATCAACGGCAAAGTCAACTTCCTCGAGAAGCTCGGTACCGGATTCCCCAATTCTACTGGTGCTTATGAGCTTGATCTCACTCTCGTGAACGACTTCGAGCACGCATGGCGTGAACTTCATGTTCACTCGGACGTTTTCTGCTCTGGCAGTATTATCCTCCCAGACAAGGCAGCTCGACAACTCAATGTTGGTGGCTGGAGTTTGGAGAGCACGTATGGAGTTCGTCTGTACTGGCCCGATGGTTCAGCCGGCGTCAACGGTACCAACGATTGGGAAGAGAACTACGATGAATTGCACCTTCAGGTCAGCATATTAACCGATTTGCGAGGAGTACCTATAACTGAGTTGGCTCCATTGACTGGATACAGCGTGGTCGATGGTACCCGAGTGCGTTGGTAATGGCAAATGGTTCTATTTTGGTAGTTGGTGGCGAAGTCGGGAGTAACGGCGCCCCCGAACCCAGCCTCGAGGTTCTGCCCACTCCAGCTGGGGGACCCACTTTCCTCAATATGGACTGGCTGCAGCGTACTGACCCAAACAATCTGTATCCCTTCCTGCACGTCTTACCCAGTGGCAATATCTTTGTTGGTAAGCCACGAAATTTAGATTCCACGTCCCACGACTGATATCTTGATTTCTCTCAGGGTATTACAATGAAGCTCGCATTCTCAACCCCGGCACCTTCGATACAATTACCGAGCTTCCTAACATGCCTGGTTCAGTCACCAGCTTCCTTGCTGGTCGTACATATCCCATGGAAGGCACCGCCGTACTGCTTCCTCAGGTACGTCGTTGTCTGTGTCGAGAAAGTATGCTGCTGATGTTGGCTGAATCTTCAGCGTGCACCGTACACGGATCCGCTAGAGATATTAGTCTGTGGTGGCTCCAACAACGGCGAGGCGCTTGACAATTGTGTGACCATTGCACCAGAAGTCCCGAATGCGGCATGGACTATTGAGCGAATGGTATGTCACTTGCATATATCCTGCTCTACGGTTGTTTATCCCCCGCGTGACATTGAAGCCTTCAAAACGTGTGATGCCCTGCATGGTGAGTCTTGAGAGTTAATACTTGACTTACAACTGAGTGCTGATTCATTTTCGCAGGCTGGTTCGTATTATTCGATGAAATTCGAGCGATATCCAGCTTAAAAAAAAACTTCCACAGCTTTGCCTGATGGCACCTTCCTCATCGTTAATGGCGCCCAACAGGGTGTTGCTGGCTTTGGTCTTGCTGATTTCCCCAACTTCCAAGCACTTTTGTACGATCCTAGCCAACCGCTTCACCAGCGCATTTCGATCCTTAACACCACAATCGTTGCTCGTCTTTATCATTCTGAAGCTACGGTTAGTGCGCTTTCTTTACTTCCGCCTCTCTTGCTTACAGTACGCACATTCAGCTTTTGCCTGACGGTCGAGTGCTCATCTCCGGTAGCGACCCCCAAACAAACAATCCCGATGGAACACCAAAATTCCCGGAAGAGTTCAGAGTCGAAGTCTATATTCCGCCTTACCTCAATGAAGGCAGAACGCAACCGAGCTTCACGATCACCGAAATTGATTGGACGTACGGCAGTACCCATCCAATCACTGTAACCCTCCACCATGGCACGACTTCGACTATGAGGGTTTCATTAGTAGCTGGTTAGTGTACTCTTGCGTTCCGATCACGCATACACTGACGTCGGATCTATCCAAAGCTACCTCCAGCACGCATGGAAATGTCATGGGCGGACGTACTATCTTCCCTGAGTTCCACTGCACTGGCAATGTGTGCAACATCGTTGCACCCCCTAATGCCAACATTTCTCCGCCCGGCTGGCACCAATTGTTCATCCTGGATGGCCCAACGCCATCGTTCTCCCAGTTCGTGCGGATTGGTGGAGATCCTGGTCGTCTTGGGGAATGGCCACCCTTCCCCGACTTCACCTTGCCTGGTGTTTAGAAAATGTTCAGTGCTGTGTGGAAAGACATCACTGCGGACCGTATTTCTTCGAATGAACTCTTATGGTTGCTAGTATTTGCCTTCGGTAGTAGTCTGGAGCGTAGGTACTAAGGACAATGCGGACTTGAATTACCGTAGCTTCATGAATGGAATATTTTGTTTGTCGAAGTCTTGGAAAGTCGCATAGCAGGCTCGAACCCCCTCGCGAGTGAGTCATGTCCAGGCATCGGCTGTGCGGGAAACGCGTGCCGGATGCTATATAGGGACGGATATGGGGAACGACTGGCCTCCTCGTTTCCTCCTATCTCAATTATCGTACTGTCCTATTCCAAGTCATGGATCCACTCAGAATGTCGTCGCATTCACCAAGCGATCTAACAGGTATGAATAAGTATTGAAGGACTGAAGAGTGTAACCGATGCTTTCGTAGGACTAGTACTTCATCTAGATGGGTGGGGAGAACTTCAGCCTCTTACATTGCGATTCTACAAGGATCGTACTAAGGTGGTCCACATCGGACGCAAATCCGCCCAGAATTCTGGGGAATATGTTGCTACAGACGATAGAGCCTTATTCCGATGCGCAGTAGTTAGCCGTCAACATGCTAAGCTGATCTTCACCGAGCATGGAAACGTATGGCAGCCGACTTGACATGAATCCTGTGTGTGCTTACAGTATGCTATCTAGGTCTCCGTCACAGACTTGGGCTCTCACCATGGAACTCACCTCCTGAAGTCTGGCGAAACGACGTCGAAGAGCCTACCTGCGCAGGTTGCCCACACACTTGCCGACGGGGATACTATCATCTTCGGCAAGTCCGTCATAAGAGATGACTCCCAAGTACGGCCTGTCGTCGCCCGTATTGAACTGGAGTATTCCTCCCCACCTGAGCTTCCGAGCCCTACCACATGTGCGAAAGACTTACCCGAGCAACAAGGCTCGAAGGGTTCCGGGAGATACGGCGTCTATGTCTCCTCGTCGTCCTCATCTTCAGACGACGAGTCTGACAATGACTCTGTTGTTTACCTTCACTCCTCACCACCAACAAGGAGAAGCCATTCGAGCAACTTCTTGCCTTCCTTTCAATCACTCCGCTCTGCAAATTTCTCTCTTGACTCCATTCGTTCTTCAATGAACGCAGACCTCTTTTGTGTTTTGCCTCCTATCCACACACTTTCTTCCGCTTCAGTTTCCCCCTCAAGTTCTGTTCAGGAAATATCACCCATAGCTGAGCATTTCGCTCGAGGAGGTCCAAGTGCGTCAGCATCGAGCACGGTAGGAGGGATTGGTCTGCACACCGATCCGGAGGTCATCGGTGCATGGCCCAAGACACCCGTACTCTCTCGTTCTCGATCTGGTACTCCTTTCCCGAGGGGATCACCCAGCACCTCGTCAAAACCCTCGGAGGATCGCGCTGATACCCACGCATTCCCCGTTGAGGATATTGGACACACCATTGCCAATGTCGACGCAGAGGTAGATATGCCCATTGACAAGCCTGATGAACAACTTGAGCAGGCGCACGCCATAAGTCAGCCATCAATCGAATGTAGCGCCAATTTGGACGACTCGCAGTCATCATTGGCTCCCGAGACAGAGGGTGCACAGAATGACAATGAAGTTGTTGGGGGTGGGGCGGTACAGGTGAATGAAGTTGATCTTCCCCCAGCAACCGTGGGGGAAAGTGAGTTGATATCTGAGAGGATCGTTGAGGATGTACCCGTTGACGAGGCTGAAAGCAATGTGGTAAATCAGCTATTTCCTTGTGTTGACTCAAATACTGAATGTTTTTCTAGGTGCAACCAGAAGTTGCTGACACTGTCGTTGAGACAAATACAGTTAGCGTTGAAGTACCCACCACCACCGAGTCAAAGAGCCCAACGTTTATTTCACCCGATGCTTGGGCTTCCATGAAGGCCTCGGTTACTGGTAAGTATCTTACAGTGCGTTTCTCGTGTTTATACTTGATCCACTTGAATCCATATAGCCATTGAGGAGCTTCGGCGAAAGGCTGAGGAAGACCTCGCTGCTATCAAAGCTGCTCATGCAGAGACGGAGCTCACACTTGCTAAGCTAAAGGAAAACGTCACCATGGTAGGCTTGATTCATTCTCAATTCAGAGCTGGTTTGCCTCATCTGGTGCAGACCACTACATTGAAGCGCAAGCGTCCTATCGAAGATGATGATGACGATTCAGTCGCTCTCGATAGCGTTCCATCTTCAGTTCTCCTCCTTCCAGTTGCGCCTGTCCAAGCACCCGCTAAGCGCAGACGAGTGATGCGTTTCGTGTCGAAGGTGGCACAGACAACTGCCATTGCCTCCGTTGGTGCTGTCGCAGCATGGTCTGCCCTTGCATTTAGTTAGACATCTTTGGGACGCTTTTTGTGTAACTTATTGGCCTGGATGGACAGGCACGTATTCGGTTATGCAACTGTATGATTACTTCTACCCTTGTAAAATACTCATTACACACAAGACAAATCAATTATCACATGTACTGTATGGAGGAAGAACTGTGCAAATGAGTTTCTTGCTCGTTGGTATGTGCAATTGGTTGGGCAGTATCCACTGGGCTTATGTTGCAATGAAAACTTGAGTAAGTTCAATTGACCATTTTTTAGTATTTTAGGAAGGTGTAATGCCTGATATAGACTGATCACTCTCGATATGGCAATTCCTTGTAAGATGTGATTGAGAATGGAACTAATAATGTAAGTAACTATGATCCGCAACTACAGATTAAATAATGATATGCCGCTACGATAGCAGCTAAATCATAATAGCGGCCATTCATGTCTTCGCCTTAAGGACACCCTGAGCAAGAGCTCGCAGCATAGCTACAGTAACTCCCGGTTTCGTAGTCCCGTTGCTCTCTTCGCTGAAAGCAGGACTAGCTCGAGACTGCGAAGTGGTCTCATCCGTGACGGGCACGCTCTCATCACTGAGAGCTGACATCGAGGTTGTCCGTCCGAAACTCTCATGCTCAGATTCAGGACTTCGAAAGGTACATCAGCATTCGTTTAACGATGAATTCATGAGAGGGAAGTGCGCATACCTGACACTGATATCACTCCAATTTGTACCATCTTCATATTCTGGCGCTGACATGGCGCGGGTGGCAGCAAGCTCTCGCAGACGCGAGGATAGACCCTCCAATGCTTGTTTTGTCCGGTCACGAGCACGGAGGATGCCATTACGCTGTAGTCGATAGTTCTCCTGCAAGGACTGTCCAATATGGGTTTTCGCAGTGTGAACAATCGACTTTGCAAGCGTGTCAATAAACAACCCAACGGCATAGTCTATTAAATTGGTTAGCCTGGTGTCCAGAGCTACTCACAAGGAGACAAGCGTACCATGTCCTAGTTGAGCGGGTCCCTTCAAGTCATCCGGGCGATCAATTTTTCTTACCGGCGACGAGACGTGGAGAATCGAGAGAATTGCCTGCACCACCATGATTTGCGCATCCTCAATAGCCCTGATAACGTCGTCGTAACGTTGCCAATCAACTAATGATGAATTGAGTATGACGTCGATTTATGTTGTTTATGAGCATGCACGTACATTGGTCGTCTGACCAGCAGCTATCCAGCCAATCTGAAGCATACTGCCTGAAGAGCTCCACAAAGACATCGGCAAGTTCTATAGAGACAAGTCAGTCAAATTCACATGAGGCAAGTCTGGTGCACGTACCTGTCCATGAGAGGACTTGCGACATGGTGTCATTCACGTCCAACTTGACCCTGGCTAGCGTTTTTTGAAGCCTCTCATCCAAATCTTTGTCCTCAGCGGATATCGAGAATGTGTGGAAACCTTCCAGTATCGACTCATTGCGTAGTTCCTTCACCTGTAGAACAGTACAATGAGAAATGATACCCCAAACTTCTACACTAGAGCACTCACCATTTCAGTAAAATCAGAGGCCTCGTCCGAATCCACTCCATCCGACCATTGAATTATAAGGAGGGTTGGTCTGAACCGCATATCGCTATTGTGCAGACCTTGCATGACATCCCGTAATCGTGCACAGTCATCGATGACGCGGTATTTGCTAACTCTTGGCGTCAGTGGCAGGAAATTGCTATTTAGAAAGGTGCACATACCGCTCAAGAGGATCGTCTACGTCACTTGCAGGTGTCCGCTCGAATACAATGAGCACTGGAGAAGACGAGGTTGACAGAGAGTTGGGAACGACTGGAATAGAGAAGACATTCTCCGAAAGAAATCGTCCTGATATAGGGACTGCGAACTTCTGCTCTAGCCAGATAGCGGTGCTATCGTTTCCGGTATTAAGAGCTAACCAGATGTCCATCCCTGATAGCACTTGAGAATCCGGAGAGACGTTTGCGACATGTGAGCGAATGGCATGGAGGAATGAACCTTGCGCCCAGCGCTTTTGATGCTCTTCCTGAGTCTAACGTTTCATCAGTAGCTGCAAACCTTCAGAATAAGGGCTGATCTCTCTCACTTCCTGCAGACGCTGAGCCAGCAGCTCGTCATTCAATGGCGCGTGAGACTCAGTGGAGATCCGTCGTTTCTTCCTCATACTCTGAATCATCTCCGTAAATCCATCGACTGACATTCTTCTTTTCGGTGGCGAAGTTCGCCTGCCACGCCCAGACGTACTCCCCATGCTAGACGATAGTCGTTCTCGCTGAAGACGTTCCTTGTAGGCCTCGCTCCGCCGCAGTGCTTCTGCATAAGCAAGTCGATCCATCGTTTTTTGCATCCATCGTTCGAAGGAATGCTTTATGAGCGGACTACGACGGGCAAAATTCACAGCCATTCCTCGTAGATCCTCTGATGTTTGCCTCTCTTTGCCTTTAACACTTGGGATCCCATTTGGCTTCTTGATCGAACCTGGGGGAAGTCGTGAAGTGGATGCCAGTGCTTCTGTAGGTCGAGGTTGCAGAGACGGGCTAGGCGTCTTCAGCATCCCCGGTGCTGCCATCTGAAGAGGACTCAGCATCTCGGTAGGACTTCCTGCCATTTGAGGCATCTGGAGATGGGGAAGGTTGACAACAGACTTCCTTTTCTGAGAAGCAAAATTATCGACACCGATCTGTCCTGATGTCGGGTCAAACCAGCGAGTCGTCGGTGTTGGTGGCAAAGCCATATGATGAACTTTCACAGGGGGAGGTTCTCGAGGGGAAGGAGGGGTAGTTAACTCTGGTGTTGATGTAGGTATGGGTACTCGCAGCTGCGGAGGTGCTGGAGTTCTTGAGGGTGAAGGTGTGCTCGGAAAGTCCCAAAGAGTCTGTTGTCTCTCGACGAACTTCGGTTCCGGAGTCTCCGGTGCAGGTTTCGTCTCTGGGGAAGGTAGTTTTGGAGGTGAACGAGCGAACGAAGTGGGGGCTGGCGGTATCGAGGGTGCCTCGAAAGGGGACACATAGCGAGTACTTGAAGGAACCTGTGGTTTGACGACATCTACTTGAGGTGGTGTGGCTTGGGATAATAAGGAGGGTTGTTGAGCTGGGGGCGAAGGGGAGACAGTCACTGGAAGACTCGCGAAGGAAGGACCCGGCGTGAAAGAGGGTGCTGATGGGTTTAAGTACTTTGTAGAAAGTGTTGGTTGACCACTAGGTGGAGCAGGGACTGTCGTAATGACCCGTTAGCGTTGAGCGCGACGACACGGAAATGATGATAAACTCACTTGAGAAGGTACTTGCTGTAAGAGCTGCGCTGAAAATGCCTCCAGGATGGCTCGCGCCGTTGGTGGCAGGAGTTGCCTGGGGAAACGGAGACGAAAAAATGGGTGGAAGAGGTTGCGATGGTTGACTAGGAGGAGGTTCCGGCTTGGCTGGCGCGAAAGCGGACTGCGTTGTACCGAAACCAAAAGCAGACGTCTGCGCAGCGTTGGGGCCAAATGAAGATGCAGCCTCAGTGCCAAAAGTCGGTCCACCGAATACTGAAGTGACCTGACCAAAAGCATTCGTACTCGTACCAAGGTTCGAGAATGCAGATTGGACCGGTTGCGAAGGCGCAGGCGTAGTAGAGGCGAAACCATTGATGGGCTGAGTTGTCTCCGGAGCTGCAAAAAATGTTGAGGTTGTTGGCTTGGGTCCAAAGTTGATAGACAACCATTCAGTAGCACTCCGGGTGACGGGTGCAGTAGTAGGTGGCGGCAGGGCAGCTTGACCATTGAGCGCGGGAGGCATTTCGGGTTCCGGAGAGGTTACAAGTGGTCTAGATATGCCATCAATGATCTCCGAAATTGTCAGGTCTCCCCGGATAGTTTCGATGTCTTCGATAGTATCCTTGCCGAAAAGACGCTCCATGATACACGCAACAAGGTATATCATAACCACGTTGTTTTGCTCTCGAAGGTGAGCAGCAAGTTCGGCGAAGATCTGCATGCCAGCAGCATCCACTATTAGAGGTGATTTCTTGCTGATTGGAGCACTTTTCGCTTGGACATGTAAGCGGAACTTGGTGGTGAGCTGGAACACTGGGTGAGATGTAATCTCTTCAGGGATGTCTTCATGTCGTTCTCTCTGGTCGCGAATGTGAATGAGACGATGATAAACACGCATCTCCAGCTCAGTAGGTGCAGAATAACGACCCCGCTGATCTTCATAGAACTCCTTGAGGCTCTGGAGGGCTGAAGCAAACTGTCGTGAGGTGCATCATATTTATACAAACCAACAAAACATACTATTCATGAGCTGCTGCTCTTCTAGCTCAATGGAGAATCCGGGGTTATCTCGTTCAAGGTGCAACGCAAGAATGTGAAACCTCGCACATCGATCATGACACTCGATTGCCAGGGGCCCTGTTTCGTGTTGCATTGTGAAGTCACTTCGGACTGCCCTTGAACGATCGCGGATGAATCCATAAGTCTCGGAGAAACCTTTGTTGATGAGGTCATGGAAGAGGTAGTCGAGAGTTTTCTATACGATTGCTTTATGAGCAAATCTACCTATTTTCGTGATACGACGGTCATTACCTTTAAAACTTCAGGAGGCCGCAGATCGGAGGGCATTGTCTTGTCTCCAGCGGCACGCTCGTAGATCTTGACGGCACGCTTGTGATCGACACGTTTGGTGCCAGGAATCTTCGACAGCATAAGTGCAGATGCTACATGAAATGATAAAAAGAGAAACTCTACGCACGACTTCCCACTTGTCAAGGTTATTCTCCCTCTCTCGCCGGTAGCGTTCAAATCGAGGACACATATCCATACATGTCCCAACCATAGTGATAGCCTCGTCCAATCGCTTGGATACTGACGGGTCGTCCATTTTTCCCTCTGCAATAGCTGCCCTACGCTCTATCTCACGAGCTTTCACGAGCTACCGCACTGTAAGCTGTTTCATGTCACGACAATTTGATCGAGAACACACCTCCTGCCAAAACCTCTCTCGGGCCTGTGGATCGTCGGGAGCTTCATTCTGCGTTTCGTCCTTCATGACAACATTGTCAGCCTGTAGAGTCTCCATGTCTTCATAAGCCTCTCCGTCGGTCCCGGAGGCGACGTCGTCGTCGGTAGGAAGAGCAGTTGCAACGAGACGCGGTGAGACGTGAGTAGATCCCCGACCTCTGCCACGGCCTCTTCGAAGTGTCCCTCCTCTCTCCCAACGTTCGCCATCACTTCCATGCCCTGTATTGTCTTGACCGGCTATCCATTGTTTATTCCTGGGGTGTGGCCGCGGTGTAGCGCCATTGACCTTGAGACCGCGTCCACGAGTTTGTGGCGCCTCCATAGTGAAGTAATGAGTAGTATGGGCAGAAACCTAACAAAAGAGATGAAGAAGTGGGTCAAGAGAATATGCTGCAAGGCCGGAGGCCTGTACAGTGGTGGTGGTGGTCCTGGACTGAGATGGACGCCTTGTCCAACAAGACGAATCCCAGCGCTTATACTTTGAGCGCTTGCACAGTCGCATAAGCGAGAACAAGATTTGGAAGACTAAGCGGCAAAGTGGCTTCACTCATTCTTTAACTTACCCTTTCATCTTCATTCACATTCAATATGGATCCGTCACCGAGTTCATCGAGTGCTCCGGGAGACAAGAAGAAGGCGATGGTGATTATAACCATTGGCATGGCCGGCGCTGGAAAGTCCACCTTCGTTCAGCGGATGAATTCATATCTGCACTCTCAAGGCTCTCCGCCCTACATCCTCAATCTAGATCCTGCAGTGACAAGCACTCCCTTCGAGCCGAATATTGATATTCGGGACACCGTCAACTACCATGAAGTTATGAAACAGTCCGTCCACTCGTTACTTCCCATTACCAGCACCTGTCCTTAAACTCATTGGCTTAGATACAACCTTGGACCCAATGGCGGTATTTTGACCGCCCTGAATTTGTTTACAACAAAGTTCGACCAAGTACTTGGTTTGGTTGAGAAACGAGCCGAGTCCGTCGAGTACGTCCCACTGCTTCCTCTCCAAGGCTTGAGCTATATGTCCTTGATGCATTAATCTTTTACCCACACACAGTTATGTGATTTTAGATACTCCTGGGCAGATTGAAATATTCACTTGGTCTGCTTCTGGGGCTATTATCACCGATGCAGTCGCTGCAACACTGCCCACGGTTGTGGCATATATCATCGACACCCCTCGGACTACTGCACCTGCTACTTTCATGTCGAATATGCTTTACGCGTGCAGGTGTGTTCTAATTTGCCTTCGTGGGACTAAGTTTCCCTATAATACTTCTGCGTCACTTAGTATCCTTTACAAAACCAAGCTGCCCTTCATTCTGGTTTTCAACAAAACGGACGTCCAGCCACATGACTTTGCCATTGAATGGATGAAAGATTTTGAAGCTTTTCAACAAGCTTTGGCCTCACATAGTGGGACAACGGACGATGAAGGTGAACCTACATACATGAACAGCTTAATGAATAGCATGAGTCTTGTCCTAGATGAATTCTACCAGCATCTGACGGTTTGTAGTCTTCTTAAAAATGTGTGCATGGCTTCTAACATGTTCTTAGGCTGTGGGAGTGTCTAGTATGACAGGCGCAGGCATGAAAGAATTTTTTGAAGCGGTAGAAGCCTCTCGGACAGAATACGAGAAGTGAGTAGTAAATGCATCTTCATTTAATGGTAATTCCCATTCATCGTTCATCGCCTACAGGGAATATCTTCCAGAACTTGAGCGTGCCCGTGCAGCCCGCGAGCAATCCCTGAAAGCCGCCAAGGAGGATTCCTTGAATCGTCTGATGAAGGATCTTGCCGTGGACCGCGCGCAAAATCCCGACGCTGCGCTCGCAGATAAATGGGATCCAACGGAGGAAGAGGAGGCTGACGACGATGATACGGAAGTCAATATTATCGATCGAAGTGAGCGGGTCTCTCACATTTCGTACGCTATGTTGACTGAATATCTATGTCCCCTGTGTCTAGGTGAAGAGCGATGGCCTGGTCAGTACATCGACGTGACTCGCATGAATAGGAGGGACGATCAGGCAATGTCCTGGCCTCGACCTGGTTGAAAATTATTATCCTGCTGTACGTATCCTCCCCAAAATTGTATAATATAATTATATGGCCGCTGGTCCGATGCTTCGCATTCATGGTGATCTATCGGCGTTTTGGGCTAGTATGGGGGATTGCAAAATTCATGTCTCTGCTTCTCAGCATTTAGGCAGGTCTGAAATATAGGTGAGTGCTGGCACTTTACTCTCCATTTTCGTGCTCTAACGTGCTTTCAAAGCGATCCATCGGCGCATAAGACAGCTCGGAGAATACTTACCGAGTGGAAGGCATAGACCACTGCATTAATGCCGTTGCAGTACGCTTGCGTCTTATCGCCTCGGTCCAACGGGATCCTTTCGCGACGCCCATCCGTCTCACCATGATTGCTCCAGCACGGGCTGTGGCATCTGCCGAGCTTTTCCGCAGATAAAATATCGCCGTCAGTACTCAAGAGATCGTCAGATATCCCACCCTGGTTTGCTATCGGAAATTATCACAGTGTTGTTATGCTAACGATCAACAAGGATGTCAGCAGACTTGCTATCTCACCTCTATACCCTATATCTTCTGTGGCGTATGGTTGGAGGTTGAATTTGCATCCACTCTTCACCCGACAATTTGACCTGAGGTGCAACCATCCCGCGGCTGTATGACACGGCTTTATAATGTGTTTTAATGCATTTCGTGTAACTATAAGGCGTAATGCATGACAGTTATACGTTGCCAGGTGCGCAGCATCCTGTGTCAATGGTGGATACTGCAGGGAAGGCACATCAGCATTGTGTACATGGTGCCGCTCAGTACGTCTCCCAAAACACAATAAGCGGCACCACGATGTTCCCTGACCTAGTCACCTACAATATGATCTGTTCCTCAGTTGGTCCTGCGCCCTTTGAACTTTCCGAATGTATGAGTGAACAACGTGCTCGCGGAGGTGTCGGGCCACACTGCGACAAATTGAGGATCCCATAAAAGGAGTGGCCATCGATTACGTGAGACACTATAAGTAGAGTAGTTTGAAGCAAGCGAGTGGGAAGCGGCCCAACAAGTTCACCACCAACGTCCACGATCCATTTACTTTACTCTCGTTGCCCTCGGCATCGTTACATCCAAGTAATAATCTCTCGCCTCTTTCTTCCAGTGATCTCTCTATCGTTTTGCTCTCGTCGCCCTTCCCAAGTTCGTCTATTCGTATCTGATTGTAATGGATCGGTTAGCGAACCACCTTCTGTCCGTCATGGCGGCAGCTGACGAGCTGCATTATCTGGCTGGCTTTCTAGTTATTCAAAGATCGAGAAAGTTGGTGAGTTGCAACAGTGTATATGAAAATTCTTCCCATGACCCATTCTTTTCAACACTCTCAGGCGAAGGTGAGCCCGCCATAAGTGCACTCAATGCTGGCATACTTATTGTGCCTCTTTCCAACTGTACAGGTACCTACGGTGTGGTTTACAAGGCCCGTGATGTTACAACAAATGAAGTTGTGGCCCTGAAGAAAATTCGCCTTGAAGCCGAGGACGAAGGCGTCCCCAGCACAGCTATTCGGGAGATCAGTCTGCTCAAGGAACTCAAGGATGACAACGTGGTCAGGTTTGCCCGCCTTCCATTCATGTGTCTGATTGCCCAACGATGATTCAATTTTTTGCGCCACATCTTGTTGGACCTATCTTATCGCAGACTCCTTGATATTGTCCATGCCGATCAGAAGCTCTACCTGGTGTTCGAGTTCCTGGATGTAGATCTGAAACGTTACATGGAAAACTGCAACAAGTCAGGCAGCCCTATTACGTTGGATATTGTGAAGGTGCGTTCGATCCTAAATCATTCGCGTGATTAATTCTTCGGGGTGCTCTCCATCATGTTTTTACGCGTGTTCGACGCGTGTATAAGATTGTTGTCGCGTCACAACGCGTCAACACGATTGCAAATGTCAAGATACCCACCTGTAATTTGGACGAATCACATGATGTAGACGCCCAAATGCACACCGATCTGTTTGTGTTGTTTTGATCATCGCTCACTATTTGTTGTTTATTATAGAGATTCACTCACCAACTAACGTCCGGTCTTCTATACTGTCACTCACACCGAATTCTGCATCGTGATCTCAAACCCCAGAACTTGTTGATCGACAAGCACAACAATCTGAAACTCGCTGATTTCGGTCTTGCCAGAGCTTTCGGTATCCCAATGCGGACTTACACTCATGAAGTAAAAACAATATTTCTCATTTAATATTCTTCGCCTGTACTAACTACCATTTACCAGGTCGTCACCCTTTGGTATCGAGCGCCAGAAGTACTCCTGGGATCCCGTCACTACTCGACAGCAATTGATATGTGGTCGGTCGGTTGCATATTTGCCGAAATGATTCGACGAGGACACCCACTGTTCCCTGGTGACTCCGAGATCGATCAAATCTTTAAAATCTTCAAGTACGTATCGCCATTCTGCGAAATACGGAATGTCTGACTATATGGTTTGTGTCAGGATCCTCGGTACACCGAATGAGGAAACTTGGCCGGGAGTTCGCCAGTTACCTGATTACAAGCCAACGTTCCCTCAGTGGGTGGCACAAGATGTTGCTCATCAAGTCCCTACGCTGGACGTCAATGGGCTTGATTTACTCAAGGCAAGTGGACATGTCTGTAGCTAGTTATCCGTGCTTACGCAGTGTGTATAGGCGATGTTGACATACGACATCTCTAAACGTATCTCTGGTTCGTCGGTCTTCCTTTGTATACAAATTCAGCCTCTGATGTTCTCTGTGATAGCCAAGCGCACACTCGACCACCCCTACTTCGCCGATTACGAACCCTGATTGTTGTCTTGTTGTCTACCACTGTCCCTCCCTCCAGATTTCGTCATTTCGCCAGGTCGCATCGCTGTTTCTGCACTGTTTCTCACCTATACAAACCCTGTCAATTCGCATTGCATAACATATCACTCATTCTAACACTGTACTGTAAAACGAGTGTTGTCCGTTCGTTAAACTTGTTATCGATGTTGGTCCTTCTTGATGTTGGCGACACCGAATTATATCACACCCATCCTCGTATGTAATATTGACGGCTTTTATATCTACGTAGTGTCCGATCTGCATGTAACAAGACGCTTGCAGCCCGGCTCTTCTCAACCTTCTTTCGCATGTCATGAATCTTGTCTGGTCATGCGTATGGAGGCCACCAATGTTGTATCTAAGCGTTTCTGCTGAACGCTCTCAGGAGCGCTCTGCCTCATCACCACGAGATATCCCTTTTTTTCGACATACTTGTGGTGTGTACGCGAGACTCATAGTACCTCCTTGGTACCACAAGCTAATGAAGATTCAAGTATGTAGGTTCGTTATCAGATGGGCGTGCCGATTCATCGGAGGTAGACTGTAGTTGCTAGACACTGCTACATGGGATGGCAAGTCTGTCCACGGGACCCTCTACAGCACGTTCATGCCGACTCCGCTGAAGGCAGGTCCACGCTTCTGGAGCCCGAATATGGACGCCAAGATCGCTTGGTCCAGTGCAAATCGGACATTTCAAAGAACCTGCCGCGTACATGATAACATTCAATAGAATACACCTGTCATAGGAATCATTGATTTACACAAAGACATCGCCATGATTTTGACACTGACGTTGATTGAAAGATGAAAAATTGTATGATATGCAAAGAAATGCATCCGCCGGGAGTCGAACCCGGAGCTAGGCCATGGGAAGACCCAATGTTACCGCTACACCACGAATGCTTACATCGAGGCGTAAGTGTCAAAATAAATTTGATCTTGAAATGGATACATTAAGATTGCAAATCACTCATGCTTGTGTGTAGACTACTGTAGAGTAGACTTTCGTAGCTCATGAACGACAACAGAGTCCTAGGGTATCCATGCAATAAAAATAAACTATCCTGAAGACATCAACGCTCACTCAACCAAACCCAATAACAAGACCAACAAGATCTCGCCAACCCTTACGCACCACGATCTGTGAGCCGTCCCCGTACTCCTCAGCCAGCCATTCCACAAACCGGTGGTCCAAACTGCTTAGTGGGCCAAGTTCGAAGGATAGGACGTCCTTCAGTGTCAATACGACTGGGATTTCTGGTGATCTACCTCCAGGCGGAATGAATGTCAAGAGTTGGCCAAGTAAAGCAGAGGTATTATTGTGGAAGGCCTGAAGAAGGGAAAGCGTCGTCACAACCTGCACTTCCAGACGTCGGTTTGCGATATCAAGATCTTGCCCATCTTCATCCACGTTTATGGTTTTGAGCGTTGTGGCTTGGCTTTTCCCACTGGCCCAGGTCCACACAGACATACCACTAGTACGTCTCGAGGCTCGTGAGCGTAGTAGAGGATCAGAAGAAGGTCCTGCAGGTCTACCCTCGATGCCCATGCCAACGTTACGAACGTATGGGGTGGATGAACCGCCATTCTCGTTGCGTACTACATTGAGGTAATCTTCGCCTTCCAGGCGAATGCTACCCCAATTCTCCCCTGGTGATGAACATCCGGGAGTGGTACCGTTACGCCAATGGCCCATCCAAAGTCCAGCACAGAGGACACATACGTCTTCGTAGACTCTCCAAATGTCCGCCCAAGGGGAAACAACGCTCGGTCGGGACTTGCCTCCATTGCTGGAGGAAGGATCGCAGCATGAACCATCATGCGCACTGCTATCCAGCTGCATTAGGTGACATAGATCTGTCCACTGTCAAGGCGTGGGTATAGGTAGTGAGAAAATGAAAGTGAAAATGATGCTTACTAGCTTAACATCACTCCATGTGAAACGAACGAGAGATAGCCTGTGGGTAGGCTGCCGCTCACGTGCGGGTTCCACAGCTTTAGATAGGTAAAAGATGGGGCGGGTAGCCTTATTCGACCCTGAAGCAGTGAGATCAATGAGAAGGTCATAGCAAGACGGCCTTTCGACGAAAATTGCATCTGTAGTACACGCTATCCATCCTCTTGAAGAGTTGCTCTCTTGCTGCAAGCGATCCAAATCATTGAGAGTTACAACGCCCAGGACCTTGATACTTTCCCTAGACTGTGCCTTAGGGCGGTCGGGCAAAGCATCATCTCCGTCGGCGAAGAATTGGTCCTCGAGGCAGATGTCAGCCGCAACATGACATAGAATACATGCAGCCTCCACCGGTGGAGCAGTGTAGATGAGTATCCTCCGGCGTCCTAGAACATGTTTGTATAGTGTTAGGGACGAGGGTCCAAGGATTCGCAGCATATGTGGAAGGTGAACAGTGGGAGTCGTCTTGAGAATATCCGGATCCCCCATGTTGAGTTCTGTATCCCATCCAGTCCAATCTCCTGCGCCAGCCAAGTCAGCCCGTCGAACCTTTCTCTGCTCAAAGAAGACGCGTGCAGGTTGCCAGTCGTCCTCTGTTGGGTCCTGCGCATCTCGATCCTCCAGAGAGCTATAAATGTCATGAACAAGGGCTTTAAGAGCAGGAACATGTCGCCATGGCCGTGAGCGAGAAGATTTGGCGAGAAGGATTCCGAGAGACGAAAGACGGAAACCACGGTGACCATGCTCCGCTGTTTGTCTGCGGCGGAAGACGCAGACCCCCTGATGCCCGTCCTTGGTGAAGTATCTGCAGTTTTGTTATAGAACAAGCCATAGTAGGGATACATTGAACAACTTACACTACATCCTGTTCGACGAGATGGAGGCCACTAGGAAGAGAACTAAACTCGACGTGATCGAGGTCGAAATCTATCAAAAGACTCAGAAGTTGTTCGTATCGAAGTAAGCAAACTTCGTACCATCGCTGGCTTTCAAGCTCCAGTCAATAAGGTTGCCCTTTGTTGGATGAAATGAAGCATGGAATATAGCCACTGCAAACGAAAAGATATTAATGTCATTTGACATGAAGGTGCATGTATGCTTACCTACGTCCTGTGGGACCTTCCCTTTGGCGTCAGACGTGCCCATGACAGCCTCACGATACCAACGGTGGATATAAACGAGCGATAAGAGCCGCTATGGGCATTTACGCGGAAGCAAGTTGGTGGTTAGTGGAAGAGAGTTGCCCTACCCAGACGCTCCCTTCATTCTAAAGTCCGGATTGCGGCGGACCGCCTGACAAGCACCCAGTGTGCACTGTGCTCAGCCTCCTCTTGCTCTCTTCAGTCAACCGAGGTCCAAAAGGCTTTCTTACGATTCCGATCTCTTTGCCCGTTGTAACGCCATGTCTGCCCCTGCAAACCAACCGCAAACCATCAGCCTATCGGATCTCGAAATTCCTCAGTTGGCAGAAATCCGGAAGCAACTCGAAGAGGTATCTGGAGATTGCTGCAATGCAATGTCATTTGCTGCGATGCTGATCATATTATGAAGGAACTGAGCCTTCTTTCCAACTCCTTTGCTCAGCTGAAAAGCGCACAAGCAAAGTTCAGATCTTGCGTGGAGAACGTTGCCGAAGTGAAACCACAAAATAAAGGTCTGTTCTATTCGCACGCAAACACTCCTAGAACGTAGTATGAATATCCACATTCTCAGGCAAGACCATCCTTGTTCCTTTGACGAATTCGCTCTATGTTCCCGGAAAACTATCGGACCTTGAAAATGTCATCGTCGATGTTGGGACAGGCTACTATGTAAAGAAGGTGAACGGTTCTTGACTTCGTGTGAAGAGCTTTTGTTCTCACATTCTTTATAGCCCCGAGCTCAAGCTGTGAAACATTACGAGTCAAAAGTGGAGTACATTGGAACGAACATCGTTGCGTTGCAGCAAACGATCCAGCAGAAGCAGGATAATTTGAATGCGATACTCTCTGTACTACAAAACAAGCTGCAAGCCCAAACGGCTCCAAAAGATACCAAATAATGAATGCGCTTTGTTTGATGGTAAACTAAATGCCGCGTTTGCACTCACCAAATGGTATGCGATGTTGAGTACCTCTATTTGAATGCCTTGCAAGACAAGGATCCTCCACATTTCCCACTTTTGCTCACTCGAATTGATTATGGTGGAAGGAGAAGAGAAGTATTGGAGACATGTATAGGCATAGGTACAAGGCGAGAGAATCATAAGCGATTCGGCGATAATATAACGGAGCTGGTATGAATATGAAGGGAACATAGTTCCAGACGAGAAGCTGTCATAAACGAGAAGAACGCGTCAATCAAACAGAAACATAACCGACAGTTCAGGAGGATCCAAGAAATCATACCAGGAAGATAGATGAATCCAAGCCATACTCGACCATATATTCCCATGCAAATCTGTGAAATCTTTGATCCCGTTCCATCCATATCCTGAAAGCCTGCTCGAATCCTATCGAGAGCTGTGACAGCAGCAGCGTATATGTATCATCGGACACAGCTGGAGCGATAGAAGAACTAAGGTTCTTCTCCGGCACGGGTCCGTGTGTAGGCGAGGCGAGACTCAGTCCCATTTGCTCGATGGCAGATGTACCGGCAGATCTACAGATGGATAGATATGTCGTGAGTAGACTTACACGAAGGGATGACAATACTCACAAGAGTTGTCTTTGGACCTGCTATGATTACGGATCGGGGTCCAATTTCTCGCCCCTGGCAAGAACGCGAACCACACGACTGGGCTGAGAGACTGCCTCCATCATTGCCATCACAGCGGGAGGACGTTCGACGAGACCGACAGGTGGAGGAGTATTCCCATGTTCAATGTTGCGCATGTGTGAATTACGACGTCCGCGGCCCCCGCCGGGAGTCTGAGGCCTCCTGTGGGTGCGTTCGTCCTCTGGAGAACGTCTCCCATGCTCCCCAGATCGCCTTCCACCCGGAATGTCCTTCGGTGCAGTGGACAAAGCCGTAGAGTGTGGGAATTGAGCAACAGGAAGATCCAGGATTTCGACCCCAGCCTTCTTAGCCCACTGGGCAATCATAGTACCGGAGGAACGGGGTTCATATCTGTTGACTTGTGGAGCAGGAAGGGGAACGGGAGAAGCTGTGACTGCCGCATTGTTTGGGGTGTCAGATAAGGCGTCAGGAATGGAAGTTACAACTGCCAAAACGATTGTTGGTTTGTTCTTCTTCGTTTCGGCGTCAGGATGTTCGACCTCCCAGCGAGCACAGCAGATGGTACGTCGGACCCATTCGGGAGAGTTACTAATGAGGGAGGCAGATACATCTTTGAAGGGTATGTCCTCCCAAAGAACAAAAGCCTCATCCCGCTGCACCCGGATACGAGGATTAGTGCCAACTTGGGCTTCAAGGACTCTGGAGGCAGTGCGTGCACGCTGTGCAAGGGCTGAAGTACCTTTCTTCAAGAGATCGAGAGTGTTCAACGCTAGGACACGAGCAATATATAAGCTAACGGCGAATGTGCATAGAGGACACACATACCTTCGAGCGGAACAATAACAATCTCTTCTCTTCCTTCCCGACACCATTTCTTGACTTGTCCTATGTTGTGAATCAAGACACTAGCATCCAAAACCACTACATCTCCATCCTTGTCTCCATCCGATCGTCCTTTCACAAGAGTGGTGTGGGCATCCTCGATGTTCTTCTTGGCAATCTTGGGCCCGGCGGCCGGAGTCGCCCAAGCTGAGCGAGCCTTTACATGAGGATTGACAGTTCGAGCATAAGTGTTTCCTTGAGGAGTAACATTGCGACGGCCGCGCCATTCGCCAGAGGGGCCGTTCCTAGAGACGGACTTCTCCAACTGCTCTACTTGATGGTTCAGGAATGCTGCGCCTAAGGCCTTCGACATTGCAAGTCTGTTTGCAGTAACAGTAGATCCCTTATGATGATTCAAATCAGATACAAAACCAGACTGTAAGAAGATGAGATGCTCACCTTCTTGTCGGCCATGGTGGTAGCGGAAAGTGAGACGATCATGGGCGGGGCGGCGGAAGGCTGTGGCCAAGAGACTTGTCCTTCCTTACCTAATACGGCCCCATCTCCGCACCAAACGTGGACCCACAACTCCAAAACGTTGGTTTCAAATGAGTATATGGTGTAGTCTTTGCCAGTAAATAGTGTATGCTAAGTTATGGGTATTATTCTACAATATAAAGCTACCTCGAAGGTGCCTACAAAAAGCTGCTCAATAGCGGAGATAAAGATCCAACGTACAGTAGCACCATAACTTAAGACACACCGAACATTCTTAGTCGCTGTCACTGATAATCTCACGACTCTTGTATTTCTTCCGAGATGCGTTCCGGCGTGTGGGAGCAGGACGGCCCTTCGTCCGAACAGTCTCCTTGGTCGAGGGTTCAGGGATTGGATCGACGGGACCCTGTTTGCGTTTGTTTTTGCGAGGTATGATATTCGGCTGAGGCTGGAAAGAAACGCTGAACCTCTCCCGAACGTCTGCTTCGTGTGTTTCTGCGGTGTCCATGTCGTATTCCTCAACCTCGAGTTCGTCTTCTAATTCTTCCTTCAAGTCATCGGTATCCGTTTCTGCCGACATCAAATCCTCTTCCGACAATGGGTGGGGTGGGTGTTCTGACCAAGGCATTGGCAGGGTTGGGGACGACGGGCGATCAGGATGACTATACTGATAGAAGTCCACCGTATGGGATGGACGCAACGATAGAGGAAGCCAAACTGTGGGTGGCCTAATAGCCCGCTGCATACTGAGGTTCTGTGTTCGCCACTGCGCAGCAGATCGCACCTCAGCATATTTCTTATAAGCCACATCAACATCGGGGGGAAGTAAAACCTCTTCTGAATGGCGACTATCAATAGTTTTGTCCTGCGAAGTCTCGCGTTCCTGAGTCTTTTGAAGCGGCGTTGACTGAGCGGGAGAAGTGCCAACTATCTCCGATGCGCTTTGCCTGGAATAAAGTTCCAAAAGATTCCTCAATCGCTTCCTGTGAGCAGAGCTGTTGACGCCCATCAGAGCGATGGCATGTTGGACATTCCGGATTGAAACGATCTACGAATGTGATTAGCATCAGCAACTCATAGACCATCTTGTAGATTATATTCATTCGGAACGTACTGGTTTTTGACTATGTTTCCAAGCCCTGGCACCTTGCTTGAACATCCTCTCGCGGCGCCTGGATGCAAGTGTCAACTTGACCAAGTGATATGTAAAGTCCTTCAGTAAGGCTGCCAGCTCTTTCATAGCGGGAAACGATATGGTCGAGACGACATCATCAGGAACATCGTGCAACCCACGATATATGCTAAAGTGATGTTGTGAGTTAACTTCGTTCGATAACAGGCAATGGTGCTGATCACTTGCCTCATCAGTTTGGCCAGCCTGCCTAGGTGAAACAGATGCAGTCCTTCTTCAATCGCGTCATCGTATTGGAAGCCTAGGTCCCCAAGATGCTGACGCTCTTCTTTTGAGAGATCCTTCTTTGTGCGTGCACGAGTTGACGCTTGTGAACGTGCGGTTTGTGTTTCCCACCCTACGAGCGATAATTACTAGGTGACTGTGTGTATTGGACCTACAAAACTCACCTTCTGCGTCTTCCTCATCCCCCAAAGTCCCATCACCGCCATCTTGGACTTGACCACTTATCGCAGGAGTTGATGGTTCAGAAGGAGCGAGGTGCTTGTGAGACGGGCTCGCAGTTTTGTCTTGGGTACGAATAGGAGGGGAAGGTGGTGTCTCCGCAAGGAGCACTGGATCTATTAAGCTATCATCGAAAGGAACATGGGAAGGTCCTGCTTCCGGTGATCCAGAACCTATGATAGTTGAGGACGTGGTGCTGGGGGCAGGGGCACTTTGTTCTGGACTTGGTTCTCCGGTGGCTGCAGCTGTATTCGTTTCCGTGGTAGGCTGTACGTCATCCATATACTCGTCCTCGTCCTCAGATAGCTCTTCAGTCACTCGCGCATTCTTGCCCTTTGATCTAAGCAGCGCCCTATCCACCAACCTAAGAGTGCCAGCATCAAGTTCCCAATCTTCTCGTTTCCAATCTTCCTGCCGATCGTGCAACCAACTATCGAATTGCTTGATTGACTCTGGGTCCTTCTGCGACTGCATCGATTTGCGTGCAAGCGCAACTTCCAGTTCCCTGGTGACAGCACGAGTCTCTGCGCAAAGTTGTGGTTCTGCTGTTACAATCGAAGAAACAAATTTGTCTTCTAGAGCACACCACCGGTCTGACATTTCATATGCAGCAGGAATCTGCGTTCTCCGAGCTATGCGTTTTTCTCGATCTTCGTCTTCCTGCTCTTGCTCCTCGAGTTCGGCAGACCCTTCTTCAAGTAGTCCGAGATAAGCACAGACATCAACAATGTTCTTCGTCCCAATATCTTCAGCTATCAAGTCCGGGCGTAACCGCGAATGTACAGCAAGACCATGGAAAAAGAGTGCCTTTTCCTCGGAAGTCCAGAAGGTCGGCTGGATTTGAGAGGGTTCGAGTGCTGTTTCGTCATGGTCGTTACCGAGTAGGTGCAACTGGGTATGTGTAAGATGTTCATGAAAGATCGAGACGTAGGTGGAGAAGACGCCAGAGCTGGTAGCAGGTTCTACGCGAAGGTGTGGTGCCTGGGATGAGCCTGCCTCCGTAGGATCCTGAGACATATAAGACTAGTTTGTGAGGTAGGGCTTCTGACGGAGCATGGTCTGGATAGAGTGACTGTGAGCACGGCGGCTGAATCTGAATGGCCGTTTTTGAACTCACGAAATTATCGAGTTGGAAGTCCATGACATAAAAGCTTTGCTCACGATCGTAAAGTGATCGACCGCTTAGTCCGGAGACGCCCGTCGGTATAATACAGTACTATGGAGTGTAGAAGAGAACTAGAATTACAATATGCGATAGCCAGCAAAGGAATATGAGCATACTCTACAATCTAATTAGATGGGAGTACTATAGAAAAGCACAGACATGGAGGAAACGGGAAACCGCGGTGTGGAAGTTATTACCTCCCTGTGATATCCAGCAACCTTCCAGATGCTGCCTTTTCAATTCCCTGCACCATCTTCTCAATCTGTCTTCTCATTGCTGCGTCTTCACGATCACCCTCATCATCATCGTCATCAACATTGCCTCTTCTCTGTACCATGAACGCCGCAACGAACTGTGCAATCCCCACCTCCCCAATCTCGCTCATGGCTCTCGGACCCCATCGCCATTCAAACGTATTCGAATCGTCGTCGCCGTTGGCTGCTTGTGCTGAAGGCGCTGCTCGACCGCGTTTCTTGCCGCCAGCAGCTCCCTTTTGCTCGCCAATTTTTCGTCGGTCGAGATATCCTTGACGTATGAGTTGAAGGAGGTAGGCATCTGTTGTTAGATTTTGGTGTGTGGATTGGCTGCTAAGCGGTATTGGCGCCGTTGCCGAGAGGCGAAGACGTTTGAGAAGTGCACGCAAGTCATCTAGTTCAGATCAACTTTAGATAAATGCAAGAGAAACGAGTTGAATGCACGCACTGTCGCTGATTGCTCGTCCATTGACCAAAACGAGGGCGAGTATCACGTAGAGGATACCAACAGAACCAAGTTCATCTGCATGATGCCATGCAAATATCGAGCCAGTACTTCGCGTACCAACTCGGTTGTCATCGTCGTCGTCATCGTTATATGTTCCCACTTTGCCCTCGGTCTGTTCTACATTCAGAATTGCTGAGTTTGGGGCACATGCACGTTCAATGAGCGCAGGATCAAGCATTGATCGCAAAATGTATGTTTTTGTCCCAGAAGACGTGGCTATTTCCCGCTAGTCAGGAGTGTTAAGAAGCCAATGAAGATAGAGATACTACCTTTCTTTTTGAGGCCCATTGCGTTCTTTTCCTTCTGATTGGGATCATCGTCTCCTTCCGAACGTGATTGCAGCTCGACAAGTTCCATACCAAAAGTCTTGCGGAGGATGTCCTGTGCACGGCTGTAGACCTCAGGGAATACGCGAGACTTGGAGCCAAGTACTAATACGAGATATGATGAATACGTCGTGAACAAGTCAATAATGGAGCACTGTACCTTTCTTGGTGATCTCGTCACGCCGTAGAGGTGCCCGTCTATGTTCTGTGAATAGGGCTAACCGGACGAGGTCACTAGCTTTCCTGACAATATCCTGCGCGTATAACTCAGCACCAATGATACTCTATGTGAACGCGACTCACATCGGCGTCCTTATCAGCTTCCGCATCTTCTTCCATAGCGTCCTGCTGTGCCTCTTCCTCCTCGTCCTCTTCTGTTTGTCCACGACGCCTTTGTGATTGTGTACCTCGTGGAGCATGACGCGCTGGTTGCTGAGACTGAGAAGACTGTCTTTGCGATCGAGTAGCCCGAGCCATGTTCGTACAGATACCACGAAGGTTAAAGATAGAATATTAGATATTGGGTGGAACAAGACGCGAGACTAAAGCGGGCGTGTGAAAAATTTAATCTCCGACGTTTTCAGCCACAAGCGCGTCGTCGACGCGACTTAATGTAAGATGGATTGACGGCGATAAGAAATGACATGGATTGCGATGCTCAGGGATCCTGCTCTCACATAACATCGGGACCGATAAGAGACAGTCAACAACGTGAAAGGTTCATTTGTAATCATATGACGGGATTTGAGAAGACATGGATGGCGTCCCTATCTGAAGAACACGAAAGATGATATGTAGATCTGCCTGCATGAGAACGCATGTCGGCAGCACAACGGGGTAGCTGATATTCTAACGGCTTTTCAGAGGGATTGGTCGCGATTGAATTGGAAGATGTCCGAACACGGAGCTGCGTGCGCTTGATCACATCTGCAGAGCTCACAGATATTCGCGCCGAGATGCATTGCCATGGCACTTCTCCCTTTTGCTTCCCACCAAGCAGACGCATGCTCCCATCCGACCTGGCAGGACATGGGCAGGACGATCACTTGAGCGATGGGACGGCGCATACGGGCGCGAGAAGGCAGAAGGATCATCCGAGCGCAGTCTGGAGGCTTAGCTCGAGGAGAACGCGCGCGAGTTGTGTGTGCGAGTGTACCGCGTGTATCAGACGAATGTGCGGAATTCCATGTTGTGTCAAAGCTCGGAGAAACAGGAGAGGGCGCTTTGAAGAAGAGGCTCGCGGGAGTGGATGGGTTTGCTGCGAGTTGGAAGGGACGCACCTGGTCGAGTCTTGTCGAGAGTCCCCAGGATGAACACAAGGGGTGAACACATCATCGGCTGCTGGCCGGGGCGGGCGCGGTAGGCGGGGCCCATGCTCGGCGATGGCGGGCGGCGTCGGGGCAGTGGGGAGGAAAGGCCGGCGCTGATTGGTGGGCGTGAGAGGGCGGCAGGTGCCGATGCCCGATTAGGCAGGCCGGTATGGCGTCCGGCTTGGGAGCAGCGGCCGGGAAGGCGAGGCCAGAGCTTCTGATCAGCTTGCCGCATATCAAGCCTCCCTCAAAAATGCCCCCGCCCTCTCCAAGTCTGCTCCCGACACTCCCCCCCGCCCGCCTCTCCTTTCCTCTCTCCCCTCATCGTCGTCCTCGTCGGCGACACCCTCCTCCATGTCCACCTCCCCCCACCTTCCGCCTCCTGTCATAAACGAGGTGGGAATCCCTCCCCCTAGCCTCAATGGCATACAACACCACGAGTCCCCGTCTCAGCTCGCCCTTATGCTCACAAATAGTCTCCGCGAAAATGAAGACCTCAAACGCGAACTCGCCCTCTACAAGCGCAAAGCAGAGAAAGCTGACCGTCTTATGCGCGATCTCCACGCTCTCAATACCGCTACTGGCAAATCATCCAACGCTGGTCCCTCTTCCGTCCCTCCTGGCCATTTCGACGAGAATGCCGTCAAACTCCTCATCCTCGAGTGTCAGGAACGCGCCGAACGCGCCGAGGTCAAGCGCGATGAACTCGAAGCTCGCATCTACAAGCTACAGGAGCATTGGATGGACTTCGATCGTATAGCTGCGGGCTACGAGACCAAACAAGCAGAAATCCGGTTGAAGTTCTCTACCCTCATGGCTTCCAAAGGCGGCGAACTCTATGTGGTTGGACCAGGCCCACCGTACGCAACTGCATTAGCACAAGCTCGCCAGGACATGGCAGCTCAACATCGTGAGCAATATTGGCATCATCCTCCATTTCCTTTTTCTTTAACCCGCTTTCGCCTCATATAGCGCCACAACCCACCCCAAATTCTCGAGTGAGGCCACGAGCGGGTAGCTTGGACGGTTCATCGTATCCGCCACATCTTGCTGGGGGACCTCCACCCGCCAAAAGATTAAGGGGAGAACGTACGCTCCCTGACCATGCAATCGCCGGGCGACCCCGAGAACGCCATCGCAGTCAATCGGTGAGTCCTCTCTCTATTTCATCTTTCATGATCATGTTGTGACAGCCCGATTAGCCTCAACGAATGCCCCCCTACAATGGCCTTGGCTTCCACAACTCGTTGCCTCATCCGGGCGCATTTCAAGGCCACCCCTCCCATGACGCTATTTCTCGAGGTCGCTCAAGAATTCTTGATCATGAAATGGATGACCGCACCTCACTTCACCCTTCAGATACTCGTGGCTCCCATCACAGGTCCGGCCACCGACGTCGTACTTCACACTCTCGTTCGCGCAGTCGCGCCAGCTCTGCGAGTTTGGATGAGATGTTGCTTGAAGCAACTACAGGTGATGATCTCGATCGTCCAGAGGATCCCGAGCTGGGCGGCATGTCTCAAGGGCGCGTTGTAACCCAAACCATCCAACTCTCCCGACAATCCTCGCACCATCTTTCATCTCACAACCAACCAGCCAGAGGTCTTCGCCACCGATCTTCGTCTCTCGATCGTGATCGAGAATACCATATGTCCCATTCGAGCTCTCAACATGCTTCACGTTCCCGCGGGTCGACCGTCGCTACGCCTCATCAGTCTTTGCACCCTTCATCTTCTATGTCTGGACCGGGTATGGCCGGTATGGATATGCCTTCTGGGCCTGGAGTACCGGGCATGAGCGATCCAGTAATGATGAGACAACCAGGTCAAGTACAGTATCAAACGCATACATTTGCGCCGCCTGTCACAGGTCCCCCCGTCAAGAAACCCAAAAATGCGAACACACCTAGCTCCAGTAATATTGGCGGGCTTACTAGCCAAGGAAGCGTTACTACCCTCGGTGGGTGTTCATCGATAAATAGATCCTTAGACTGAATACTGACTGCAAATATGCAGGTCCTCAGCCTACTGTTTCTTCGATTGGAGGGGGCGGGTTCCCGGGCTCCAATGCTCAAGGTCAGCGCACGTGTCGTCAATGCGGACAGCCGGGTCGATACAAAGACGGTAAATGTGTCGAGAAATGGGGTCCCGGTCCTGAAGGACCTGGAACCGTATGCGACAGGTGACCTTCATTCAAATATCTCATACGATGCTTCGTGTCTTAACTCGTTTTGTCTCCAGATGTCGAAAGAAGATGAAGCGTGTTGAGCGCCGTGGAACACTCGACAGCCAGCAATTAGCAAGCTCTCAGAATGTACCACATATTACAAGCACTTCACTGGTACATTCTGCTACATCTATGAACCTCATGTCGGGGAATGGCCGTGGACCCCTCATGGCTCAATCACAAACCAATCGCAGTATTCATCGAACAGATACTCTCCTCGTCGATCAAGGAGTACCTTCTGCCCCGAGTCATAGTTCTTATCTCACGACTGTATCTCAACGTCGCGACGATTCTCGGACTGGGGCTGGATCGCCTCGTGGTTCTCATTCTGGTGGAAGAAGTGCGATGCGGTCGCCTCCCACTCCTCCATCGATTACCACTCTACCACCTAGCTCTAGATCCAATGACGTCGATGAGGTATTGTACGATCAACTTGCGGACAATAGTGGCCGATCGCCGTCTGAACGCGACGGAGCAAACGGCCGACGTAGTCGACAATCCACTTCAAGCCTGAGTCCTCCTACGCCTAGTGCAGGTGTCGCCGTTCCATCTTCCAGAGCTTCTCCTCGGGTGTCAGAGTCTCCACGCACGACCAACGGCAATAATGCCAGTGGGAGCAACGGCAGTGGCAGTACGACTAAAGGGAAAGTCACTCCAAGTGATATCGATCCCGACGCTGATGCAGATGCTGACGCTGACGCTGAGATGGACACCGAGGCAGACGCTGATGCCGACGCCGAGTTGTTGGAGGCTATTGATGAAGCTGAGAGGAAGGCTGGCAACTCGAGTACAGCCGAAGATGAGTGGCTGAAGAAAGAGGAGATATCGATTTAAACTGGGCAAGTCACTCTATGCTATACTTTCACGGTCTTTCATGATCATGCTACCCTCCACAACGAATCACCGAACGAACGAATCGAAGAGATGCGATGATGGACTCGTCTACCCTTACACACACTGCTTTCCTCGATCTCCCGATCTCTCTGAATTTATTTTGTCCCATCTTCTTCCATCCTTACTCTACTGTGTATCCTTTATCTTTCTCACTTACACTCTGAGCTTGCTTTGTAACTGTTGTTATGCTGTCACCATCCACTCTCCTGGAAACATGTATTTCTGTATTGTAAACTCTCTTGGCGTCTCTTCCAATCCTCCAGGGTGTCCTCGGTGTTCTATCTTTTTCTGTCTACTGCGTACAAATGCACCCCGTTATCGCGTATCGTAATGAATTCTTGTCATGCATGAGGCTGCCGTTGCCCATAAGATTCGAGTCTCGTGTGCAGGCTTCATTTACCGGTTTTTGTAGATTGATGCTACCAGCCGATTATCCCGGACGTCCAGTAGCTTCCATATGTTACTTAGTATGAATGTTAGCATGTCAATGCCAAGTTGCTGAAGATTTCGTGCTCTTTCTTGGGTTTGTCCCTTAAAGCCCTTCATTAGGACGATCATGCGGGAGTCGTGTACGTATAGACGGTGCGCCGAAGGCGAGTGAACAGATACTCCATTAAACTACATGCGCACGGGCAGAGGATCTCCTTCCCGAACCCTTTTTCACCGTTCACACAGTTGGATGTTCGCGATTTTGCGCGAACAAGGTTTTGGAGTGAACGTAATATTAGTATCTGGATGCCGCTGACTGTTCGCTCTCATAGGATGCATGTTTCTTCAGAGCCGCCCCAGTCAAGCCGCACCACCAGCGTTGATCGTTGACTGTTCGTGGCTACACTTAGCCATAGATCTGAGCTCTCCCATCATTGAGGCCTAGTTGGGGCGAGATTGGACTTCGCTTGCGGGTCTTAGGTTGCAATGAACACATGGGTGCAGTCGATAGAGGCAAGTACGTATACAATCCGAAGCGTTTACAACTATATGGGGAGCTGGCATGAGAAACAGAAGATAGCGACCCTTGAATGGACCATGCAGTCATCGTGTTCTTTTCCCTCATTCACCTTTTCCCATTGTTAGATCGGCGCGAGGCACTGAAATCATCATCTTCAGGGTTCGATTCTCAGATCCCTCAATTTCTCTCCGGCTACGACGGCGCGTATAAGTTGTCTGGCAGTGCTCTTGCCCAAGGAAGGATACTTCACTGCTATAACCAGATCTAGAAGGCCGATAGAATTTTCCTAATAGCTGGTGTACTGCGTGCGTACATATCGCAGATCCTCTTCCTCTCTAGGCAGGTCGGCAGTGCCACAAGTCTTCCTATCCTGCTCGGCTTTATAAACTTGCTGGCGGACGAACCTTCTCTCTTTCTCATCCCCTCTTCTTTTCTCATCCCTTCCTCCTGCCTGTGGCTCGATACGTACTCCACCAACATGTCATTCCAACCAAGACAAGTCTCACTTCCTAGTTTCCAAGAGATGTTTGCTGGTATGGTTGTTCCGTTGGGCCCGTCTCAGTGTCTTACTGAATAGCTATTCCCTAGAGTACACTGTGCCCAGCAACTCAGGAAGACCATCAGACTTGTCGGTCAACATTGCGCTTCCACGTCCTGTCAGTATTCATTCTAATGGTGCGTTTCGGTAGGATAATAACTCAGTTCGACAGCAACAAGCTCCGCGATCGTCTCCGTACGAGAGACATTCCGAGCGTCCTTCTCATTCCGTACAATTGCAGATCAGAGAGCCCTCCGATCACAGTCGTTCCAACACTTTGCCCGGCTCCCACCATCCGTACCCCAGTTTTTCACGTAGTCTTGAGAACCCACCTATCGCTGAACAACCTCGCCTATCCGCAAACCGCAGCATTCCGGGTGGTCATGATGGGGCCTCTGCGGCGCAATATTCTTTCGACGTGTTAAGACCGCATCCCTTTACGTCGGATTTGGAGCACATTGCATCCACATCTGATGTTTCCTCATTGTCTCGTGGTCATCAACCTTACCCTGCAGCCTATCCCGCTCGGACCGCTCTGCATTCAATTCCTGCGAGCAACGCCACTTTCAGGGTACACATTCCTAGTAGTGCTCGAACTCAAGCGCTTCAGCGTGGATCTCCTAGAGAAGGCCATCGTGCGGAGAATTCCCCCCAGGAGATGAACCATAATACGTATCACTCAAACCCTCATGGTTTGGTTATGTCCCTGCCGTCTGAACCTTCAGACGAAAAGAAGCATTGTTGTCCGCAATGCCACAAGCGGTTTAACCGACCGAGTAGCTTGCGGATCCATGTGAACACTCACACAGGTGTCAGACGTCAGTAGTCGTTCCATTTTATTGGCTAATGCGTCGTCAGGCTCATCGATTTAATTATGATGTAGCTTTTGAATGTGCCTTTCCAGGCTGCAGCCGTCGATTTAACGTTAACTCGAACATGCGTCGACACTACCGGAATCACTTCGCTGGACGACGGAAGGTCAGCTTCACCCCAATACAGTCAGTGCATGGTTCGACTCTGTCGCCGCCTTTAACGCGTTTTACCTCCGCCTCGCCTGTCTTGTCTTCACCTTCGCCCGAGCCTTCTGATTCGGAACGCGAGTGTTCGAGGTCCCCCAGTCCTGAGCTGGAGTGGTCGGATGAGGAATATGGACATGATGGTGATGCACAAGTACATTACCATGGCCCTGAGGATAGGTATTTGTAATACCCGTTGAGGGCGCATCGTTTGTATTTTTGGCGAGGGACCAGTACCAAGCACGCCACCCCCTCTTAGACCTTACGGTAGCCACGCCTTTAGGCATGAAGGACGGCTCGGACAACCGATAATTTGCTGCCTTAAACGGCATTCTATGAAATAATTTATTGGAATTGGACTGTCTTGTCTAGCAGTCAGACCATGACCGCCTTTTCAATACACGCTTATATAGCGGCAGCAAAGCAAACATTGCAGTCTACATAGCTCTATATTCTGTATATTACACTGCCCCTTCCACAAAACAGATATTCCGTGCGAAATTCTCTATGATGCACTCCTCGGTTACCATCGCAAGCATCTGTTTGAGTTTACTTGGCAGCTTCCTCCATCTCCTGCCTCCACCTCTTCTGAATCTCGATGCTCTCCCTGAAGATCTTGTACTTCGCTTCAAGCAACCGCTTCTCCTTGGGGCTTGCGGCCGGTGCGACCAGCGCACCCGTAGGCGTCATGTCTACCTGCATGCAATTTCAGCAACACGCCTCGGCGAGCCCGTTCATTAAATATATATATATATACCATGATATTCCACAGTGCCTCGCACTGTTCCTCTTCGGTCAACTTGCCCACCTTACCCGCCTCACTGGCGAATCTTCCAAGCATAGCCGCTCCCAGAACGACTGCAGCCCCGCTACTTTTTGGAAGAACAACAGGTATGCCGATGGTATCGGCGAAAAGTTGCATCAAATGTGAGTTCTTGGCTTGCCCGCCAGACATATAGATACTCTGGATGGCATGCCCCTTGGAGTTCATTTCATCGACGATGTGACGCGTCTGGAGGGCGATCGCCTCGAGCGTTAGATTATATTTGCGAGCAAGGTCGGAGAGGCCATCGTCCTATTATTAAAAATTTAGAGATGGTAAGTAGGAGTCCGGATTGGTGAAGGGGCAGGATGTACTAGAGCGAGACCGACGAGTGAACCTCGCATGCGAGGATCCGCGATTGGTGAACGATTGCCTACAGGACAAACGTCACCACGCTTGTTGGACGATGCGAAGCATTGATCGCCCAAAATGAACATACCGTGAAGGTCCGGATAGAAGTGCATATCCTTTGTCAATTCAGTGAAACTCTCAACCTTGTACTCGGCGCACAGCTTATGGAGTTCCTTATGCAAAACTAGCGGCGATATGAGATGGCACGGAACCAGAAAAGGCGGGAGAACATACCCTCATGGATGCTCGTGTTCTTGTCCTGAGCGAGTTGTTGCAGTTGACCATGCGCAGGATGCGTTTTGATCATGAAGTCGATAAGCTGTGTCACAACATCCAGATCAGTTTGACGTATTGAATATACAGCGTATACTCACTTGACCGGTTGAGGATTGACCACCTTCGTTCATCCACCATCCCGGAAAGACTGCACCCTACAGGAAAAACTCGATTTCACGAGGGTGGGGTAGTTAGAAAAGATTCTAAAGAATACCTTGTATGGTCCCCATACGCCGTTGACAAATACGCCCTCTTTGCTCTAAAATGACATGAATGAGCCTAAAGCCCCACCTGATGAAACTCGTATATGACACACTTGGACGATGTGACATGTACTAGTGCCAGCGCACGCAGCCAGACGATGTCTCGATTCGTTAAGCGAAGGAACAAAATCGGATAGCTTGCCATTCTCAGTGAACCGAGCTGCGACGGTACCAAGCCATCCTGCATAGCTTTCCGATGATGAATAAGAGTGCTTAGAGGGGAAATAATTAAGCTCACGCATCGATAACAGCACTTCCTACAGGAGTTCCGGGCAAAAGACCAAGTTCCTCTGCTGCACGTTTCGACAGCCCATGTCCCACAGGCAGTCCAGCCGTTAGTATATTACCATCCGCACCACCTATTTGCTTGTAGTTGTTATCTACGAATTCCTTCAGACCAATCTTGGTGAAGAAATCCGGCTGCCATCCGAGGTCCGGAACGTAAGAACATTTGCAAGTGACAGAGCAGGTAGAACGTGTATTGTCTCCAGTCGCACGATAGCTGAGGAAGTCCGGGAGATCAAAGAATTGGCAGCGAGAAAAGAGCTCGGGTTTCATGCGACGTTTGAGCCAGAGGGTCTTTGGGATCTCCATTTCCAACTACACAGTCCAAATTGCTTAGGATCGGCATCGAAACATAGCAATCGAAACATACACTCATGACTCCGCCGACATAATCAAGCACTTTAGATCCAGTGCCATTGATTAGATTGGCCTCTTCCTCTGCACGGTGATCAGCCCAAAGGATGATATTGCGATCGCCGTTCTGGCCAAGATCGGCGCCACCAGTGACTACGACTGGATCGCCGTTCGTATCTGTCACGGCTAGAGAACATGTTGCATCAAATCCAAGTCCTTTGACTTGTTCCGGAGTGACGTTGGCCTCTTTGAGTACGGTCTTGATTGTCTTGCCAATCCCATTCCAGATGTCTGTTGTGGATTGCTCGAAGATACGATGATCATCAGGATCACGAAAGGTCTGGGTGGCCTCCGTGGAGATCGCTGCGATGGATCCGTCGGGTTTAACAAGGCCTGCACGTACAGAGCCCGTTCCGACGTCGATGCCGATATAATAACCTTCTGAAGACATGGTTGTTCGTGTTAACAGTCAGTTCGTTGTCCTCACCTGCGAATTCTGTTTTACATGGGCGCCACTAATTATGGGGTAGGTATCAACATCCCCATGATCTCGATCGATCACAATCCAATCAAGTAAACATTCAAACAGAAACGTCGAAAAGATTCAGGTCTGCGGCAAGCGTTCTTTATTTACCCGCAAACAATATACTACAGCATCACGAATATATACTATACGAAAGGAGGACAATGCGATATAAACAGTGAAGAACACAAATGAACAAATGATAACATCATCCGCGTCACCGGGCGTAAGGGTGGTAACCGTGCTGAGCTCGCTGTCCTCTCTGAGGTCCGACGCCAGCTGCACTAGGTCCTGTTGGTGTACCTCGAGGACCTCGAGGAATACCACCCATCATTTGTCCAGCCCCTGCGCCAGCCATTCCTGGTGTTCCTCGGCCCATACCCATACCTGCACCCATACCGCCCATACCCATACCCATACCTGCTTGGGCCATGCCTGCTTGACCCATGCCCATTCCTCCAGCACCCATACCGCCCATACGCATACCTCCACCCATACCTGCGCCATATCCAGGTGCACCGGCTCCCATACCACCCATCATCGGCATCCCACCCATCATGGGGTTCATTCCACCCATTTGCTGGAACATCCGTGTGTAAAGTGATGCCAAAGCTTGTGGATCAAACGGGGCATTTCCTGCACCGGCTGTTGGTGTTCCTGTTGTTGCAGCAGCAGTAGTAAAGCTGCTCTGGTTGCCATAAGCACCCGCGCCGACGAATCCTCCTCGGGTCCCTGTAGTGGTGGTTCCTTCATTTGCGAAGTTGCCCTCACGCTGAGAACGGGGCTGAGCCAACTTGACGTCAATCTAAAGTCGATTATATGAGTTATCTATAGAATCAGTGAGAGACCCTGATAAGGCTTACCAACTTGCCATCGATTTCAAGGTTGCCGAAGCCGAGAATGGGTTCGACATTCGCACCTTCGAATGAGACGAAGCCGAAGCCTTTGCTTCGGCCCGTCTCCCTGTCCAACATGACAGTCGCATCGACAACTTTGCCAAACTGTGAGAAGAACTCTCGCATTGACTCTGACGTGACGCTGCCAGCAAGTCCGCCGATGAATAACTTCGTCGCCCGCTGGTGCTCTTGCCGTGGAATTGCACGCTTCGGGTCAATCTGTTGAACGGAACAGAAGGGATTAGAGCAAATGACGACTGCAGGACAAACTACAACGTACAATTTTACCATCAAGGAAATGTTCTCGGACCATGACAGCATTCACGCTCGCCGGGTCTTCGAATGTCAAGAAAGCAAAACATCTTGACCGACCGGCAGCATCGCGCATAATGGTGCAGGCTTCGACTTTGCCAAACTGAGAGAAGTACTTTCTGAGACCCTCTAAGAAAAAGTAAATAGCCATATTTAGTACTACGTCCCGATAACGACAGATAATGGAAGCTAAAGATAGTGGATAAATATGTACCATCTGTAGTATCCCAGTTAAGGCCGCCAATGAACATCTTGCTGTATATCCGTAATCGGTAGTTACATCCCAGACCGAACGAACAGGACAATAGGATACGTAGGCAGATACGGGGCAAGGATAGATGGATGGATGGACGGACGAGTGACACGGACGTTGTGTACGGTGGATTGGATTGATTGGTGAGTCACATATGCAAAAAGAGCAGGGTTTTCATTAGTAAGTCTGTAACGATGCCTAGAACAGCAGTATCAAAGGAGACAGGCAAAAAGATAGAGGCGACTCTACTGTGTGTAGGTTGTCTGTGTACTGCAGGAGCAGTGCTAGCTAGCCTAGCTAGAGTATCCGCTAAACGCTAGAGCTAGGAGAGGCTAGTCGTAGTCGATGATGAAGAGGCGACAAACAGGACGGGTGAGGATGGGAGTGGACTATAGCGACCGTGATACAGAGGGACCCGAGGTCTCGTAACTAGTACCCAAAGTCGATTCCCCATTTTCCTAGTCGTCATCATTGTGTCGAGCCACGACCCACAGCTACGATACGATGGCATACTGATGACGCATCACCGTATGGACACAGCAAAAGGGCTGCAAGGGGTGGGGGACATTAGTGTTATACAAGGGAGCGCTTACTCACCCTTCCTCCTTCATTTCGGACGGCCTGACGGGGCGATCAAGTTGACCAGCGTAGCCGCTAGGTGGCCTGCTCGTCATAGCGGCAACCTCGCTACTGTATTCGGGTTCTTGGCGTTCTTGATACGTTGGAATTTGCTGTGTGGCCTGTTGTGACGTGTATGAGGTTGGTGCCATTGCAGAAGAAGCAGCAGGAATTGGCTGTGGTTGGTTCGCGATGGAGTCAGCTATTGAAGGCTTGCGATCCTCTGACAAGGTGTCTATCGCGGTGTATGTGCTAGGAGGAGGACTTTCTTGTTTAGGGACCTCTGAGCGATCCTCCTCTTTCTTCGCATGCTCGTCTACATGCTCCGTCGGGACAGCAAACTCTGATTCATCGTTACCGTAGAGATCTGCAGATGAGGTTAGAGCTAGCTCATACGCTAATGGCGTTCAAATGACACATACCTCCGTACAAGTCAGCGTCCAGTTCAGACATGGTGATGGTGGTTAGAGGAGAAGGATTTTGCGTCTGGGCGCGGCCGGACTCTGCGATTTTGCCACCTGAGAATAAGCGCCCCTAGCCTCTGAGAATGCTGATGTAAGGTTCCAAAAAGCGTAGCGCCCAAGCTGTTGAACTTGCAGATATGCGGACCCACACGGCGAGATTAATCAGAAAGATATGTTCCAGAAACATAGTAAATCATGACAACACTATAGAACCCAGGCAGGAACATGTACAAGTAGAGGGATATAACACTATGTACTTTTAAGATGCAGCAATATATCAGCATAAGGACAGCGAACTCAAGGACGGAAGAGACGGCTTAGTCGAAGGTGGTCTTCCTGCCCTCGAAGCTAGTAATTCCACCAGTCCGAGGACCTCCACGACCGCCACGGGGACCACCTCGTCCACGTCCTCCCCTGTCTCCGAATCCACCACGACCTCCACGTCCACCACCGCGACCGCCAAAGCCACCACGACCACCACGGTCACCAAAGCCGCGTCCGCCACCACGTCCACCACCGAAACCTCCACCACCGAAACCTCCACCACCGAAACCTCCACGTCCGCCACCACGGCCGCCGGCGTTATTATCCCTAGGTTGGGAGAAGTCTAACCGGATGGCACGACCAGCAATTTCGGCACCAGCCAAACCCTCATGTGCCTTCTTTGAGGCTTCGAGATCCGCGAATTCGACATAACCGAAACCCTTGGGACGACCAGAATCACGGTCCGTGGGCATGCGAACACTCTTCACGTCACCATACTCGCTGAACGTCTCCCATAAGGCGTCCTCCGTGGCGTCAAAGCTAAGGTTACCGACGAATAGAACCGATGAAGGCTCGCTGGGCGAATCGCCAAACGCGTTGGCACGCTTCTCGCGAACTTGAGTCTTGTCCTTCTCAATACTTCTATCGACGTTAACAGGGCGACCGTCGATCTCTTTTCCATTCAGCTCGAGCGCCTTCTCGACTGCCTCGGTAGTGGTGAAGGTAACATAACCAAATCCACGAGACTTGCCGGTATTGCGGTCCATCTGAACACGAGCAGATTCGACCTCACCGCAGTCAGCGAACTCTTGCGCGAGCCAGTCATTGTCGACGTTCCAGGAGAGTCGGCCCACGAAAATCGTCTTCGTCGCTTCCGAGTCGCCTCCCTCGGTAGCAACGGCGGCACCATTGTCACCTTTGTTCTTCTTGGCAGGGGGAGCAGCATCGTCTTCCGCCTTACGCTTGCCTGTAAAAAGAATGTACTTAGGGGATTAAGAAATACAAAGTGACCAAAGAAAACACACCTTTTGAAGCAGTAGCTGCCTCCTTCATCTCAACATCCTTGCCCTCAACACTCGACTCTGCCGACGAAGACTCCTCATCTGAGTCTTCCTTTTTGGCGGCGGTCTTACCGACACGCTTCTTCTCCTCTGACTCTGACTCTTCATCCGACTCGTCAGATGAAGAACCAGAAGAGCTCTCCTTCTTAGCCGCAGGCTTTGAGGGTGTAGCCTTCTTGGCGGGAGCAGTAGCCTTCTTAGGGGCCTCTTCTTCTGAGCTATCAGAACCCTCGGTGCTAGTCGTTGTCGAGGCAGGAGCTGCCTTTTTAACGGGGGATGCCTTGGCGGGTGCAGGTTTCTTCGCCTCGGATGAACTTTCCTCACTGCTCTCTTCGTCAGAGGAGTCGGACGACGACGAGGCCTTCTTGGTGGGGACAGCCTTCTTTACAGCGACCGCCTTGGGCTTCTCCTCCTCAGATTCGGAGGAATCAGAAGAAGAGCTGGCGGCCTTCTTTGGTTTTGTGGCAGTTTTAGCGGCAGACTGAGGATGATAATGAGTCTCAAGTAATTCACACTTTGCAAAATAACATGCCTTGGCCTTCGATGCAACTTTCTTTTTCTTCTCGTCCTCGGACGAGGACTCAGAAGTCTCGTCGCTGGAGGACTCCGCCTTAGCAGCTACCTTCTTGCCCTACAATGACAGTGTTTAGTTATGGAAAAAAGGCCCACAGTTATACCATGATTATAAACATACATTGGTCACCTTCTTGGGGGTTGGCTTCGCAGCGACAACAGCCTTTGAAGGGACGGCTTTCGCAGCAGCCTTCTTGTCGGACTTTTTGGACTTTTTTGATTCAACACCCATTGCAATGAATAAGAAAAGGAACGGAGGGAGAGTGCAAAAGGAGTTCTGGACGAGGGTTGCTTGTGGGAGGAAAGTAAGCCAACTGAAATTTTCAAAGATGGAAATACTCCGTCGGGTAATACCGACCTCGGTGCCTTACTGGGAAATCTCGCCGGCCGCGTAATTCAACTTATTCGACGTCGATGACCAAATAAAGGACACTCGAGTCACAGCAGAGTCACACCGGATAGTCTGATTCTTCAATGTAAGTCAAGGGAACTACCCTACCGAACGTGCTTCATATACTACTCCTTGGTACTGCGGAATGACTGCGGACGAGAGAAAATGCACGACGCATTGCTTCAAAAACAAGATAGAATAAGAATTCTAAGTGACCTCCGTCGGATACTAGAGTAGGTAAGTTGTAGCGCCCATTAGCGCTGTAAACCGCCTGTACTGGTGGAACGCTGAAGGCACTCTTACCTTCAACCCAAGCATGGACTTTGATACAATTGTTCTGGGTACAGGCCTCAGCGAGTCCATTTTAGCGGCGTAAGTACAGTTCCTGCTACTCTGTTATTTGCTTGTAATAGAGCGACAGTGCTCTCTCTAAAGCAGGCTTTAAAGTCGGCCACTTCGATGCCAATCCATACTATGGCGGCGACGATGCATCTCTGACTGTAGATGACCTGCGTGACTGGGCGGAATCACGCAAGAAAAACACAAATACTGTTTATCTCGAAGCACAACGCCAGAGGTTCTCCTCTATATCACTCACTTCGTCGAACGTTCCTCGGTCACGAACTTTCTCCATCTCACTATCGCCCACAATCATACCTTCGGTTGGCCCTCTCGTGGACTCTCTGGTTGCTTCTGGTGTCTCTCGTTATGGTGGCTTCAAACTACTGGAGAGCATTGCCGTCTTCGATCAACCTTCAAAGGTGAAGCCAGTACCGACAAGCAAGGAAGATGTATTCAAGAACAAGGAGCTATCACTTGTGGACAAGCGTCGATTGATGCGTTTCTTGCTCTTTGCGGCTGGGGAATTTGAGGGTTCGAACGAGCTTGCAGGACAAGAAACGCAAACTTTCCTGACATTCTTGCGAGAGAAGTTCTCCCTCGCGAACAAGGTTGCTGATGCTATTGCGTATGCTCTTGCTTTCTGCACGTCTCCCTCAGGTAGTACCTCGTTCCCCTTCAGAGTTCTTTGAATATGTTGACATTGATGGTTATTATGTATAGATCTCACACTGCCCGCTTTGCAGCGAATTCGCCGATATCTACGTTCCGCAGGGCGATATGGCCCATCTCCTTTCTTAGTTGGTCACTATGGTGGTATCGGTGAAATTGCGCAGGGTTTCTGTCGTGCAGCTGCCGTGAACGGGGCTACATATGTATTAGGACGAAACATCATGTCCTTGAATCCACCACCAAAGTCTTTAGGTTCCCAAGCAAATTTGCGCTGGTCATTATCGTTAGATGATCTCGACGAGCACCCAAGCTCTAGAATTGTTGCTGCACAACCTGCTTACATCTCATCGTCTTCACCTTCGTCCCCAGGCGGGCGTAGTGCACGATGTGTGGCCATCATTAACACACCGATACGGTTCTCAGAACCTCCCCCCGAGCTAAACGACGACGTGTCGGTGGAAGATATAGGGCCAGGAGAAATCGATACAGGCCTTCTCATCTTCCCGCCGTCTTCAGTGGATAGCGGGTCTTCCACCGCTGCTGCTTCATGCTTGATTACTGGAGAGGGTAGCATGGCGACACCGTCAGGCCATTGTATGTATAAATGTTTTCCAACGCATTATTCGTACCTGGATGCTGAGTTTGTGTACGCTAGGGATTCTGAGTTTCTCAATACCTATGTCAGAGCAAGACGCTTCTCGAGAACCTGAGGAACTGCTTAAGCCTTACCTCGAAGCCGCTTTGACTCTGACATCTTCACCTTCACCAGATAGTCCTACGAAACCTCTTCTCACATGTTATTATCTCCAAACACTTCCAAGTGCAAATATGGTCGTTCTTTCCGGCAGTCCCCAGCCCTTGTTCACTGTACCATCTGACATAGTTGTTATGTCTGAAACTGCGGATACCGCTGCTACTCACGCAGAAGAGGCATTTTGGAAGATTGTGAAGGATCTGGAAAGGAAGGGCGTGAAGCCTACGAAGATAAAGAGTGAGGGTGAGGGTGAGAGGAGTGAAGAGGGAGTTGGTGAAGAGCCTCAGTTGATCACGCAGTTCTGGCCGCCTTTGGATAGCGTCGGGGACGACGACGATTAGATTAAATGGTCAAATTTATGATTCAAGAGTGTAACCTATCATTTTCATATGTGAAAACTAGTATGGCAAAGCATGGCATGGCGAAAGCAAGAAGTTCCGTTCAAATCATAAATTAAATGTGTAGTGTTCTACTACTCTACAACTCCTCTCTCGGCTTCTCTGGTTCATCTGGCGGTAAGCAGAGCGCAGGTGTCGTCCCGGTGATCTTATACTCGCATTTCTCAAGTTCGGCAATAGTGTGTAGAGCGTTCTCGGTACCACATTCGAGTTCAAGCTAGTGGTATACATGAGTCAACGGTGGGCATTTGTGGGATCATGCGAAAGACGGAAACTTACGACAACACTTCGCTGGGGACCATTCCAACACTTGGTACCATGTATATAGAATTGTTTGCTGTAATACTCCGGTGATCCGACTTCGACTCCGGGGCCATTGTTCCAGTGAGCGAAGCGTCTGTAGTTGTATTAGTATGAAAGGGAAAAAGCTAGATCGTTGGATAGAAACCGACCCAAGGCTGAACGTGGAGCCGCCCTTATTAGGCTTCTGCCTCGCCTCGTCAAATAAGCAGACCTCGTAGGTGTAACTGATGCAACATCAGCTTGAGTGTTTTTATCATTATGCTAGAGAACTCACTCTCCAGTGTCCTTCTCAAGACAAGTGCCATCAAGCTTCTTCCATTCGCCGTCCTTTCCGTACCAGTTAGAATCGAAGAGACGCGAAAGGTCCTCTTTAGCCTTCGTGAGCTCATCTCTTGTGAGCTTGAGACTGTGGTCGGCGTCGTTGTAAGCTTTCTTTGCGCGAGAGTCATCAGCGGCGTCAGACTTGGAGGGTTTGACGATGCCGAGAAGCTCCAACCAGGAGACCAAAGCATTTTGGAATGCTTCGAATTGAGGGAGAAGGGGCTCGGGAACGTATGCGGACAGGTTGTACACTACGAGAAATCCGGTGAGATATCACAGACGCACACATGATGATCTGTACTCACGTAGCGAGTCAGAATGCTCGGTAGCACCAACATGCTTGTCATGTTCAAGAAGTAAACTCTCATAATCCTGATCGAGCAACTCATCTAACTGATGTTCCAATTGCTGAGGGGTCCACATGCCAGGCTCGAGTTCTTCCTCTTCATCCTTACCAGTCTCAGACTCGTCCTCCGTAGAGGGTTCGTCATCCTTCTTGACATCGTTGATATGAGGCAAACCGGCATGGAATTCCCATCCGCGGACGGCTTCCAAGACAGCCATATCTTGGTAGTTGGGGTTATAGCCTGTTCGAAGACGGTCAAGGATGTCGCCGAGAGACTTCTCGCGTTCAAGATGTTTCTTATGTTCGCATTGGAGTGACTTCAGTGCTCGATGATGAGCAAGGAGGGACTGGTATAGCGCTGTAGATATGTTCAGTTAAATTAATATCGATCTAACAGGGATGAAGGGCCTACGCGACTGTTTCTTCTGCTCAAGTGCGGTAGCAGATAGTGATTCAGCATGATCGGCGATATCTTCACGGTAGTCCTAATGTTAATAGGAACGTCACGACAGGCTGAAGTAAGTGCAAACCTTTGAGACGTGCTACTTCCTTCTCCCTAGACACGATCTCGTTCTCAAGTGAGGCTATCTCGCCCTCAATGCGCTTCTTTTCCTTTTGAGCGAAGGCAATGTAACTTGATCGAATTTTGGATCCCTGACATTCACAATTTAGACATAGATATTGGACAGAAAGATATGAACAAAACAGACAGTCTTCCGTAACTTGCGTTCGGCTGCTTGCTTTACTCTATACGCCTCGCCAATCTCCTTGCACTTGTTTGGGCACACGCCTGGTTCTTCATCGGAACCATCACAGCATGCAGGTTCTGGACAGTTGTGAACACGAGTTCAATCGTCTAAGCGATGGCACGACATACCACAAAGTCCATCTCGTACTCTCGATGATGGAATAAAAGCACCAATGTGTCCCTCATTCCGGCAGTAGAACCTGGTGTTAGGACATGCGCCGGTGCCTATTGGCTTCCATCAATCGAACGTACTATGTCACGACATGGCGAGTAGGTCGTACCGGGCTCGTCACTGCCGTCTGGACAGTCACAGTAGTCGTCGTTAACCGCAGACCAAGGGATCACTTTAGATCCATCGATACACGTCCATATTTCTTGGGAGCCATCTTTGGTGGGAACATAACTGGCTAAAAGACTAGGAGGCACGCCATGTGTCTTGTCAACTGCAGAGAACGCGGAGAGAGGCAGTAGCAAAAGCACCCAAGGTACCATCCCTGCCGAAATTCTCAGAATACCTCACTAAATGATAGTCAAGACAGACAAGAAGAGAATGACACGACGGTTAGAGTATATAGCAAGCCATCCACTCAACTTCACACAACTGACGTGGTTTCTCGATTATGGGCGCTTCGCTGCAAGCTTAGACGCTTCGTTGGAGCGTGGGATAATTATCGGTGTTCTCCGTGGGCTATCCAAAGGCAGCGCCGTCGCGAGCAGCTACCACATCAACCAGGCCCGTCAAGACTATGGTGAGTACGCCCCCAAACCACCCCAGAACCTTGCCATTGCACACAGATTCGCTCGCTGGTCCCAGTGGCTCTCTTTTTCGGCGTGGATTCTATCTCTGAACGGCTGGATGTGTTCGACGAAGTCCGGATGACGCTGACTGGCTTCTCTGTAGGCCAAAGCTAAGGCAGCCCCTTCGGCTTCCAGTGGTGGAAAGGCCGCCAAGAAGAAGAAGTGGTCCAAGGGAAAGGTCAAGGACAAGGCCCAACACGCTGTTACCCTTGACAAGGCCACCTACGACCGTATCATCAAGGAGGTCCCTACCTTCAAGTTCATCTCTCAGAGCATCCTCATTGAGCGACTCAAGGTCAACGGGTCCCTTGCTCGCATTGCTATCAGACATCTGGAGAAAGAGGGCCTTATTAAACGCATTGTCCATCACAGCAGCCAGCTCATCTACAGTGCGTATTTGCGAATTTTAGTATAATTGTTCATCAACTGATATTGCTTCTTGTTCAGCCCGAGCGACTGGCGCGGAGTAGAGCTTTTGGTCTTTGTCGTTTTACTTCTCCATCTTTTTTTTCCTCGCATGCACCCAAAACCAGCATATGTATTTGCTATGGCATAAATCGCATTGACGTGACTCACGCCGGAATGTTTCGCTGTGTGATATCGCCCAAGCTACTATCTGCCGTTCGCATTCAGTTGTTCGAGCTCTTTGAATGAACTTCATGATTTGTGCCTTGCTTATCTTCTGTCTGAGAATCATCTGCAACAGCGTGCTACTCTATCTTGCTTTGCCGATCGATATGAGCGCTAATTCGTCCATAATGCGGAAACTGCTCTTAACTTGAGATTGCTGGTTTTGAGGAGTGGACGTATCTATCATGGCCAGCCCACCCACTCCTCAGACCTCCTCTGCATCTCTCCCATCTTCAGTGTTCACGCTTCCTCATACGGCTCAGTTGGAGGCCCTCTACACGATCATCAGGGACAAGAACACCAGCCGCGGCGACTTCTTGTTCTATTCTGACCGTATCATTCGTTTGCTGGTAGAGGAGGGTCTGAACCACCTCCCGGTCATTCCTAAGACCGTAGAGACACCCACGGTTTGTGTTGTGTTGTGTTGCCTTTTGTCACCGTTAAAGGTATTCATGCAAATCAAATCAATGGATAGGGTGCGACGTATGAAGGTGTAGGTTTTGAGGGCAAGATATGTGGTGTCTCTATCCTGCGTGCCGGTGAGGTAAACAGTTCATGGGTTCGGACCTTCATATCCTATGTTTAAAGTTGTTTCGTGGAGGATAGGCTATGGAGGCGGGTCTTCGAGAGGTCTGCCGTAGCGTGCGGATTGGAAAGATTCTGATTCAACGAGTGAGGGAGAATATTGATATTCGTTGGCGGCTTCTTAACGAGATTGATAGGATGAGGAAACGGCTCTCCCAAAGTTGTTCTATGCGAAAGTGTGTATGGACATGCATGTTCAGCGGCTCAAAAGCTGATTTGCTTTATCATTGCAGCTCCCACAAGATATCGCGAAGCGATATGTCCTGCTCCTGGACCCTATGCTTGGTACGCTAAGAGCGAAACTGAGGAGTACTGTATCATTCACACGGATTATCGTTCAGCAACTGGTGGCTCTGCCATGAAGGCGGTTGAAGTGATCATGGAGCATGGTGTTCCAGAGGACCGAATTATCTTCATCAACCTGGTACGTTCCCTGTGAAATCATCAGGAATACAACTCTGACCGTCTTTAACGCAGATTTCCTCTCCTGAAGGCCTTCGGACCTTTTGCACCCGGTTCCCTGCACTCAAGGTCGTAAGTGTATTCTTGACGACTTCCGTGTTCATGTCAGTTGTTGATTGTGGGATGTGGTAGATTACCGGTTGGATAGACCAAGGCTTGAATGAGAAGGCGTATATCATTCCCGGACTCGGTGACTTCGGCGAACGGAGGTAACTGTTGGTCGGTTTTGGAGAATTGCAATGTATACTTAAATTGTTTTTCTTTTAGATATTGTTCATAAGCTCGGTGTGACTTGGCTTGCAGCTTTAATGCATGCATTCAATGTTTGAAGAATGCAAGCGAGCGTTTTCATGTACAATTGGGTCAAATGAAGGGCGTTTGGACACCATGTGTGATCACGGCTGTGCTGACGGTCGATTACACGGATAGCTACAGTCTACGAGTACAATAGTCACCGAATACGTACTAGCTGTGAGAGTACTGCATGCTGGTTGTACGCTACCCTAAAATATGACCTGAGATGTCAATTCAAATTCGTAAAGAGTATGGCGGTTAGCCGGGTTTTTAATAGCCCAACGTAATATATACGGTTCTACTACTAAGGCAAGAATTTTCATCCATGTTGTATGCGGCCATTTCTTTCACGCTTGGATAACTCCCACCACTCACATCCACATCACCATTACTATCTCTTGTTTTGAGACTTTGACTAGACCTATTCTGACTGAAGCCGTCGCTTTGATAGAAACTGCCACTATACCCCTTGCACCATCCCATCAAAAATGTCACATATCGAGTCTCGCCGCCGCCGACACTCTGTGATCAGCCCTGTAGCTATGTCTTCTGCAGCAGCAGCAGCCATTTCAGAATCTGATGCTATTCCACGACCCAAGTCCACCCCTGTGGACGAACGGATACTACAAAACAGCCATGACGATCACCTCCTTGATTCGGAAACGGAAGAAAAAGATGAAATGGACGTAGACGAGAACGCGGCCCATCCATCCGACCCTCTTTCCTCTTCCCAACTCCCTGCTGGATCCTCTTCAAAAGTCAACGGATCGTCTGCTGCAGACCGTCCGACCAAACCATTGCCTTCCAACAAGTCAAGGAAAATGGCACAGAATGGTTCTCTGCTTACCAACCCACACATGCTCCCTGTCCAGGCTCATGTACCGAAAGGAGGCGTGATCCAGAGCCAGAGACGGCTGTATGTCATTCTGGAGCAGGCGTGCTTGGAGGTGTACCGTGTCAGTACGGGTGGAAGGAGTAAAAATGGACGGGAAGGTGATGTCAAGTATGCCCTTTTGAACTGTGACGATCATCAGGGTATACTTGCGAAAACTGGACGAGATATCGCGGATGCTCGGCCGGATATCACTCATCAGGTGCGTTCGTGTGTCTTATGTGAATTTCCGAGGATGAATCTCACACCGATGTAGTGTCTCCTCACTTTGCTCGATTCGCCGCTGAATAAAGCCGGCCGTCTGCAAGTGTACATTCATACCGCAAAAGGGGTCCTCATTGAGGTCAATCCCCATGTGAGGATACCTCGTACATTCAAGCGATTCAGCGGGTTGATGGGTACGGTGCCCATTCATGTGCCTCAATCCCTTTACTTACAATGTGACCGTCGATATTCAGTGCAATTGCTTCACAAACTATCGATAAGAGGTGTAAACGGCCCAGAAAAGCTACTGAAAGTTATCAAGGTATGCTTCTGTCCTTCTCACTATCATGTTCTACCATTAACGAATGCCTTCTTCAGAACCCGATTACTGATCATTTACCACCCAATACCATCAAACTCAGTCAGTCCTCTCTAAGTCAGATGGGTTCCCCAAATTGACAATTGGCTGATGTAGCACTCTCTGGGGATTCACCAACTATGCGGCTGTCAAAATACCTCCCTACGCTTCCTGAAACACACAACATCGCTGTCTTTGTCGGAGCTATGGCAAGAGGCAAGGATGATTTCGCCGACGGCGTGGTAGATGAGAAAATCAGTATTAGCGACTATCCATTGAGTGCGTCGGTCGCATGTGGCAAGGTACGCAGCCCTTTTTATTTCTCTTGGCTGCATCTGATTCGTTGCCCTAGTTCTGTTGTGCGCTAGAAGAACTCTGGGACATTGTCTAAACAACGGGGTAAAAGTATAATATTTTCGGGGACTGCGCAGGGATGGTCTTGTGCATTTGTACTGTATTGCTACTGTATTCAACTACGTGATACGTCGTTGTACCACTTTGTACATCTTAATCAACTATAAGATGAACATGATCAGTCATTTTGAGGCAGAGGCTGAGCGACGGATACAGAAGTTGGGTGCTTGAAACGTTTGCCACGATCTGGCAATCCCATCAGTTGCTATATCCAGCGTGTCGGCTAGATACTGACCCAGCTCATACCCTCTCCACTGCCAGCACTCCTTCTCCATTCCTCCCTTTCCTCTCCTCCCCCTCCTTTCATACTCAACTTCATAACCACATAATCTCATACTCGATACTCATCGTAGTTACTAGTCATTAGTATGGCCACAGCACACGCATCACAGAACGTGAGCCCCATGCCTGAGGGTGTCACGGATCCCAATTACAAGCCCCTTCCCGGTCGGCTAGGGAATTTGACTGCTCAACAGCAGCAGGTATTGGATCAGTTCAAGAAGGAGTTGCAGGAGGAGGGTCATTTTGTTCCTGAAAGAATGGACGATGCTATGCTGCTCAGGTAAATTTTGTTTTTTTCTGGCCACTGATTTCGTACTCTGTGCTGAAGAGCTCTTTCTGTTTATGCTTTGAATATGACAGATTTCTGCGGGCACGGAAGTTTGATCTACACAAGGCGAAAGCTATGCTCCTTGCGGCGGAACAGTGGAGGAAGGATTTCGGCATAGAGGAGATCATGAAGTACGGCTCTTTTTATGAAAACATTGGAGCAAAGTATTGATTGTACAATCCGTACTGTTAGGAACTTTGACTTCAAGGAGAAAGCCCTGGTCGACAAGTACTACCCACAATACTACCACAAGATGGACAAGGTACACTCCACTTCACATCAGCTCATGTCTCATCCACACCTCTAACACATGCACCTCCGCGTGACTTAATAGGACGGCAGACCGGTATACATAGAACGTCTCGGCCTACTGGACGTAAACGAACTATACAAGATCACCACCCCCGAACGTCAACTCCAAAGACTCGTCTACGAGTACGAGAAGAACACACTCGAACGTCTCCCCGCGTGTTCCAAAGCCATAGGTCACCCCGTCGAGACCTCCTGCACCATCCTCGACCTCAAAAACGTTTCTTTAACCGCCTTTTACAGAGTCAAAGGCTACGTGATGGAGGCATCCGCGATTGGTCAAGACCGGTACCCTGAAAGTATGGGCAAGTTTTATATCATCAACGCGCCCTGGGGGTTCAGTACCATTTGGTCGTTCATCAAGCCTTGGTTGGATGAGGTGACGGTGTCGAAAATTGATATCATTGGGAGCACGTATGCGGAAAAGCTCTTGCAGCAGATCCCCGCGGAGAATTTGCCCAAGGAGTTTGGTGGCAAGTGCGTTTGTGAGGGTGGTTGTTCGTTGAGCGATGCTGGACCTTGGAATCCTAACGGGAAAGAGGCTACTAGTACTTCTTGATGAATAATAGATACATAGTAGAACGGGGTTTGTGGGTCTAATGCAGGCTGTATACCATTTTAAATTTTATTCATTTCGGGGATTCTGCTGAAATCCGTTCATTGCAATCATGGTAGAAATATTGACTTACCCTGAAAATCGATTATGCCGCACCACTAACTCACTCACGCCGCATTAGAGTTTGAAATTCCACTATTCTGAACCTTTAAACGAATATTGTATGTGTAACAGAGGGAGATATAGCTAACGACGTAAAAAGGCGTGAAAAGATGTCGAGGAAGCAAGCCGTGCCACAGCGTAAGGTAAGAAGGGTTCTACTAAGACGATGCAAAACAAAAAGACCACTGGTTTGCAACTTCTTAGAAGCACTCTGCACAAAGTGAGGATCAGTGAGCAAAATATATAAAGGAATAGCGTTGCGGTACGTACTACGGTGAACGATGCCGGGACCGGACTCGTCGTACTCTTGCTTGGATACCCAGAGGTTCTGGAAAGTGGAGAGCGAAGCGAGAATGGAACCACCGATCCAGACAGAGTACTTTCGCTCGGGAGGTGCGACGATCTTGACCTGTAACAAATGACATAAGTGACACTTCAACTGAAAAAAAAAACAACCCATTGACAAACCTTCATGCTTGAGGGTGCAAGAGCGGTCAACTCCTTCTGCATACGGTCAGCAATACCGGGGAACATGGTGGTACCACCGGACAGAACGATGTTGCCGTAGAGATCGCGACGAATATCAAGATCGCACTTGTAGATGGAGTTGTAGCTGGCGGTGAACTATTAGTAATCATACCAGCAAAATTTCGGGGAAAGGGAACATACGTTGTCTCGTGAATACCGGCGGCTTCAAGGCCAAGGAAGGCGGGCTGGAAAAGAGCCTCAGGTGCACGGAATCGCTCGTTACCAATGGTGATGACCTGACCATCAGGCAATTCATAGCTCTTCTCGAGCGCAGATGAGTGCGCAGCAGTTTGGAGCTCCTGCTCAAAGTCGAGGGCGACGTAGCACAGCTTCTCCTTGATATCACGGACGATTTCACGCTCGGCGGTGGTGTGGAAGGGATAGCCACGCTCCATGAGGTTCTTGATCAGGAACTCTGTGAGATCACGACCAGCCAAATCGATACGGAGAATGGCGTGAGGGAGTGAGAAACCCTCATAGATGGGGACGGTGTGGGTGACACCATCACCGGAATCGAGTACGATACCGGTGGTACGACCGGAAGCATAGAGTGAAAGGACGGCTTGGATGGCAACGTAGAATGCTGGTGCGTTGAAAGTCTCGAACATGATCTGGGTCATCTTTTCCCTGTTGGCCTTGGGGTTGAGAGGCGCTTCAGTCAAGAGCACGGGGTGCTCCTCTGGCGCAACACGGAGTTCATTGTAGAAAGTGTGATGCCAAATCTTCTCCATATCGTCCCAGTTAGTAACGATACCGTGTTCGATGGGGTACTTGAGTGTCAAAACACCACGTTTTGACTGTGCCTCATCACTAAGCGGGAATTAGCAAAAGCAATTCGTGCGAGGACAGATATGCGTACCCAACGTAGGAGTCCTTCTGACCCATGCCCACCATGACACCTTGGTGACGTGGACGACCTACGATCGAACTGAGAAAAAATGTGTAAGCATGGAGGCGATGCGCAGCAGGAAGACGACATACGGAAAGACAGCACGGGGGGCATCATCACCTAGAGTATACGAGTTTAGGAAAGAGGTTTGTATGTGCGAAGAAGAGAGAGCATACCGGCAACTGTAAGATGAAATGCATTAGTAAGGCAAACCGAGCGTGAAAACACGAATGCACGTACAGCCAGCTTTGCACATGCCGGAACCATTGTCGATAACCTAATCGCGTGTAGCGAGAGATAAGTATGGCGACGGATAAGAGGGTGATTGAGTACGTACGAGCGCTGCGACCTCATCCTCCATTTTGGCAAGATATACGTAGACAGAAAGTAAAGAAGATGGGAAAAGATTAAGAACTAGAGGGCGGTATATAAGTCAGCAGGGAGAGGCGGTGAGGAGGAGGAGAGCAAGGGAGTACGCTGCGGAGAGCGATGAGCTGGCGGGAAGACTGACCTGGTGGACGACTTGAACGATGATGAGGGGCTTGGGCAAAGGGTAATCGCCGTAGCTGATGGCATTCTAAAACAACTCATCAATGCCTTATCCGATCTACACACTTCAGGGCAGGCCCCTGCCACGGCCCCCTCGGCCCTCGCCTACCCCCCGCCTCTGTCACAACCCGCAGCATCACACATCACGCCGTGACAGGTCGCGACGCGTCAGCGCGTCTGCGTACGTCAGCAGCATCTACCAGTCGTCGAACGCGTACCAGGACTCTAAGCTTGCTCTAACCACCGCCTGACTCTAACCACCCTCACCTGCCACCATGCCGCTCGAAGCTACCATGATCATCATCGACAACTCAGAGTTCATGCGCAATGGCGACTACCAGCCCTCGCGCTTCGACTCCCAGTCTGATGCTGTCAACACCATCTTCCAGACCAAGATCGACTCCAACCCAGAGAACTTTGCCGGCGTCATGACCATGGCAGGCAAAACGTACGCTTGGCATCTTCATCTTCTTTGTTATGCTTACTTACCGTGCATACGCCGCAGTCCAGAAGTGCTCGTAACATATACGAAGGATGTTGGTCAGATCCTCCAAGCAATCCACACAGCGTCTTCCAAGATTGGCGGAGCGGCCGATATCCCAACTGCTATTGCCGTCGCGCAGCTCGCACTCAAGCACAGGCAGAACAAGAATCTCCGACAACGGATCGTGGTCTTTGCTGCTTCGCCACTTGAAGGTCAAGGCGCCGATGAAAGGAATATGATCAAGCTTGCCAAGAAACTCAAGAAGAACAATGTCGCAGTAGATGTCATTGCATTTGGTGATGGTATTGAGGAGGGAGAGCACAGCATTCTCAAGTCGTTTGTCGAGAACGCCAATAGCAGTGACAATTCGTGCGTATTGTGTGCATTGCAAACTCCAGTTTCACTCTGCTTACGATAATTATACATTACCTAGACATTACCTCTCCATCCCACCAGGTCCTCATCTGCTTTCCGACATTGTCCTCACCTCACCTATCCTTGCCGGCGACCGAGGTATTCCGGAGGAAGCAATGGGTGAAGCAGGCGCGCCTGTAGCCGGCGGTACTGGCTTTGAGTTCGGCGTCGACCCAAGTCTGGACCCAGAACTTGCAATGGTACGTAAACATCCCCAGCATTTTCGCAGTTTCATATCTATCGCGGAACATGGAATGATTCATATCAATCTGCATTTTGCAATGCTGGGACATACACTAATGACAATTTGTATTTCTCTAGGCACTCCGCATGTCGATGGAAGAAGAGAACGCACGTCAGGCAGCACAGGCAGCAGCAGCCGCCTCCGCAGCTCAACCTCCTCCTCAACCTCCCCAACCAACTGAACCTGCTGCCGCTTCCACTTCTACAACATCAGCAGCCCCACCACCTGCTGTTGCTCCTGCGACGACTACGGAAGATGTGGAAATTGAGGATGACGAAGAAGCCATGTTGCAACAAGCCTTGGCATTGTCGCAGCAGCAAGCGGCTGCAGGTGAAGGCGAAGCTCCAGCGAGAGATGAAGATCATGAGATGAGTGAGGAGGAGGCTATTGCGAAGGCTATCCAGATGAGTATGAAGGAGAATCCACAAGAGGAGAAGAAATGAGATGTTCATGTATTGGGTAGAGACTTCGCACTTTCACGCTTTCCTTCCCTTTGCTCAATTTGAAGAGATGTCGCCCCGATTGGGTTCAGACGCTTGATCGATCGAGTGACAGCGGAAGTATTGAGTTATCGGAAATACTCAGCTTTGGGGCAATTGAATGACATTCACAACACGACAGCAATTACACCAGTGTCCTTAACGTTTAAATGAAGACTCGTCTAGAGCTACAGCCACTTAAGCCGATACGCTAAGTAATCCTCTATGATTGAGCAACGAACGCCTTGCCCTTTTCAATGTTCTTCTTGAGGTCCGGCAAGCAGGCGGCCAAGAGCTTCTCCTCAGAGGGAGACAAGGGGCCGAGAGGGTGGACCTTCTCAACACCGTTAGGCTATATACAGATGTCATGTCAATATCAAGACAAGCTAGTCAGAGAAGGGAAAACACGTACGCCAAGCTCAATGGGAGAAGAGAAGAAGTCAATGCCCTTGTCAGCAAAGAGCGGGCTCTTGACAAAGGTGGGGGTGACGATGCCCTTCTCGCCGGCCAAACCACGGAGGAGAGCGTTAGTGAATCTCGCACCGGCATATGCCATTGAGAGGGTAGCACTTCCAGCACCATCCTTAGCCTTCACGACCTCATCACCACCGAACTGGATCCTGTGAATGAGCTTCTCATAGGCCTCACCAGTCAAGCTCTTACCCTGCTCCGTCTGCGAGAGGAGAGGAACGATGGTAGCACCAGAGTGACCACCGACAACCGGGACGACGGTGTCTTGCGGGTTGCTGCCGGTGATTTGGGAGAGGAAACGAGCCGCACGGACGACGTCAAGGGTGGTGACACCGAAGACACGACGGGGGTCGTAGACACCGGCTTTTTCGAGGACAGCAGAGACGATGGGGACTGTGCTGTTGACGGGGTTTGAGATGACAAGGATGTGCGCCTCAGGAGAGACGCGGCCAATTGCCGCGGCGAGGTCCCGAACAATCGAGGCGTTGGTCTGAAGAGTGAATATTAGATGCGAGTGCGCGTGACAGGAGGCGTTGAACTCACGTTGAAGAGGTCATCACGCGTCATCTTAGGATAATACGCGGATTTAGTACGGATATCAAAGCGGATTATTACTGGTTACTTACGCCAGGCTGTCGAAAGGGTTGTCAGTAAATTGTTCAACATCGAGAGACGGTGGGACTGACCTTGCGAGGGACACCAGCAGGGATAACAACAACTTTGACACCCTCCAAAGCCTCATCCAGCTTGTCAGCGGGGTAACCGGTGACCTTTACATTTCCAAGTGCAGGCGCGCATGAGCTTTACACCGTTGAGATCACACAGTGCAAAGCATGCATACCTCACTGGCGGTATCGATGTGACTGACATCTGCAGCGACACCAGGAGCACCACGAATATCGTAAAGGCTCAAGGAAGTGACGTAAGGGTCCAGCTTAAGCAAGAGGGAGAGCGGTTGGCCAATACCTCCACCAGCACCGAGAACGGCGACCTTTTGCTGACGAGCAGCAGAGGTGGAGAAGAGGCGGGAGGAATGGGTGAGGCTACGGAGAACAGAGCGGGACAACATGGTGATGGACGGTGAACAAGAAACAGCCAGTGAGTGAGAAATATGCATCGAGGACTGGCGGGCGTGTCCGGAGCGGGGACCCGAGAGCCCGAGTCTGTCCGTTGAGGTCCCCAGGCCTTGGGCGGGTCCATTCATCTTGCCGATCGTGTCCACCGTCGCGTCCGTACCGTCCAAGGACTGCCAGGGACTGCCCATCCTCGGTCCCCTTGTAAGTCTCCTTCACTCCTCCATCTCCTTTGCTACATTGCAAGTTTGAACAATGAATATCCTTAGCTCGCATGAGGCGATATGGATCAACATGCTCGGCATTCAGCTTATGAGCTCTCACACGTCCCTGCGAGCCAACTTCAGTTTCCTATCCAGCATGCACACCCGACACAGTCCTCTAACCCCCAAATCCCTGTACAGGACCCTGCGGTGACGCAAAGCCGGATGGAGGAATCCCTGAAGCGTTCCGTCACGCTCGTGTTCTGGTACAAGGCACGTCATTGCTCTCGTGTCTCTTCGGAATCCACCCGTTTCAACTCGTGTAAATGACATAGGCTGGATGTGACCCTCTTCGTCTGCATCAAGAGATCGCCACTTTTCCTCTATTTCAGCTTTCGCAGCTCACTCAGCTTGTGAATGATCTCGGGCTCTCGGCTACCACCTATGTCGACGCATACAACCCACTTTCGTCTACTTGGGAACAGCAGACAATATCGGCCGTTCGCATGATCGAAAGTGAACAGCGGCTTTTGTTCAGAATGCGCAAAAGTTTGTTAGATGGTCTTGCTGATAATGACTGCCCTGGCGTTGATCATGAGATTGGTCTTCAATCCCGTACAACGAAATCTGCTTCTTCTATCATTGTTTCCCTCAATGCCTCTCTGAAACGACCGTCGTCGAATTCTGACTCATATACCCCTCCGAACAAGTATTACCGCTCTGACGATTATAATGGCACACAACGAGGATACGACAGTGCCCCAGCGAATGAAAGTTCAGTATACCCGCAGAGTCTCTCCATACCCAAACCATCGCCGAATGACACCATTCATTACATTCAGTCCCCGCCTTCGCAAATTGCACGCACTTCAAGCTTGACGCACGTTCCCCCTTCCTCGGCGTCTTCATCTCATCAATATTCGTCCTCCAGCCCAGGTCTATCCACGCCTTCAAGCTCCGCATCGTCACCTAGTGAACCTACCATACCCTATCACCCTCATCCTCCTCTCAAACGTTGGCCAAATGATTATACTGTCTCCGAGATCGCTGCAGGGTTCCGTAGGATGGATGGTATGATCGCTGCCCAACCAACCTTGACCCAAAAATCAACGTTCCAAACGGTCTTTGGGTGCCGATATATCAAGAGTACTGTTTGTCGGCATAGGGCTGTATGGAAACGTGCAGACCCGGCCTTGAAAGATGCATATGAAAGAATGGGGTCAGATGAGAGGGCTGTGTGGGGGGAGTTCGTAAAGAAAGCAGAGGGAAAGTTGAGCAATGTCCATGGAAACGGAAGCGGAAATGGACACGCTAATGGGAATATATCCCAGAGAAGTAGTCTAGATGCAACAACGCCTCAGATGCAACACCATTCACAACCTCAAGCGGCTGGGTTGGTTCCAGGAATGCATACTCAAGTTGGCCCGACGTCTGTAAATATGGGTATGTTGGCGCATGGGTTACCACATGTTGGTCTGGGTGCGGAGCCAGACAAGAGCGAGCCCGTGATGGCTTCGTTGATGCCTCCTTCGCATTCTGTTCCTAATGGCGGATTGCATTCTGGACGTGTATCCGCAAATAACCACGATCCTTCAGGGTATTTGCAACAGTCCGGTATGAACCGTTCTCGCTGCTGTTACGCCACTCTGCGTTCTAAATTGGCCTTTCCACAGCACCTCTGAATGCACAAAACACGTAATACAAGGCCCTCCTTCTCCATGCATGCCATGTCTTCTTGTTCCCATCTGCTTGTTTCTTTGTTGGGTTGTTGCATTTGCATCACGATTTGAAATGACAGCCTGGTTGTATGCGCGCCAAAATGTGAATGTAACTTTATGGGCGTCTATTTGACGCGTTTAGGACACGCTTGAAGGTCCTCTTTGACCGTTCTTTCATGCCAACCTTGTGCCTCCCACCTCTTATCTACTTCCTGAACTTGCTAGAACAACTTACGTATTCTGCTGCGCTTCCTGTTGTCTTATTAACAAAGCATTCTGTGTGAACCTGTCGTTTTGACCCCCCAAGCCTGTCACCGTTGCTTGCTGAGCCACCGATTGCGATTGAGGCTTCAAAGATTCGAAGTTAACACGGACTGGAGCTTGCCAATCAACTATGGCTAGCTCTGATGATGAATCCTTCTTCTCTAACGATGAAGAGCATGCAAACCAGATTTCTGAAATACGAAGATTCAGGGACCCGGTGCACGACTACAGTATGTTGCTCTTTGTCTCCGACGCTTTTGTGGACTGTTCAATGTTGTGTGTCGCAGTGCCTTTTAGTCCTTTAGTGTGTGCTATTATTGATACGTATGCTTCTTTCATGAAAGGAAGAATGGGCAACGTCTGATATTAATGAGTACTGCAGGAAACAATTCCAGCGTCTTCGACATATCAAACAACTCGGGACGTCATACTACGTCTGGCCTGGCGCGTCTCACAACAGATTTGAACACTGTCTAGGTAGAGCTTCTCAAATACCATTATCTCCTTATATGCGCTTTGAGCCCAAGTAATTGACATCGTCGCTAACGGGAATTGACAGGTGTCGCGTACTTAGCACAAACTATGGTCCGGCATTTGCAGCATTCTCAACGCGAACTGAATATCTCAGACAAAGAGGTTGAGCGTGTGACTATTGCGGGCCTCGTCCATGATTTGGGACATGGACCCTGGAGTCATGTCTGGGATTCGTTATTCATTCCCAAAGCTCTGTACGTACGCGCCTGGCTTCGGGATCGTATTGTAGGAAGAGATATTCAAACATCTTGGATTTTTTTAGGCCCGACTCGACGTGGAAGCATGAAGACGCGTCGGAAATGATGTTCGACGACCTTATTGCCACCAACAACCTTTCTCACTCGATTGATGACACGGCGAGAACATTAATCAAGGACCTCATACGTGGGAGGAGAGATGAAAACAAGTATGGCCTAATCTGCAGTTTTTTTTTTTGGCAATGACCTGAGACGTTCATGAAGAGCAGCGAAGCCTTTTTTGTTCGACATCGTCGCGAACAACCGAAATGGTTTGGATGTAGATAAGTCAGTTGTCTCTGCTAAAGATTACCTGCTATTTTGACGCGACTTATTGATTTGGGTAGGTTTGACTACATCGCAAGAGATACGAGAGCTGTGGATGACAGGACCTTCACATCCGTCTCTCGGTAAGGATCGCATACAGCCATATTTTCGGAGCTTGGCTTCTGACTCTCAACCATGCAGGCTGATTCATTCAGCAAGAGTCATCGACGACCAGATTTGTTATGATATCAAGGACGCCAATCAAGTCTACGAGCTTTGTTATACTCGATTCAGCTTACACAAGAGGATATACAATCACAAGACTGGTACGATTCTCCTAATCCATCACCTTTCGTTTTACTGAGTGTAATGCTACTTGACCGTAGCGAAGGCTATCGAGTATATGATCGTGGATACTTTACTGGCCGCAGAACAACACATGAAGATAGCAGAAAGGATACGTGACCCTAAGCGATATGTATACTTAACGGAGAGTATCTTGACCGAAATTCAAGCGAGCACGGCGCCGGTCAGTGCTTCTTTTCTTCTTTATAACATGTCCTATTAAAGAACCCTGTGGCTTCTCAGGAACTCGAGAAGGCCCGTAAGATCTGTGATCGCATTGCCAGTCGAGACTTGTACAAGTCTGTCGATTATAAGGTGTTCCCCTGGGCGCACATGAGCCAGTGTTCCGATTACTTCACACCGGAAAATATCGTACAGGCTGCCAAGAACCTTAAAGTCCCGGATGACGATCGTGTGGAGGACAAGATTGTTGCGGAACTTGGCCCGGAGCATGTCATTGTGGATCTCGCGCCCATGCACTATGGCATGGGTGATAAAAATCCGCTCGATTCTGTCAAGTTTTATTCCAAACGAAACCCCAAATGTGAGTGTCATTTGTTTGCCTGTCCCGGTTTTCCTAGTACTCAAATATTTTGCATAGCTTGTCGCGCGGCTGAACCTGGGGACATCTCCCTTTTGATGCCAGCCGTTTTTGGGGAAGTTATGTTGAGAGTATATACCAGAGAAAGCCGGTGAGTATGCAGGGTCCTATAACTCTGTATTCCTGCTAACTATCATACGCACCGTTAAGCTTTTTCGGACTTGTCCAAGCTGGATACAGAGAATGTCTGAAACAGTTTAATCCCGAAGGGATGTCTCAGTCTACCGATGGCACCAAGACACCCATCCTGGATTCTGGCACAGCAGCCTCGAGCAGCTCGTCTGTAGCCAGTCTTTCTACACGATGGCAGGATAACAAGTTCACTACTGTTGGCATAAACTTTCAGCCACCGTCGCCTGGTAAGGGCACCAAGAGGGGACTCGGAAGGGAGGGTAGTGGAGGATCAGCCAAGAAGAGAGCAGTCAGCCACGGGACTAGTACATTCAAGTTGTCGACGTTATAAGAGCACGAGTAAGAACTGTGTTCTCTCGATGCTGCGGGAGACTTCTATATACACATGGACAGTACCTACGTACTGCATACATACCTAGCTATCGATCCAGGACTATGCGGTTACAATGCACTATCGTATAACACGAAGAACAGTGAAATGAGGAGTAAAATAACGTTTAGTCATGTGGGGATCATCTCTGCTTTGGCTTCCCGGATAGCTAAAGATACCTCCTTCGCAGCGGGGCTGTATAAAGCCACATGATTCGCCAGCATAGCTCTTCTCAAGATTCGTTCCAGAGGTTTCGGCTTGACGTTGACTTGTAGAGCATCCTGAGCAGAGAGAACTTCAGCCGTAGAGGGAATGTCGGTATCCTTCACTGCATCTTCCTGGATGAAGTAGATTCTCTCAGAACCAACAACGCAGGATGATTGAGACAATACCATACCTGGCCAGTCAAGTTCAAATGAGCCGATTCCCCATATCTCATCACTCGTTTCAGCATCTCCGTGTCCACGTCCATCATCACTTCAGGGTAACCGAGGAAGCGATAAGACCAGTACTCCCATTTGACAGTACTTTCGCGGACCCGACCTAGCTCCCACTGAACTCGTTTCAATAAGCTGCTTAAGACGATGCGGTACAATTCAAGGGTAAGAGGCAGCCGCAAGATCGTGTATGCTCGTATGGTCACGAAGGCTGCAGCGTAGTCATGGGTATCCATGAAGACCTGCAAGGCCTGATCGAGTACGGCTCTTGAGCTTGTGATAGAGCGTGGAAGTTTGTGGTCTTTTTGCAAAGAATGGAAACGGAGCATGTCGCGGAAGAGTTCGCGTGGTGTAAATACATCTACGGGCGACTTGATGCGCCGTGAGCGGAAATTTCGTGGCTTTCGGACAGTACTGTAGCTTTGGAACAACATTTTGAAAGTCGTATCGTTGGGAATGAGTGAGGGTTCATTTGTTGAACGAATGATCTCGTAAATGCGAAAAGCCTTGTCATAATGAGAGCGCCTGATTTGGGTCGCGATGAGGGCGTTGCAACAACGCAAACCCGCGCCGGCATGGATCCAAGGTTTAAGCGCATCGTAGAAAAGCGCGTCATCACCGAAGTTCGCCGCTGAAAGGTAGTGCACAGTCTCGAGGCTTGGAGGCTCGGCCGGAAGAGTCAGGATACTAGCAGGCAAGCCGCCGATACTAGCTTCCTGAGAAATTACATCCAGGCGAATGCGAGCGATCAGGCTTTGTGTGGCCTCCGATAAAGGATAGTTAGGGTCATGGACGCGCACATAATTCGCCACGACTGAGTCGAGCACGTCATGGGAACACTTGAGAATAGTCCAAAGGAACCGGAGTAAGTCACGGAAGCATGCTTCGTCAAATTGAGGTAAACGGAATGCATCGTCGAGAGATTCGAGCAATGCCTCCTTGCTCGGCGATTGAGAAAGAACGTCGAGAACCATAATCCGGGTACGAAGTGAGAAGGACGGGATGTAGTTTTCCTGGACCATCTGGTTGTATATCTCTGCCACCTTTAAAAAATGCTGACCTTTGAGGAATGCAGCTGCGGCCATCTCGAGAATGCGGGGACGCAAAGTAGTGGGGAATGAAGAGGCGCTGAGAGCGCCACGAAGCCTCTTGAATGCTGGCTCAACGCGGCCCTCGGATAGGTCACTGCGAATCGTTCGTATGAACTTTACCGCCGCTTTCATACCTATCCGTGAAGGCTCCTTGCCCGTATGAGCGGAGCCATGGGCCCTGTTCGTAGAGAAACCTCGCCCATGGCTTGGAAGCAGTGGGAATGGCCTGTGCTTGGATGCAAGACTTGCCGGTCGTAGGGACAACCTCAAATTGAGCATATAATGTCGCCCATGTGAAATATGGACTATATGCCAAGGATTGTGCTTCAGAGCCTAGGAAAATGACTTGTGGATGAGTGAGGAGCCTCGTGCGAGAGATACAATACACACCGTGAAAGAGAAAGACTAGTAGCTAACTACCAGCTTTTGTTTGTTGCACGATCGTTCGACGTCCGGAAGCAAGCGTGCGGGCGTCTATTCTATAAGTGCAAGACTGTAAGTGGCGGCGGTATGCTTGCTTGGACCACAACACCCATCTCAAACTCAACCTTCCCTGCCCGCCCGCCATCCTCGTATTCTCGTGTTCTCAATTCCTACTCTATTGGTGCATCTGGTCATTCATTTAATATTCTTTCTAGTTGACCCTGGTTGCTTCCGCGATGTCTGGCCCGCACCCTCCAGACGTCGAAACAACGCCCTCTCCAGCGGTGAGCAGCCTCCGCTCTCGCTTCGAGAAGTTGGCAACAGAGGCCGCCGTGGAAGCACCTTTCAAACGTCCCCCGAGCAGTTTGTCCGTTCATGACTCTTCCGATTCCTCAATTCATCACGCCAGGACCGCATCCAACGCTAGCGATCACCCACCTCCTTCTCAGTACCTTCGCCCCGTTTCTTCTTCATCGGACATGAAGGCTGGCATTAGGAGGCCTGCCCCTCCGCCCCCGTCCCATCGAGCTGCCTCTCCCTCTCCTCACCCCTCTAGCAGTCCTTTGATTCGTCCAGTCCCCGATTCTATACAACCAGCTCTCCTTCCTGAGGTTAATGTGGTCGACGAACGTTCTCTATCAAAGCCAGCTCTCCAAAGAAAACCGCCTCCGCCACCACCACCATTGCAGCGTCGGAGTGCAGAAGGTTTGAGCAACAAATTTCAGTGAGTTTGTATCCTCAACTCTGTACGCCTACGCAGTATTTGCATTGAATTGCATGTATGTGCGCTCTTGATATGATGTAAAGCGGGCATCTTTTGCAAATATGATCGACGTAGCTGCGTTTCTAGGCATTTCCGAGATCGGTAACTAACTGAAACTGTAGAACTTCTGTTGCCAGTCCTGTCGTTCCTTCTGCGATGCCCGTAGTTGATGAACCGAACACTGGGAGACTGAGCTTGAACTCCTTGTCTCCATTTGAACCTTCGCGGGGCCCCGTAACACATGCGACTCGCAGCTCATTCCTTTCCCCTGAAGCCATTCACGATACCGCGACACACCCTGCCATCAACGGGCAGTTGATAAACCAGACCCTTCCTATCATTCGACCACCTGCTCTTCCGACTAGGAGGAATGTTTCGCCATTCGATGACGCTCATCTAGCTCCTCACGAGAAACAGTCATCGTCCACGGAAAGCTACTCGTCGAGCCAATCTACTAGTGATAATGAGAGTAACTCCACGGACCCTTCACCTGTAGCTTCATCTTCATCTCTTTCCGTTAATTCCCGTTTACCTCCCAAACCACCCCCTCGACACCATGCATCTCTCCCTCAACACCAGCCATCACCACAGTCATCCGTCAGCCCTCCTCCGCTTCCTGCCCGGAAAGCTACCGCAGAACAGACACCGTCTCGGCGCCCGAACCCTTCTCCCGATGCTGTTTCTACCGCCTCAGGGTTAACTGCCAGTCTTGTTTCGCCTCCAGAGCGAAAGACATTCGGTTCCTTACCTCCTCCGCCTACTCGGACAATTGCTCTAGGTGACAAGCTACCACCACCTCGCCGACCTGTGGCGTCCGGTTCAGGATCATCCAGTGAATCAGAAGACGAAGAACTCAAGCTAAAACAAGATCTACTTCCTGATTCTAGCCGTTCTTCACGGCGACCGCCGGTTTTCCAGGGCCACTTCAGCACGGAGTTGAACATACATATCCCAACTTATGCCGCCATCGTTGCTGTTTCTGGAAACATTGTCGCCGTCGCTGCGCATCATCGTCTTAAGATCTATGATCTGACCGAATCCGATATTCCAGTGCATGATCTGGATGCGCGAGACATTGGATTAGAGATGAAGTCAAAGGAACTGAGGATTACCGCCATGGAATTCAGGCCACCAGAGAAGGACTTCCACAGTGCTCGCTATCTGTGGGCGGGAACAAAAGAGGGGCATCTTCTCGAGATTGACGTTCAATCAGGTAGCCTAGCAGGCATGAAGCTCGTGGCGCATGCCCATCAAATTACGCATATGTTCCGCTACAAGAGGTCTATGGCCTCGATGGACAATGCTGGCAAGGTGCTGGTGTTCACCGCAGACAGTGGTGGCAGTGTATCTTTGGCATACACCCAATCACGAGTTGTGCGTATCGCAGACAAACAAGAATTCGTGAAAGTCCTCGCAGGTCAACTCTGGACGTCTGCTCGCGAATCCAATAATGGGCCTGTTGGTGCGGCATCCCGAGGGCCTGTGGTTAGGATCTACGACATCTTCTCTCCAGCAGGAATCGGCAAGTCGGTATTGCCTACTGAACACCTTGGCACTGTTACTTCTGGGACGATGCTGGCATCTCAACCCGGAGTAGTCTTCCTGGGTCATGAAGGCGGCCATGTTAGTATCTGGTCAGTACCGGCCGGTGACGCGCTTCCACAATGCGAAGAGATCATCAAGGTCTCTACCTCGGACATTCTCTGCTTGGAAGGTGTCAACGATCGTCTTTGGGCTGGCGGTCGCCAGGGTATGATTGCTGCATATGATATTGTTCCCAGACCTTGGATCATGACCAACTCTTGGAGAGCTCATGAAAAGTTGCCCGTTCTGAGTCTCGTCGTGGATACATATGGTATCGAGCGAATGGATCGACTGTGTGTTTACAGCATCGGGCGTGATGAACGTCTTCGTTTCTGGGATGGCTTCTTAGCCCTTGACTGGATTGGTAGGTAAAATTTTCTGACTTTCAGTCAAAATTACTCAATTATGCACTCAGATCAAGAGCTTTTGAGGCGCGACAAGGAGTTCAGCTCATTCAGAGACATGAATGTTCTCATTGTCTCTTGGAACCTTGACTCTTCTAAGCCGGAAGCTCTGTCCGGTACTCCAGAGAACGTGAACTTCCTCTCGGATGCATTGCATAGCGTCGACAGTCCGGACATGATCGTATTTGGTCTACAAGAACTCATTGATCTCGAAAGCAGGAAGATGGCAGCAAAAACAGTTCTCCTGGGAGCAAAAAATAAGAATGCGGACGGATCCATCTCGCAGCGTGTTTCGACTGCATACAAAAAGTGGTTCGATCGTCTGGTGCAGGCCGTTAGACTCGCGATGCCCGCTGATACCCCATATACTGTGATACACACCGAAAGTTTGGTGGGACTATTCAGTTGTATTTTTGTGAAGAACACAGAGAAGATATCCTTGAAACAAACTGCTATTACGACAATCAAACGTGGCATGGGTGGAAGATATGGTAACAAGGTATGGTTCTGAGCTCGATAAGGAAACGGTTATTGAATACTCCTTGTATAGGGTGGCATTGTCTGCCGGTTTATCGTGGATGATTCCTCCATATGCCTCATCAACTGCCATCTTGCCGCTGGCCAAAACCATGCTCGCCAGCGAAACGCCGACATTGCTGCTATCCTAGAGGACAAGTCGGTCTTCCCGGAAACCATCATGGACCACGATATGGTTGCCTACGTTAATGGAGGCGATGGATCTATGGTTCTTGATCACGAGCTAGTATTTGTATGTATCGACGTTCATTTATTGCCGGCTTCATTCGTTGACTGAGGTGATGGGTTTAGATTAATGGCGATATGAATTATCGTATCGACCTAAGGCGCGACGCCATCATAGCAGACATCAAGACCGGCAACGTTTCCCACCTTCTCTCACAGGATCAACTCTTGAAAGAAATGGCAAATAATCGTGGCTTCCGACTGCGTTCCTTCACTGAGGGGAAGATTACCTTCTCACCGACGTACAAGTACGATCGGTTCTCCAACGAATACGACACATCCGAGAAACGCCGTGCACCTGCTTGGTGTGATCGTATACTTTGGCGTTGTAATGATAAGGATCGTGTCGAACAGCTTCATTATCGACGATACGAGGTCAACGTCTCTGACCATCGACCGATATCCGGTGGATTCCGGATTAGAGTCAAGTCGGTTCGACACGACGCGAGAGAAAGAATTAAAGCTGAAGTGCAAGGCCTCTGGATGGGCCGAGAAAAGGAGCTTCTCGCGACTGCACGCAGATTCTACATTGAACATATACTATAGTACAGCCCGCAATGGTTTTAGTCGATTTGTATCCATGGACAAACACACACAGCCCGGATGGACATGATTCTTTTTCTCGCACTGTAGACTCTCAGTCATGATTCTGTGTAGCGTCAGTAATAATCGTAATTGTAATTTACATCAATAGACTTCTGTCGAAGGGTTCAGACACACACCCCAGTTGGTAGTCTTCTATTGTCTAGATCTTCACTCAGAGGGCGCCTATCATTCCTACTTAGTCCATTTACGTTTTGGCAACAAGCATTGTGACGGTTTCCTACTGCGTGTAGTGAAGCTCTTCAATGTGCTTCTGACCAGCCTGTCAAAGTGCAAACTGAGCGTAGCTGTTGAGAAATAGGGCTGGGTGTCTCACGAACAAGCCGAAATGTGAGCTTTTGTTGGAACTATTGGCAGGTTATGCTAAGCTCAATTCAATCGTTGGTCACCGGATTCAGGATCCCCACGTCACAGGGCTTTCTTCATGTCTCTGGTCCTTTGTATGTTGCAGGCTTTGTTATGAAGTTTCCGTCATGCTGTGTATGTTCCCTTCATGCTCCGTCTGCGCAACCTCTTGAAATCACAAACTTGGTCCGATACAGCGTCCTATTATTGTCATGTGCATTATTCCCTTGGGTAATGACAGGTGCTAAGAATCAGACTCCATGAATTGAAATCAGTACGATGGTATTCTTACTACCGGACGTCCGCTTCTTTGACGGTTTCCCCCCCTGTGACCTTTCATTGGCCGGGCGGCTTCTGTGCCATGGGAGTCGCCTTCAGAAGCAGGCAGACCCGGGTTCAAGGTATAGAAAGAAGTCCTTGGTGAGAGATCTTTTTCCAGTGGCACATCCAAACTTTGATAACGTCGTCCATATGATCATGAAGGTCGACTCATGCCGAGAAACATTCGGTTCATCCCATGTTTATGAGTTTTTTTCTGCTGGTCACAGAGCCACTGCCACTTGCATTTGCTCTGAAGAACAGCCAAGAGTTAGGGGCTCATGAACGGTAGCTTTAGAGGTGATATCAACCAGGTGCACCTTGCAAGGCCAGCCTATCCCAGGCTAGGGAAGACGCAACCATTCTGAACATGTCCATTCTCATGATACCCCCTTGTAGCTCCCCTCTATCATCCACATCATATCGCGTCCAGTCACGAAGACACGCTTAAACAGTACACGCCCCTTTTTCTGTTCAGCTGGCATCCAGCTGACTGCGCGTTTTGAGGACCATTCCCATCTTGTCAGAATGCGGTGTTTCGAGAACGGCTCCAGTGGATACGCGGTTCTCACTACGCGACATCCTCGGACCCCGTACAAGGATATAAAACCCCTCTCTTTTGTGGAGCAGGTTGTCCAAGGGATTCATCTCTAAGAGGCCTTGCACTACCTAAATCTTACCGCTTCATCAGTCAATCATCTAACTCATTTCCTCATGGTTCATCCTCAGGAAGTCGACGTTATTGTCGTTGGGTAGGTTGTCATGCCCTTGGTATCATACATGCCTCTGAATCAGGACATAGAGGAGGCCCTGCAGGATGTGTCGTGGCGGGCAGATTGGCCTATGCCGACCCTAATCTTCAGGTGATGCTTATCGAAGGTCAGGACAATGCTTCCATTTCATCAGACACCACGTTCAGACCTTGACATAGGTGGTGCGAATAATCGTGACGACCCGTGGGTCTATCGGTGAGGACTGATGCGCCGTGGTATAGCCTGGCATATCTGAAAACGAACACCTTTAGTCCCGGCATATTTGTCCGTAATATGCAGAAAGATGGGGTGTAGGTAACGCTTCACTATGACGTAGACTCTGAGCTAAAAAAGTATTATGTATAGCAACGACAAAGCGACTTTCTACACAGATAGCATGGAATCGTCTTATCTTCGCGGAAGGCGAAGCATTGTTCCGTAGGTTACCTAACCTCTGGATGTGGGCACATTGCTCACCGAATGAATAACATAGTTGTGCAAATATCCTAGGTGTGCTAGTAGTTTTTCAACGACCTCGATTGTATGAAGCTCATTCTGAACAGGTGGTGGAAGCAGCATAAACTTCCAGGTGTGTCACTTAATCCTTGTGTTGGCAGCATTCATCAACGGACAATGTTTTAGATGTATACCCGTGCTTCGGCTTCTGACTGGGGTAAGCTGGACTATATCATGTAACATCAAATTCTTATTTCGACGTATGGCACAGATGACTTCAAGACTGAAGGCTGGACTTGCAAAGGTACTGCCTCAACTCAACTCCCATCTTGCCTTTACTGAGGTCGAGCCAGACTTGCTGCCACTCATGAAGCGACTAGAGAACTACCAGAAACCCTGTAATAACGATTCTCATGGATACGACGGTCCTATTGCCATCAGTAATGGTGGACAGATCACCCCCGTTGCCCAAGATTTCCTGAGAGCTGCCCACGCCATCGGTATCCCATATAGCGGTACGTCCTGCTTACCCTCTGTGGAAAGCGCGATCTCATTGTTACTTTGCACAGATGATATCCAAGGTACAACATTGAATCCTAGAAGTCATGCTTCGTACTGATAGTGTTGTCGTAGACCTTACCACGAGTCACGGTGCTGAAATTTGGGCTAAGTACATTAACCGTGAGACAGGCAGACGTAGTGATGCAGCGACTGGTATGTCATAGCCATTTATTTTGAATTATAATTAATGAGCGTGCATATGAACAGCATACGTCCACAGTGTTATGGATGTCCAGAACAACCTTTTCTTGCGCTGTAATGCGCGAGGATCCCGTGTTCTCTTTGACGCAAACAACAAGGCAATAGGTGTTGCATATGTTCCCTCGCGTAATCGCGCCAATGGCGGGCAAGTCCAGGAGACTATTGTCATGGCTCGAAAAATGGTTGTACTGAGCTCGGGTACTTTGGGGACACCTCAGATTCTCGAACGATCAGGTGTCGGTAACGCTGAGCTGCTCAATCAACTCGGTATCAAGGTTGTCAGCGAGCTTCCGGGTGTTGGGTATGTGTATTCGGCTTTCGACTCTATTGTTCAGAGCTCACCCGCCATATGACGTATAGTGAACAATATCAAGACCACTATACTACTCTTACGCGTGCGTCTACCAAGTTTACCACCTTTCCATAGCAGTGGATCTGATGAGGTGCTGCCACAGTCTTCCGCGTCTCGAACGAGACCAGTACTACCGATGAGTTCCTCCGGGGAGTCAAGGAAGTTCAGGATGAGGTTCATACTTATTTACTTGATATGTGTGTGTGCATGTGTCTCATCCCCTGCCGCGCAGCTCTTCCGCGAATGGGAAGCTACTCCCGAGAAAGCTCGTCTCTCATCCAATTTCATCGATGCCGGCTTTAAGGTGTGTATCGACGATTACTTGCTTTTCGACAAAAGCTGATTGCAAGTCGGGCAGATTCGACCTACCGAAGCTGAGTTGAAGGAGATGGGCCCCGAGTTCAACGAGTTATGGGACAGGTATTTCAAGGATAAACCCGATAAACCCGTCATGTTCAACTCGATCGTGGCTGGTGCCTACGCAGACCACACCTTGCTGCCTCCCGGCAAGTATATCACAATGTATGTGCTTTTGACACTTGATACGGTACTGCGCTGACAGTATTCAGGTTCCAATACCTCGAGTACCCAGCTTCTCGTGGCAAGGTATGATGTTGAGTCTTTGGTGCTTGAAGTAAAGCTAACGGGGATTGCTTTTAGATTCATATCAAGTCTACCAACCCTTACGTCGAGCCCTTCTTCGACAGCGGTTTCATGAACAACAAGGCTGACTTCGCGCCTATCCGTTGGAGTTACAAGAAGACCCGTGAGGTCGCTCGTCGTATGGATGGTACGTTTATATTGTCCAGTCATCGTGTGAGATACCAAAATCAGAAAATTGTCGATTAGCGTTCCGTGGCGAGCTTACTTCTCATCACCCTCACTTCCACCCGGCTTCTCCTGCTGCTGTGAGAGATATCGATATCAGGACGGCGAAGGAGATCTACCCCAACGGCCTTACTGTGGGCATTCACATGGGTCAGTATGGTGTCTTCTCCATGGACGCCTTTCACTAATCGTCGAGTCTCTTCAGGTACCTGGCACAGGCCAGGCGAACCATACGATGCTGCCAAGGTACACGAAGATATCAAGTACACCGAGGAAGATGACAAGGCTATCGATGATTGGGTCGCTGACCACGTCGAGACGACCTGGCATTCACTCGGTATGTGTCCCCTGTTTACTTTGATGTCCATGCACTGATTGATTGGGATAGGAACCTGTGCCATGAAACCAAGAGAACAGGGTGGCGTTCTCGACGAGCGTCTCAATGTTTATGGTACCCAGAACCTCAAGGTTGTGGACTTAAGTATCTGCCCAGTACGACTTACTCTTTCTTTACTCTTACTGCATAAATTGACAAGCTTGAAAGGATAACCTCGGAACGAACACCTACTCCTCCGCACTATTAGTCGGCGAGAAGGGTGCCGACTTGATCGCAGAGGACCTTGGTATGCCTCCCATTAGTCTGGCCGAATAATTTTCCTCATGCTTGCTTCAGGCCTCAAAATCAAGACTCCCCATGCACCCGTCCCTCATGCACCCGTTCCCACAGGCATGCCTTCCACTCAGAGCTTCCATCGTCATTAAGCTATCTTCATTTTCTCGATGTTGAAGGCGTTCTTGGCGCGATTTGTCTCGTCGAGCGCGCATTGTTTTGTTGTATCATATTCCCCTGTCCTGTTGTACGAATACTTCCCGAGGTGTAGCATCAGTGTACTTTTATTTGTACTTTAGCTCGATTTGAACATCGAAATCCCGAATCGTCTGGATGATTTTCTAGTCGCTGCATAAGTTATTGGTATACAACCCTTGTTGAAGCCTTTGTGAAACAGATCTGAAAACAGTATGGTTACAGTCCGTGATCGTTATCAATGATGAGGTATGGAATGTGGTCCAAAAGTTGAATGGGTCGTGAAGTGAGTCGTCAAGAAATAACGTGAAATCGTTGCAAGTCGTGCTGCATTCGTAGTAGGTCGATATTAGCATTACACTCATCGATCAGCGCATAGGCTCGCTAACCTGTAGTCATGTTCAGAGCTTTGGCGATATCTTCTGATTATCTTTTTCGAACGAGTTAGTATCACTACCAACTTCCTTGAGCGGCCCCAATCTAGTGGCTGACACGTCGAAACTGAGTCCTAGCCCCAGGGCAGTTGAAGGGTTGTCCTTGAAATCCGGTGATCTTCCCCGGTCGTCAGTTCTGCTTCTTCCTCTGAAGGCTGGATCCCTTTCCTGATCCATTCCCGTTCTAGCCTCCCTATCCCCCAGCCCAGAGAATGCCGGTGACTTGAACGCCATGCCTCCCAGTCGACCTCTCCTTCCCGCTTCTCGTTCTCCGTAGGTACTGAATGTCCTCATGATGAGGGCGAAATATAACAAGCCTAATCCGAATATGACCGTCACCACCACCCGAATGGCTAACGCAACGGTAGGATTAAGGGGTGGACGTATTCCGTCTTCAGGGTCGTCCTCTGCACCAGTGCGCCAGACATAGGACAAAATTGAAACACAGAACGAGATCATCGACCACGCGAGCCATATGGCTGGTGTGGCTAGCAGAACCCATATGTTCCACCATATGACCGTTTTGGTCCTTTGCGCTTCCTGGAGTAACGAAGGAATGAGAATTGTATGGGGAATCAGTACATGGGTAGAAACGGTTTACCTCTGCCCATCGCGAAGCTTTGTACATACTGCGCATCGTGCCGAATTGCACAATGTATACACATCCATATGTCAAACTCATGAGTGCACAAATCAACGAGAGAATGGCGGCCCATCGTGTAAGAGGATCCCCTGCTGCGTCGGGGACTTGGAACATGGTCAAGATGGCCCTGCACCAGAAGATCACTTAATAGAAAAGTCATCTGAATAACATAACTTGACATACGTGCAAAGCAAAGCGGAAACAAGGTTCAACGTTTTCCATTCTTTCAACAGTGAATCTACGAACTGTTCCCAAGAATGTTTGAAGCGATATAGTGCGGGCGATACAGCCGGAGGAATCCACTCTTCAGGATACGGCGGCAGAGTGTCCGTACGTCTAGGAGCGGGATTACTTCCCCCGACGCTTATCGGAGGCGTAGCGTACCCTGCGCCTCTACCAAACCTACCATTGGACTGTTGTGTGTCATCAACAGGAGCACACATTTGAATCATCCGCCCGATTTCGTGTTTGCTGACTTCGGCATCCTCGAAGATCCTAGCAACGCGGGAGAAGTAGAGCGAAGGGAGACGGAGGAGTATATGCAGGTATAGCTGTCGTGGCAAGGTGTCCGTGAAGAAAATACCGATATTGGCGGTCCATACGTTCAACCTTGAATTGGTATTGGTACACTGAATGGGTAAGGGTAAACATGTAGCAAAAGTGTCGCGGCATTCTACATCCAATTCTAGTGGACGACGTTGTGGGGTGGAAGAAGGAGAGGAGAACCATCGCAAGCGAGATTGAAAGGGATCGACTGGGATGAAAGGTTCATCTCTAGAGTGCGTCCGATGCAGGTTGAACCCAAATAGTCGTAGTGGAGAGGCTGCACGAGACGGCGTTGGAGACCGTGACAGCGGGGTATGCTGTTCGTCTTTGCGAGGAGAGGCATTGGGTCGTTGGGCATGTGCCCCGAGTGCTGGACTATCAGTATGGACGGATGCCACAGCGGAGTCACTCCTGGTACCATGCCGACCTACAATGGCTAAAATGTGGTTACGGTCAACAAGGCGTCATTGAAATTGTTTAGAATACGCACCTTGTCTAATACCCTGCAGAGTAGCTGGTAGAGACCCTCGATCACTATCAAAGGATACCCTTTGTTGAGGAGTGTCGTGTCCCACAGATGAGTCAGATTCGGCACCTCGAGACACTGAAGGTTGCAGCTGTTGTGATGCAATACCTGGAGATGAATGTATGCTAGGCAGTGAAGAAGACGAAGGGTCGAGACTACGACGAAACGCGCGGACTGGACCACGGACACGAGTCAGACTTGACGAGGAAGGGAGAGGTAGAGCAGAAAGTTTGTCAGAGCTTGTCAACCTCGAGCTCGCTGATTCTGAATCTAAGTTATACCGCATACAGGGCGTCAGTCCAGGCTAACGAGGGGGACAAGGTTGATCATTCACCTGGTATGGACTTCATTGCTTGCTCGCTTTGAGCCGGGAATGGCACGGAGTTCGAGGTAGAGCTGGAAGCAGCATGGGAAACCGGCTCTAAGGGAATGTTGCTGATGCTATTTGAGGCAGATGGCATCTTCGAACGCCTGGCAGGAATGCTCTATCTACTGACGGTCAACAGTTTTGAACAGATTATCACGCATTGAACGAAAGGTGGGTTCGTACCTTGGCAATGTGGGTCGGTGATTGTCGGGCTCACAAAGGCGGGAAGAGAGCAGTACTTAGCTTGCCAGAGAGTCTCATGAAATCAACATTCCCCATGCGTGAACAACCTTCTTACCTAAATCGGGCTCTCACACGATTCGTGCCACACACCCAGACAAGCGCCAGAAGGAATTGAAATCCATGAGCAGGTATGCAACAGTCAGGTATACAAACACAACCCGATAGAGTAGAGCACATACAATATTACAGTAAGAGTGACTACACGAAATAAAAATTAGAAACGCGGCGATTTATTAGGGATATGCGACAGCCAGCACGCTTCCTGATGAAAGCAACGTGCCATGATCATTGTGGCCATTGGAATATGTCAAAGTCATTCATCCCATGTGGAAGGGAAGGGCTACTGGCGGTCATCTGCGGAGGATTCGGCGTACCAGAGGCCTGTCGACTCGCGGGAGAGCCCACGCGTCCACCGAACTGACCACCTCCATTCATCTGGTTCCAACTCTGATTCATCAGAGCAGGATTCATCCCTCCACCGAACGCACCCTGACCGACGCTACCAGGCGGCGACATGCCATATGTGTCTTGACTAGAAGATATCTGTGGATTTAACTGTGAACCCATTTGCTGCCAAGGAGCATTTGACATTCCGCCGAGCTGCGAAACGCCAGTGTTTGCCATCGAATTGGACATACCACGTTGGGCCTGCTGCTGCTGCTGTTGTGCCAGCATTGCACGCTGATAATCCTCTGCTCTTTGTCCAGGTGTCAGTGGAGACGGTGCATGATCCGAGGGTGTTCGAGTACTCCGCGCAATCCCCGGCATCGCCGGATTCGAGCGAAGGGCTGGAATGGCATTTGTATCCATTGGATTAATTCCCATGGACAACCCACCCTGTCCCGATGGACCTGCTTGCCCCATACGCGACTGACCAGACATCATCGGGTTATTCGCTTGGGAGGGGTTCGCTCCTCGCATCAGCTGCTGCTGCTGCTGTTGCATGAGATACATTTGCCGTTGGGGCGGAGGCATGTTTTGCAACTGGGCCTGCTGTTGCGGTGTAAGTGCGGCGTACACGGCACGAGGGTCGAAGCTTGTCCCCATCCCTTGGTTCGGATGAGAGTAAAGGCCCGCCCCCGACTGTGAACCCATGGGCGACTGTTGTGACACAGGCGAAGCTCGAGCAGGACTGCCCGAGGATACCCCAGCACCAGGGTTTCCACCGAAGCCTGCCATCCCACTACCGGCCGGCGAATGCATGCCAGCCATCCTTTGCTGTTGCATCTGTTGTTGCATCTGTTGATTCCGCAACGCGGACTACAGAATTTGATATACCGGTCAGCAAGTGAGCCAACTCGATCAAGTTTCACTTACATAAGTCACCTGAACTCTCTGCAGCTGCTGCTGTAGTGGAAACGAACTGAAATTGGGTATGTTCTGATTGATATACTGCATAACAGGATGGCCGGGATTCTGCATAATCTGGAAACTCTGCATAGCAGCAGCACCCATTTGCTGAACAGCGGCTATGGTGGCTTGCGATGGCCCAGAAGATGGTCCTGCGGTTGGCATAACAGGGGTGTGTGGAACAGCAGGAGACATGTGTCGCACACCATCCCCAGGTGGCGACATATGGGACATCCCAGTTGGACCCGAAAGATTTTGACTACGGGAACGTGGATCAGTAAGAGTCGCCATGGCTCCTGGGGGTACCGGAGGTGGGGGCATCGAAGGACTACTAGAACCATGCATGGGACGAGGTGGAGTACCTCGACCTGGATGGGGTGACTGAGGAGGTTGACTTGCACTTCGATGCCCAATCATTGAACCACCTGGTGACATGGACGGTGTGGGCGTGGGCGTTGAGATTTTTGCGTCGCCAGTGTTTTGTCGTTTTGGCGCATGGTCTTGAGAAGCGTCGTCCGGGCGGTCTCGCTTGACACTTCCGTTCGCGTGCATGCCTTGACCTTCTCGCCGTCGCGCAACGTCTTTGTGGAATATCTTCGGAAGTTCAGCATACAGTTGTAGAAGCCTCTCCATGGGAATGAACTCCACAGGTGGGGGTGGATGCATGATTGGAAGCGGAATCATACCAAGCGCCTGCAAAAAGAAAGGATGAAAATGACAATTTGTGCGCTGAGTGCGGTATACATACAGTTTTCCGGTTCTCGTCAGCAGCAGACGCAAGCCAGTGAAGGTTTGACTGAAGCCGGGTGGTATATCTACAAAAATAATGAGAAATGGAAGGTGAAACTAGAGATAAAAACCCACTGTTGAACCCGGGGGTCTGTTAATGGAATATTCCGAGCCTGGTAGGCCAGGAATACCCTGTACGCTGTCAATGGATATTGATGGAAAGTTGGAATGATGGGCTCACTTGAGTAGATACGAATTCATTTCAAGGATGACAAGAACCTTGGGGTCTGATGAAGAGTCATTCGACGGATTGTTCACCTCAGGAATAGATCCATTCGAAACTATTACTTGTTAATCAGGCTATTCACCTATCTGTGATACATCAAATGCTGACCTTCAGATTTGAGCTTGGGAGGGTCCGGCTGCGTCGCTGGGTTGCTTCCAGAGGCCGTAATTGGCTGATTGTTCGTAGACTGCGCGGGACCTGGATTTGTTCTATCAGGCTGGCCCGTTGGGTCAGAGGAGCTAGACGCCTGGGAAGGGGCGAGGTAACTTTCAGAATTCTTATCGGGCTCTTCTTTCGCCAATGCGGTTTGCGTGCCTTCAGCGGATGAGCGTCCAGTATTGGGATCATGGGCTGCTACAGAATCAGAATCGCTCTTTCCTCCGTTCACACTCCCATGGGTTTCGCTTTTGTCGTGCCGTGCAGGTGAAGTCTCGACGTCAGGTGCTGACGAGAGCTCACTAAGCGGTGTGGAAGCACGAGATGCGCGGTCTAACCCATCTGCTGCGCTCCCGGGAGTGCTTTCTGGCGGCAGGTCACCGCCAGCTTTGGCAGGTGAGGCCTCAAAAGGGTGCAAAGGTCTTGTCGGTGATGTTGGGGAGATTGTGTCTGGGGGAGGGGTTAGTGATGAGTTGCTGTCAAGGGCAGGGGACCTGGGTTCTGTAGGACTATTCTGCGAGATCCCAGCCACAGCGCCGTTCAGTTTTTCTTCCGAAGAAACGGGCGGCAACGAGGGAGGGTGGGGTGACGAGGAAAGCTCGGCGTGGTTGGAAAGGGAGACTTCGGGATATATGGTAATGTCATTGCGGCCGGGAGAAGACCGAAATAGGGCGTTGTGCTGATCAGGACGAGAGGATGTGTCGTGAATCAGATTGGGTTTCGAATGAGGGGCGATAGCAGTCGAATGATTCCGATCGAGATGAATCATAGTGCTTCCGCACTGCCGGAAATAGAGGCGGAGACCAGAACGTACGCCTTTACGCACTCCTTACACTTGGGTAACACGCGCAGACTTGAGAAACACTCAATGCTAGGCAACGCCCCCACGTTCTGTGCAGCCGAAGCGACCCGAGGACTCAGATCAACCAGGTATGTCGTTTGCTAGGAGATTTCTGTCGCGGAAGACAGGAAGGGACGCCGGAATTGAAGAGTGGTACAGAGTTGGAGGTCGTATAAGACGTTGGGCAGCAGCACGGCGAGGATGAAGGCCACAGCGAGGACGGCTGCATAACCACCACCGCACGAAGCGCATACCGTGGGACCTGACTGCCTCAACCGGCATCGCGGCGCCTCGCATGCAGAAGATATACAAACACAACGTTGGTGACCAGAGCATTTTTCAAGTTGTACACTCGCTTGCAGAGCGAACAAACAACGCCGCCCTGACTGCTGTATTGGTGCTCAGCATCTCTCACTATATCGAACACTTCACACTGACAACCATTGGCAATCAACTGATGCAAAGGTCCCCGGTCCGGGCAAACATTTTCCATATAACTTACAACCCCAGCGACATCCCTTGGCAGAAAATCTCTTAGTCGCTGTCGCTACTACTGCTCTCCCCGCTGCTCTGCTCGTCATCATCTGTAGAACTTTCCTCGTCGCTGTCATCCCCTTCCATCCGTTTCTTTACTGACCCTCCACGCATCATCGCCATTTGACCTGCCAGTGAGTCTTCCTCGGGATCAGAGATCTCATCTTCCTCCTCCTCTTCCACCTGGAGAAGAACGGGGTCGTCGATCTTGAGCTACGACACAAGATCAGACGTCTCTTCTTTGCACTGCTATAGGTCACTCACTGTAATATCCTGTGACACTTCTTCTCCGACGAATGTATCACTGATTAAGTACAGCTTCCATGTGAACGTAGACACTTGTGGAGGTGCTTGGAATTGCAACTTGTACGAGCGGTAGACGTCGGGGTGCTTGGCATCAGCATGCGGAACATCGCTGATCTTCATTGGAGGGACGACTACTCTGTTACTCTTGGGATCTGCGAGAACAATCCAGTAGCCAGCTTTACGGCTCTAAAATGGCTTAAGCTTGCAACACACAGATCGAGGCACCTATCTACGTACCGAAGGCCAACGAGGTGCATGAGCTACCCGGCGATTTTGGTCCGCACCCGGTAGGTCTTCCGCTTCCTGCTTGCCAGTGAGGAATTCGTAATCGCGTTTCTCATCGTCAATTGCTCCTTGCGAGACAGGTGGAACAGCATCCACGGTGGAAGTTGGAGGGGGAACCAAACGCGCCTTGACAACCAAGTATACGATTGACGAAGGTGTCACCAGACGATCGTCAATCACTTCAGACACAAATAACTTAGACAAAGTCAGCAGCGACGTTCAAAATCACGCACCTCTGAATGAAGCATCAACGAGGTCGAGTTGACCCCATTGCGACACGGCGCGCTTCAGGTCTGTGATCCTGGCGTCACCCGATTCTTCCAGCGAGCGCAATACATCCGATACAATCTCTGACTTCTTCGCCAGCTCTTCCGCTTCCGCTTCATTCAGGCCAGGCAACTGTGCATATTTTAATGTGTCTTGACCAGGGAGGATTGCTTGTGCGAGGTAAGATTGGAACCGGATAGCCGAAAGTGTAGGTGCGAGCCAATTCCGGGTAGTGCTAATGCTTAGTAACGAGTTCAACAGGACAGGAGTCTGCAGAAGAAGTTTTATTTGATCTAAGGTGGCGGGAGAATTAAAACCATTGGAGACAGCCGCAGTATGATAGAAATACCTTTCTGTAGTGAAGGCGGGACTGGAATCCGCAGGAAATGTGCGTAAAGAAGAGCCAATCCCTTTCGTCGGATGTCACTATTCTCAGGAAGTGCCTCAGCTGCTTTCGTGAGCTCGTCCCATTTGTGACCCAATCGCTTCTTGACAGATGTCTCCAGCTCGGACAATTCTGAGATATGACCAGATGCTGGCGTTGTTTCCCATTCGAATGACTTGCCGAGGGAGCTGACAATGTCGTCCATCCCAGATTCCTCGCTAATGGCCTTGAAGAAAGTGGCAGCAGAACGTGCGTCAACACCATCCTTCGTTTTCTTACGGTTACCGAACCACCATTTGCCCTGTTTTGAATATATTCAGCATAATCGGTGGCTCAAACGGAAGGTATACATACGACTAGGCCCGGAAGAGCGCCACCGAAGATGAGGGCGTAAACGCCAAGAACCCAAATGTTGTTCTTGCCCTCAACGATCCATTTGGGAAGTGCGATACCCATGGACACTTCTTGTCGACCATCAGGATGACCATAACGTTCCCAGTTCTGGCGAATTGTCTCATCCGTAAGCCTAACGTGATATTGTTAAACAGTAAGTTGATAATAGTAGGCCAATGACATAGTAGATCTGGGACATACGATTTGTAAGCTTTTGTGATTTCAACGAAACGAGCTTCAACAGCTTCGATTGTTAGGTTCACGTTGAGTTTAACCTTGTCCGGGTGACTATACGTCACTATGAGTGAAGTTCGAAAACGTATGAAGATGTATAACATACAGGGCTTTCGAAAGCTTTTTGTAGTGAGACTTGATTTCCTTGATACTGGCACCCTGTACAAGGAAACCTTTCAATACACGCGGATTTCAGGGAGTTTCACTGTGCTCACATTCTTGATGTCGAGAATCTCAAATGGATTATAGACTTTATTCTCGATTTCTGCTGTCGAGACTTTATAGGCCACCCAGGCAAATAATGCCCATCCAATTGCAAGGATGAAATATCTGTTCAAAATGTGATCGGTCTTCATAGTATGCGAAACGGGACCGTGACGCACTTTCGTATGTTAACACCCTCCGTCTTGCGCAGACGCGCTCTGTGATCGACACACTCATGACAATCGCATTCACTAACTATGGGTTGTTCTGGAGAGGGGAATTAGATATAGTGAACAAAGAAAGCCACGTATAGACGCACTGGAAGAGGCAGATGGCAGAGAGAACGGCACTAGGACAATTAGGAGGAATGTAAGCAGGAAGTAGGCCGCCATGTTACCGGCCTCATCGTAGTTGTAGTTGGCCATGAGGCCGGCGAGATAGACTAAGGCGTCTTAGAAAGAGTTGGGAAGTAGAAACGAACGTAGCCGGTTGAGGAGAAGCGTGTCAAGTGAGTGTCGCATACCATGTTCGGTCATGCCAGCACACCTAGGATGGGCGTCTAGATAGCTTACCGTGATACTAAGTAGGGTGAAATTAGTATACGGTAGCTTAGACCAAAAACGTAAGGAATAGAAAGAAACTAATCCGGCAACTAAAGGCTGTGGCGCGAACGCGTTGATCGCGCCTGGCTCGCTTGTGCACATCCCAACCATTCAATCCTTCTTCCTTGCTTCTCGTTTTCAACCTCACTGTCCCTTCTTGTCTGCGGTTACACACGATAGAAATTTCTCCAACGACTGAAGCCTGAAAGCTGATGGCTGAGCATGGCGAGGGCAACATCAAAGTCGTTGTGCGATGTCGGCCTCTCAATTCCCGCGGTTCGTCCGCCTCGTTCCCAACCTCAAGTTTCACCTTCACTTATAGCTGCTTCTTTACTTGATCGACATGTTCAGAGATTGCTCGCGGTGCAAAGTCCTTGGTGCGGATGGTGGGGAACCAAACTATCTTGGACCCTCCTGATCCAGGAACCGCCGGAGCCCAGGCTGCCTCAGGACGTGCTACGGAACGAAAGCCTATGAATTTTACCTTTGACAAGAGTTATTGGTCCGCAGGTCCTAGAGATGAACCCGACTATTGCTCACAACAAACTCTGTATGATGACCTTGGAAAGGAATTATTAGATCACGGATTTGCAGGATTCAATGCGTGCATTTTGGCTTGTGCGTCCTAACTTCTCCGCATGATTTTGCTCGTGTACTCACTCATCTCGTAGATGGACAGACAGGTGTGCATGTTGTTATTTTGTCACCGGCTTATGCTCACCAAGACCCCAGGCTCTGGAAAGTCTTACAGGTACGAAACTACCTGATGTATCTCACTTATATAATGATGATCTAATCTATGCACAGTATGATGGGATGTACGGTCTTCCGTCGTTTATCTTACACGCTACTGAATTTGTCCTCCATGCAGACGGTGCCGACAAAGGCATTATTCCGCTCACTTGTTCGGAATTATTTGTACGAGTAAATGAGAAGAAGGCGGCGGACCCGAATCTAAATTTCACTGTGGAGGTCTCGTATATTGAGGTACGTCGGTGGTTGCCCAATACCAGTGTAATAACTTGAATAAACAACGGTTGCAGATCTACAACGAGAAAGTACGCGATTTGCTGAACCCCAAAAATACGGGAAACCTTCGTGTTCGTGAACACCCAAGTCTTGGTCCATACGTTGAAGACCTATCCAAACTGGTAGTGAGCAATTACGATGAGATGATGCAACTCATGGATGAAGGAAACAAAGCGAGAACGGTCGCTGCAACCAACATGAATGAAACGTTTGCATGACCCTTTTTCATGCCGTATTCCGCGTATTGAGTTTCCATTCAGGTCATCTCGTTCGCATGCTGTATTCACATTACTTCTCACTATGAAGCGGCATGACGTCGATACTAATTTGGACACGGAGAAGGTGTCACGTATCAGGTATGTCCCGCCGTCTTCTAGTTTGCTTTCATTTATTAACGTTGGCCTTAGTTTGGTGGACTTGGCTGGTTCAGAACGAGCCAACTCAACTGGCGCTACAGGCCAACGACTGAAGGAAGGTGCTAACATCAACAAGTCGCTTACTACTCTAGGCAAAGTCATCGCATCCCTCGCTGCGGCCAGTCAGGCTGAGGGAAAGAAGGGCAAGAAGGGCAAGGCGGAAGAGTTCGTGCCTTATCGAGACTCGGTATCATATTATCACATATCCCATCTCATAAAATACTTTCTAATTCGTCCCAATCCTACAGGTTCTGACTTGGCTCTTGAAGGATAGTCTGGGAGGCAACTCAAAGACGGCCATGATAGCGGCTATCTCACCCGCCGACGTTCAGTACGAGGAAACGTTGAGTACACTCCGATATGCTGATCAAGCAAAGAAGATCAAGAACAAGGCTGTCATCAACGAAGATCCTAATGCCAAGTTAGTTCGGGAGCTCAAGGAAGAGCTGGAAATGCTTCGAGGTGAGGAATAAACGCCTCCCGCGGTAAGGAGCAAAAGCACTAATGCCGGCTGTCAGCACGCGTGTCTGGATCTACAAGCGAAGCTGTCTTCGACCCTAGTATCCCGGCCTCTGAGCAAAAAGTCACTTATCAGGCAAAGGATGGGACTATCAAGACTGTGACTAAGGCGGCCTTACAGGAACAACTGGAGACTAGCGAGAAGCTCATGCAAGGTCTGAATGAGACCTGGGAAGAGAAGATGCAGAGAACTCAAGAAGTTCAGAAAGAGCGTGAGAAGGCATTGGAAGAACTAGGTATTTCCGTGGAGAAGAACAATGTTGGCGTACACACTCCAAAGAAGGTGGGTTGTTGTGTCTGGGTTGTTGGCAACATTATCTTGACGCTTTCGGTTCAATTTTACCTTAGATGCCTCATCTTGTGAACCTGGTACGTATTCGCAATTCATTGCGAGGAAACGATTATAATGGATGTTGCTGCTGGTCGCCTGTAACAGAACGAAGGTAAGCAAATTATGAATACGGTTCATCATATCATTAATCTGACCACTCGCTCTAAGACCCGCTTATGAGTGAATGTCTTATCTACCAGCTTAAGCCGGGCATAACTACGGTTGGTACTCAATTCGCGACCTCTCTAAGACTCCTACAAGCTGAGTATATAAATTATAGGTCGGTAAACTGGACAGTGAGAAACCCGCTGCAATCCGACTTAGTGGCGAAAGTATCGTGGAGGAACATTGTTACTTCGACAATGTTGACGGCAGAGTTACGTTGCACGCTTTACCGAATGCGGTCACGGTACGAGATTACACGACATCTGTTATAACCTGAGCTAAACAATATCCTTCAGTTCTTAAACGGTCGACAAATTACTTCAGGCCAGGTTAGTCCTATGGGTCTTTGTTCGCCTTGACATGAACCAATACTGTTGTTCTCCAAGGTTTACAAACTACGTTCTGGATTCCGTATTATCCTTGGTATGTACTCAAATACTACTAACAGTAGCATACTCATGTGCTATATATTCAGGCGAGCATCACGTTTTCCGGTTTAACAACCCTGAAGAGGTTAGGAAGCAGCGTGACCGAATTATGGCGAAGTCCAGTCTCAGCATCAGTAATTCAGCGGCGGACCTCGCGATGGCAGGCGAGGCAACACGTCCAGCATCCCCAACGTCGTCCTCTGTCGATCTGGCTGATGTTGACTGGAATTTTGCCAAACGTGAAGCTGCATTCGCACGTCTAGGACTTGATCCGGCTCTTGATAACTTGCCTGACGAGGACTTGAACAAGTTATTTGAGAAGATTACCAGAGTTAAGACATTGCGAGATCACAATGCAAAGCGTCCAGAGAGTAGCCTTAGCCAAGCCGACGATATATGGAGCGAGTCTGGTCGACCGATGTCCAGCGACGTACTAACAGATGATACTAGCGTCGACGCTATGACTCATGATAGTCCTGACATTGCAGGATCGCTCGAAAGCGCTCAGAACCAACTAGAGAATCAGAGGGCCGAATTCGAGCAGCGTCTTTCATCCATAGCCGAATCTGCGGAGGCTGAAGATCTCAAGGCGGAGAAGGACCAGATGGAATTCCAGCTCAAATTGGTGAAGACTCGAATGAAACGCTTGCTAGACGCGCGGGCTAAAGGTGAAGATATCGAAGAAGAGCTACAGTTTGAACCACAGATCTATACCGCCAAACAGCTCAGGCTTATCCGCAAAGTGCTGGACAAGTGGAGAGCGCATCAGTCTTTCTCCATGGCAGAAGTAGTTCTCTCGAATGCGGTTCTTGTGAAGGAAGCCAATGTAATGAGGTACGCTGAAACGTTGCATAAACTGTCATAGTACTGATGGATCGTATGCAGTAAGGAGCTCAACAAGGATGTGTCATATAATTTCACTATTGTTGCTGGTGGATCGTTGAGTGCGCCATCATCTGCCGTTGACACCATGGCGGCTTTGGATCAACTGGGTGATGTCGCTGACCCAGTACTGGCATCAGCAACTCAACCTTCTGTTGCAGTGAAGGTCATCGACAAGCGGCATGGAGCCATTTATGTTTGGTCACTAGATCGTCTTCAGCAGCAGCTTCAGCGTATGCGTAACCTAACAGCATATATCGACCGACCCTCCTATTCTCAACACTTCTCGTCGTCCGAACCATTCTACAACAATCCTCCGCCAGAGTACTCATTTATCGGCAATGCACTAATTTCCCTTGCACCTCTAGCTCGTCGTCTATCCTCCACATCAGTAGTCCCGATCTTCTGTCGATATACTGCGGAGGCTATTGGCTCATGTCGCGTCGAACTCAAGATTTCCAATGTCGTGCTTTCACATAAGCATGCGAATTCCTCCGCCACGTCCACTCGCGCTTCCTCACCTGCACCTGGGACAGTACCTCCTGGCAGTAAACTGACCTTTGTCATGACAGTTGATACAGTCAAGGGTCTTTCCCATCATGACTTCTCTGCTGTTCATCTGCAGGTTCGACTGTCGTCGGTCATGGGTTCTTCCGTTTCGGCAGAAGAAGTATACCCCTCTAATACCATAGAACTTGATACCAACTACCTATCGGATCTGAAGTTCCGACGTAGTTTTTCTCTCGCCGCATCATCCAAGGTGTTGACTCACCTACGACAAGGATATGCACCCATAGAGTTTTTCGCCCGCTTGGAACCGACATACCTGGAACGAATGGAGCGATGGGACGAGATGCGGGATCAGAAGGTACCACGGATAGAGTCGACATCGACGCCAGAGCCTGTTCCGGTGACCCTACCACTCATGCGACGATCCGAAACGGACTTTGTGACGGAGCAAATTCATGATGTTGTTGCATGGCTACAGATCTGTGAATTAGCTCCAAACGGGGATTACACGCCTGTCCCCGTTATGTCTCGTGGAGCGCTCGATCCTGGGATGTTCACATTACACCAAGGTCTACAACGTCGCATAGTTTTGACAATCTCATCCAACTCCGGAAAGCAGCTCCCTTGGACAGAGGTTACAAAAATACGGATTGGAAATATTCGTCTCTTGGACGCCAAGGGCCGAATACATGACTCCACCTCCAAAGTGCTCACAACTTTGCCTTTGATGAAAGAGCAACAGGTGGAATACAAGCCTGATGGGACGGGTCTTTTGACCGCTCAAGCTCTTTGGGATTCCAGTGTTCACGATTCCATTCTCCTGAACCGAGTAACAGCCACTCATCATCGCGTACTTGTGCAGATCGAGTGGTTTGTTGATGTAGAGATATGTGCAGACCCAGTACGGTTCAGCATGGATGCTGCAGTCTCCGTGCAGTCCCGTGATGCTCGACCCCCTTCACGATTATTCAATCTCATCGGCTCCTCGAAGATTCTTCCTAAAATGAGCACAGTCTTTAGTGTTCGATTGTCGCCACCTTTGACTCGGTCACCTCAAGAGCTTTGGCGGCTTGATACATCGGAGAAATATGTTCGGGGCGAAGAGGCTTTGGGGACATGGAGACCGAGAGGGATTTCCGTTGTGGAGGATTACGACAAGCTTGTGACTATGGAAAGGCGATCTGCGGATGTACAGGCTATCAGGGTAGTCCTGGCTGCCATGGGCAACCGGCCTAGCCAGAGTGGAAGTGCCATCTGGAGTGAAGACAAACTGGTGAAGAAGGCACTGGGCCTTTGGCAAAAGCAGTTTGGTCATAAGGGACATGTTAGTGCAAGCTTCTTAGCATCATACTTGCATTTGGACTCATGGTTTGCTGCAGATCGTACTCAGTCAAACACCCGCCGATATTGAGAAGTCTAGCGTGTATTCGGCGAGCAAGGCTTCTAGTGCAACATCAACCGACTCATTGAAGTTCACGTCCCAGAGCAAGGTTGTGCCTCGGAGGTGAGTTGTCCCTGGATCGTTGTGTTGTCGGCAGTGACTGATTCAAGTACACTCAGCGACAACTACACGTGGCGGGGACATCTCACCATGTTGGTTGATGCTAATGAGAACGTTTGGGAGAGGCGATGGTTTGTTCTACGAAGGTGAGTTCACTCATTACTCTGGTTTGACGTCAGTGTCTCACGTGTCTCAGGCCGTACTTGCATATGTACAAGCACTCGAACGAACTGGAGGAAGTGGCGGTAGTCCATCTGAGTGGCGTCAACGTTGAACGGAATCCAGAAATGGAGGCTCTGCTTGGGGTAAGCTAACTAACAAACTTACCTGTACTGGACGATACAAAGGCTGAACCACACACTCACAGAAACGTTTCACTTTCACGCTCTTTACAGCGTCCAACTCATACGCTCTTTCAGCTCCCAACCAGAAAGACCTGCAAGCATGGATGTCAACTCTGGATCCTACCCGAGCATTGTCCTGAATTTATTTGGAATCTTTTTCTTTCCTCTCTTTCACGACTGTTTATGACCTCACACGAGCTTTTACATTGCTTATTTCATTTGTAGGTTTATAATCTCTTCATTCCTTGCGATAGTTTCTTCTAGACCGTGTCGTCAGTTATTGTAGACTCTTCTGGCGGGTAATATTGGATCATATCCCTCATGTAGATCACTCATTTATACCACAAATATACCGGTAGAACACGCACTGGAAGGATGCGATGCAGGATATCATTGCATAAGGCATGCGTTAGACCATCGATTTTACTTCGCATATCGACAAGTACATAGTATAAGCGGTGAAGCAGGGCATGGAGGCATGAGAGTGCTGGACAGTGTCGAGAAAGTGATACATGGCCTGTACTACCGGAGAGGACCAACGCCTCACGCAAAGAATCATGCAACAAGAGTGCAAAACCTTGTTTACACCTTGAAGCCTCGGGACTTTCGGCGACCACGAGCCCGCTCGAACTAAAGACAGATTAGACATGAATCGTGCCAGAGGGAGTTTAGAAACGAACCTTGCGACCCTTGGAGATGGTGTAGGGTTTCCTGTGCTTGTGGGGGCCCATACCGAAGTGCTTGACCGCCTCACGAGTGTTCCTCTTCCCTCTCAACAAGATGGTGTTTGCACCGGTAGGTGCACGCATGGCAAGCTGATCGAGAGTCAAGGCCTCACCACCAGCCTTGAGAATGCGTTCCTTGGCAGCAGCCGTGAAACGGAGAGCAGCAATAGAGAGCTTGGGGACCTCCAAAAGACGCACATCATCGGTGATGGTGCCAACAATGACAATGACCTTGGAGTCACGGTCAGGAGCACTTGAGGTTTCTTTTAGGATACGAGAAAGGGAAACGGGAGGGCGGTTGATCTTCGAGAGGAAGAGACGGTGGAGGATGGTCTTGTTGAAGGCGGAATCGGTACGGCGGGCAAGGAAACGGTACAGCTGGGCAAGTGATTTAATAACATAGCGATCATAACGTCCACAATACGTACCTTGACGAGCAAGAGGAGGTAAGGATCCTCACTCTTGGGGGCCGTCCGGTTGCCCTTCCTGACGTGGTGTTTTTGGATGTCAATACCCTAGGATCATGATAACAGCATTTTAGAGTGTGTTGGGTCGTCGAGCAGCATAACGAGCTCACCATCTTGCTGGTCGCCGGACTTGCGGTTTGGCGAGACTTGCTGCCTTGGACGTCGGTGAGTGCGACAAGCGCGGTGGCTGAAGCAACTGTACACTACGAGGATTAAGGTTCGGCGCCACAGCGGAGTTCCTTTCGGAGTTCGAAGCGATGACAGGCAGTAACAAACAACGCCAAACGCGCGCGCGTACACCTTGCCTCCTCCCCTCATCCTCTAGACACCTCCTCGTCGTCTTCGTTCCTCTCGTCGTTCCCCTCGTCGTTTCCCTCGTCGTCTTTGTCCTCAACACCCTTCAAAAACATGTCGCAGTACGGTGATGCTGCCGCTCCCCCCGTGGACCCTTACACCGAGGCTTACAACGAAGCACCTCCCGCACCTCCCGCTTCAAATGGTGAAAGGGAGGTCCCCCCTCCCAGAGGCCGCTCCCGCTCCCGCAGCCCCCCAAGAGGAAGCGGTGGCTCCAATTACCGTCGCTCGCCTCCTCCAAGACGTCCTCCTCATGCCCCCATTGTATGTCGTTCTGTTCTCTCTCCCAATTACCCAGGCGCTTACTTGGCGAAGCAGGCGCCCAACCCGTCCAACGTTTTGGGCGTATTTGGATTAAGCATCCGGACCACCGAGCGTGACCTCGACGATGAATTCAGCCGCTTTGGGCGCGTCGAGAAGGTTACTATAGTTTACGATCAGAGAGTCAGTTTTCCACATTTGCATTCCTGCGCTTGTTGCCCTAACCTAACATCTTTAGTCCGACCGTTCTCGCGGCTTTGGCTTCATCAGCATGTCTACCGTTGAAGAAGCAACTCGATGCATTAAGGAACTGAACGGCGTCGTAGGTTTAGTCCTTTGGTCCTTATACTCCAGTCTGATGCATTCGGCTCTAGGATCTGAATGGTCGTCGTATCCGTGTTGACTACTCCGTCACTGACCGACCACATGCGCCCACCCCTGGCGAGTATATGGGCCACCGTCGCCGCCGCGGTCGCGATACATACTCTGGTCGTGAAAACCGTGATGATCGCTACGGCGATGATTATCGCGACTCGTATCGCGATCGCCGTGACCGAGACCCATATTCCCGTCGCTACGATAGAGACGATCGGGACCGTGATGGATATGGAAGGGATAGTCGCGACTGGAGGGAACGCCGGAGCCCTCCTCCCGCTCGTGGTGGAGGTGGACGTTACTCCCCTGACTACAGAAGGCGTAGAAGCTATTCTCGAAGCCCTCCTCGTGGCAGCAGTCCTGTTCGTGGTGGCCGTGAATATGATGCTCCTCCCAGCGCTGCTGCAACTAATGGCGCCGAGCCTCGTTGGTGATTCAAGACTCTCAGTGAGTGGCTTGAACTCCTCAAGGTTGCTGGATCAAGGGTGAAGATCGGGGTCTTGAAGAGAAGAGCTCTCAAGTATTGAAGTTTGCACGGGCCGCATCAAGTATCCTATTGTTTCGTCATCTCTCCCGAAGACTCGTATCAAGTTACTGTGCTCCTCCAATTATTCTGTATTCTCCTTTGCTTCCTCGTAATCTTTCAATATTGTGTTCTTGGCAAGCACAAGTATCAAGTACCAAGTATCAAGTATCTTCGCGGTCGATGAAGGTTCGGCGTTGAACATGCGAAAACCGGTTCAATCGAGGGGTGCAGAACCTACTATGCGTGGCAATGGTATGTATGCTGACATTAGCCTTCCATGGGAGACCCCATCAAACTCTGGAGCATAGCAAGCACAGAATCCCTCAATCTTGTTCCAATCATGGCAAGTTGGGTTGCTCGTCAGTTTCAGGGCGTGGCTGGCTGCGGATGGCAACGGTGTGTTATCATGACTTCGTGGCCTGTTTGGAGCCTCACCATGTATTTACCTGTTGAGTAACATGAATATACTGCAATTTGGGTGTTCTACAAGCATGCAATAAGTATGGAATTATCTGAGCTTGCAAGTAGCGCCATTATGTATGTACAACAACAGCTTCAACCAGCTACCTTCACTATGCACGTTCCCCCATCTGCAAGCATTCCAACCGGGCCGTTCGCGTTCCTTCTAAACACCTCAGGTGCCTTCTCAAAATTCACCACCTTGCTTTTCGCATCGTCCTCACTGTCACCAATCCACGGTCGTATCCATCCCTTCTCCACCATTGCAAGAATGGCACTTAAAGAGTCGTTGATATCCTCGCCTTGGAAATCCACATCCGCAATCGGACTGACGAAGGCATATCCCACTGTCCGCTTGGACGTTCGTTTTGCTTTGCGTTGACTTGCACCTTGATCAGCGTTATCCCTGTCAACTACAATCGTACTCGAGGAAGCAGTGGAGTTAGAAGCGAAGGAAGTACTTCCGCTTGATGGATTAGGTCGGGTTGTCGACATGGCGCGCCGTAGAGAACGAAAACCGGACCGAATGTTATCCTGAGCTGAAGGGAACGGCCGTGTAGGATGGTCGCCTACAAGAGTCGTGAAATGAGCATGCGAGACTCCATGTTTATCGATTCGTTGCCTCTGTGGACTGTCAAGAGGGGTCTCCTCTGAAGGGGTTAGCGGTATTGCTTCAGGTTCTGTCAACAAGAGTCTCTGAGCTGCTTCCCAGATCTCTAGACCACCAACGGTGTCCAAGAAGAGATCGAAAGACTGTTTCTCGGCAGCTAGACGTTCAACCACTACTAATGGATCCCCGATATGAATTTCTTCCACTCCCCATGCCTGCAATCGGGCTTCCAGAAGGTCGAAATCCTCTGAACTGGCAGCCTTTTGTTGGGACCGTGGTGACCTTGAAGCCGCACCGTTTTCACCAACTGTAACTATAGGTATCGGGCTCAGCGATTGAGGGACTTGGACACATATAGCGACGTTTCTCTGTCGAAGAAGCTGCACAGTGATCTCGCCTACTCCGTCATGTCCATTCGTAATGAATGCCCGAAGACGACCATGAGCCCGTTTGGCCCTTGATAGTTGTGAAGAAAGCACTTCATTGAATGTGCGTACTGCACGATGAGCAGGCAAAGCGCATAGCGGGAGCAAAGCGAGTTCGTCTATGCCCAAAGAACTCATACCTGTGTAAGGTGATTTGGACGATCGTATTGGTACCGACATGGAACGACTATGAACCTGCCTTCGATGCGGTGTTGGAATGGGCTGAGCAAGAAACTGTGGCTGGGGTGCACGGTGGAGACGATGTCGTTCAACGACCACGAACTCGGATAACGCACCAGACTGTTCCAAATTACAGATTCCATGTCAATGAGGAATGAAGGAAAAAATGAAATGATTTATATTGACCTTGCGTATATCCAATAGCGCAATTACCCAATCCGATTTTCGACAGACGTCGCTGCTGACATCCCATCCACACTGTACCACTCGACCAACAAGACTCCTTCCAGGGATGTACCCAACAGCCTTTGAAGCTTTCCCGCTTCCCCCAGACACGTCTAGCTTATGCTTGACAAGTAAAGAATCCAAAGAATCCAAGCCAACAGCGAAGACCTTGACTAGGACGTGCGAAGCAGGGACGTAAGTCGGTGGTGAGAGATGTGCCGTAAAAGCCACAGGCAGCGGTAATGCATCTAGCAAATAAGCTGGTGTCGCACTCTCCTTTTCTTTCGAACGTGACCTGAGTTTCTTCGACGCGTCAAAGAATTTCAAAGAGAAGGACAAATGCCGTCTTCTTTTCTCGCGTCCAGCAGAATTCGACGTGGAAGTTTGCACATAAGCTGCGCCTCGAATGATTTCGATAGTTGCCATGCTGCTTTGTGCCGCACCAGACCTAGGAAGGTCGACTTTTCCAGAATCTGGAGGCCTGCGTTTATTTGAGCTTGAAGGAGTGGCATGAGGGAGCGTAAGACTAGTATAACCACTTGCAGGAGTAGATGAAGGGGATGTAGGGGTGGGAAGGGAGTGTGTAGGGAGAGTGGAAGCATAGGCACGAGGATCTGCTTGAGTAAGTGATAGGGACCGCGAGAGCCGTCGGTACGATTTCCGTTGGTTCTCATTTGACCGTGCGTACGCTCGAAGCCGTGCGTCCGGGTGATCCAGGTCTGTCAGCTCATCGAGTTCCTCGGGTTCTGCAGTGAGGACGGTACCAAAGCGGTTCTGCTGACTATCGGATCTGGAGTGTGCAGATACTGATCGACGTCGCATCACTGGTTCGGTTGATGGATCTGGTGTGGGTGTTGGGATAATAGTTACCTTTGTAGTGGTTACCTTGTTTTGGTCAACAGGAGGTAATTGAGGTGCTGGTGACGGAGGTCGACTATGCTCGGAACTGCTCGCACCAGATGTTGGTTCGCTAATGTCACTCTCATCTTCTTCCAACAGCGCAGACATACGCCCGCGACCACGAGACCCTCGCGACCCTCGAGAGTTACGGGCTCGTTCTCGCAGCTCGGCCGACTTTGCGAGAGGAGGGTAAGAAGGCGCGATGGAAGACGAAGCATTCCTGCGAATGTTTGTTGATGGTGCAATGGCCTCACGTTGTCCCTGAAGCTTCTTTGTTTTTCTCTGCGATGACGACACAGCAGGTGTGTTGGCAGACAGCCATCTCACGTTCTCTGCCCAATCTCTGTCTGTCGAAGCAAAGCGGCCATTCTCCGCTTGCGAGCGTGTACGACGGTGACCCGCAGTCGCCGGCACGCCACGAGGCCGTGTATTAAGCTTTGACCTGGAGGATGACGCCTCGGCGTTGTGGTGCGATTTCGAGACAGTTATGGTTTGTACGTCACCGTTGGCAGAACGTGGTTCTTTGTTGCTATGGTCAGAATTCAGAGGTGAAGTGGGACGGGTGGAGGTGGTTGCTTGAGTTGTTGTTGATAGCAAGGAACCTAGATCTGACGAAGATGAAGAGGCAGAAGTAGCGGAAGAAGACCTAGATATAGATGGTGACAAAGGAGGAACACCGTTCGATGATGAAGCATTAGGTTTTGGTACAGACTGATTGTGGAAAGTAACCTTAGGTTCAGTAAGGGCAGATGAGGACGCGCGAGATGTCCGTGGAGATGAATACAAGGATGAACGAGGTGTGTAGAAGATGTCTGTATGGTCGTCATCTGTATCGTCCTCTGGAATGGGAGGAGCTGGAAAGCGAAAATTCATGTCGGAGGAATCAAAGTGAGAGTCGAAAGAAGGTTTGGATGCAGAGCCCTGAGCAATAAAGTGGGATGAAGATGAAGGCTGAATGGAAAGCGAGTGCGATGAAGCGATCGACAGCGAGGCAGAGCGAGTATGGGTGGAAGCCTGGAAAGAAGGTTTATTGTAAACGTTGCAGATTCCCATCATGGCAAACGAAGACGCGTGGGGACTTACCCGAACATTCACAGGGTCCGGGGGAATCAGAGACGCTGTCCGGACGTCAGAATGGGAAGAGGAGCGAGAGGAGTACAGAGAGTCGTCGAGAGCAGAGTGAGAGAGCACAGAATGTCTAAGGCTTGCAGAGGAAGAAAGGGGGGCAGATGACGGAGAAATAGCAGGCGAGAAATGGCCGTGAGAGGCCCGTCGTTGAATGTCGTGTTTCGTCGAATAGTAGTGTTTCTCAGGAGGGAACTGGTAGGACTGTGAGGGTTGGTTAAAGAGGGTCTGGAGGAGCGTAGGCTTGGGCATCGAGCGGAACGACGAGGAGAACGACAAGCACGACGAGGAGGACTGGAGTGCAGTGCGGTCTTGACTGGTGTGCGGCTGATCTTGGTCTGCCTTTTCCGGCACACACACTGATTACGTCACCGATCCTGCCAAACCGCCTGCCAAGTTACCACCAGACACTCCGGCGCTTGCCGGCCTTAGCAACTCCTTCTCTCGACGACTTGGTATGTTTATTTCGTATTTTATTTTATTTCTTTGTTTCACACCAGTCCCGCAGAAGGCCCCGTCCACTTGGCCACACAGGCCGTCGACATGTCCAACCTCAACGTCCCATACTCTCATTTGTCCCATTCTTCCTCTCGCTCCTTGGCATCTAGTATTTTGTACGACATCGTTAACGGTCAGTACAACCACTTCGCCCTACTACTCTCGTCTCTCACTTTTCTCTAGTCTCCCCCACCGCCCTACACATCGCCGACCGCAGAGAACTCATCCAGGCCCTCCTCGACGACCTATCCCTTCTTACCAAAGGTTCCAAGGATGCTGCCTCCAGTCGTCTCACCCGTGACGGTGCGTCCTATCATCTTATTTCACATGCTCCTACTTATATTTCTCTAGATGCTGCACTCGCTCTTCTTGCTCTTAAGTCCTTGGGCAAGATTCCCGTTGGGTCCGAAGTGATTGCTTCTCCGAATAATCTTTCCACTCTCGTCACCCTCGCAAATACCCTCAAGGATAATACTGCTGCCTCTAATGAAGCACTCAGATGTCTCGCCAATTGCCTACTGCTAATCGACAACGCCCGAATGACGTTCGTACAGAAACAAGTCGGAGGCGGAGAAGCTGCTGTAGAATGGCTTGTTGTACGTCGATCACTTTACTATAGGTACAGCTTTGATCCAACGCTCGCTCTTCTCAATAGAAAGCTTCGGCTCCCGAGCGCGTTTTCCTAGTGTCTCGGATCCTCTTTCTTTGTACCGTTTCGCTAGCCGCTTCTTCATATATCCGATCACTTGTCGAAACCAAACCTCACGGTCACAGCGAACCTATCGTGGACGTTGTGGCAGCAAAGTTGGACATGTTGCTGTACAACATCCAATCAGGTGACGCTTTCGCTAAAGAGGCCATGATCGACCTTTTGAAGATGGTATTCAATTTGCTTGCCCACTATCCCAAGGTACGTAGTTTCCTTACTAGCCGCGTTATAGCGGCCTCTAAGATGGACTCCGTGCCAGATCTGCGATGACGCAATCCCTACTTCTCAGCATACTTCCGATGACCAGAACAAAGTTCTCGGCGACTACTGGAGCGAACGCTTGGACGGGTGCGTTTCGATTCCATTTAGAAAGCAGTATATTTATATTCTCTTCTAGTCTTCTTCCCCCGCTTTTGAAGCTGTTTAACACGCTTCCTCCGTCCGCGCCAGCACCATTGCTACCTCCAATAACGCACGTTATCCACTCACTTATCACCATACCCGTAACCCCTTCCCTGCGCCCCATCTGGTTCTCTGGTCAGAGCAAAACAGAACCTCCTTCTAGGTCATCTAAATCTTCATCTCCTACAGGAACCCCCGGTCCGTCTACCTCGAGTAGTCCAAAAGATTCAAAACCCGGCGCATTCGACAGAGCTCTGTCCCGCTTATCCGCCGGTCGTCGCTCACTTTCACGATCATCTTCGCCACAGCCACCTCCCGTTTACGACAACTTGCAACATGGGTACGACTTGCTTGATGCTGTACTTTCGCATTATCTGCCAGGCGATATCGACCCTGATGAGGCTAGTGTTCGGGAACGGTGTCGAAAGGAAGCTGACTCGTCGCTGGATGATATCGTTTCCCCGTTGGTATTGCTTGTCACCAAGTTGTGTAGTTCAGACGAGACCTCGAAGAAACGATTACGACGGTGGATATTACCGGATGACCTGGATCGAACGTCTCCTCTAGAAGGTCGTGCGGATCTCTTGGGACGGTGTCTCAGGTTGTTGGGTTGCGTTCATCATCCAAGGTTAAAGGATGCTGCGGGTGAGATGTTGTATGCAGTGTGCGATTCTGATGGTACGTGCTCTTGTCATTGTTGTTACATCTTTTTCTTACGTGTTAATCGTACATAGCGAGCACCCTGGCGTCCTATGTCGGATACGGCAACGTCGCCGGTTTCCTCTTCAATAAAGGTATCATGAGTGCACCACCACGCACGGCAACCTCTGCAGCTGCACCTGCAACGACTACCTCGGGTGTACCTATCGATCCTATCACTGGTACCGCCCAGAAGGAACACGAGCCTTTGGACATGACTGACGAAGAGAAAGAACGCGAGGCGGAGAAACTGTTCGTGTTGTTCGACAGGTTGGAGCGGAATGGCGCGCTACCACCGAACCAAAATCCTATTAGGAAAGCGATACAGGAAGGGAAGTTGGGATGATGCTGATTTGACGTATAGGTAATCATGGCCAAAACGAATGGATGAATGGACGATGCAATTATGTGATGATGCATGCGTAATGATTCCGAGGATGAAGGTGTAGCTATATATTTTCCCTGTCTCTCTACCGCCATCCTTCTTCCACTGCCCCCTGCTCATGATTTGATTTTTGCCTTTGACTCGACTCATACACATTTTTATCCGTTTCTTTCGAATACGATACACAACCTTCATTCTCATACCCTTTTTCGTTCACTCATAATCATATATCCGTCCCTACCTTTTCTTAGGCGTCATACCGTTGAATTGTAGTGTTGCACAGGTTGCTTGTTTGTCTACCTATTGACTTGTACAACCCGGCTCTCTATAAAGTAATGAATGATACACTGTTATAATACATTCTGCGAAGTGTGAATGCTCATGATCATAGATGTTGGATAGTTATGTGAATGTTCAGATATGTTCTTTCGACCTAAGTAAGGCTTTAGGGAAGTTGATGTTGTTTACTAGGATTCGATACTGGAAGAACTGACATCATAGGGCCGTTCAAATGGAAATGGTGCAAGGTTTACGCAGTTAAACGAAGATGAATCCAGAGCATAAGTGGGGAAGATAGAATAAAACAAGCACTCCGAAGTGATACATTATGATATACCTCAACAACAAAGCACATATGATATATATACTGTCCGAGGTGAATTACTAGCTGAGCCGTCAAGATTTCCTACCGCCGTCCATCTGGGAACAGCTCTTGTCTAACTTTTTCCGCCTCCGCTTCGTCCTCCTGCGGGACACCTAGTGTTGCAGCAATAGTGGTTTCTTCGACCTGCGAAGACGATTCAGAGGTAGTGCCTGCTTCGGAATCACCAGAGGCTGATTCTACAGCTGACTGCGATGAGGAGGATTCTACACCTGGTGAAGACGATGGTTCGATCACCGAGCTGATCTCTTTGACGTCAGAGACGACGGGATCGTATTGCACGGGCTCAACTGCAGGATCGCTCTTCACATCCGGATGTGGGTTCTCAGCGAACACGTCGTGACCCGGCTCTGCCTTTCCCAATGTGTTGGGGTCAACGGAAACAATAGGAACAGGACCTTCTACGACTACAGCACCGCGGCCGTGAGGCGTTGGGACAATTTGTGACGGTTGAGGGGTGTAATCAATCCCCTTGTATTGGTCGTACTGTCAAGTGTAAGTCAGTTTCGGAAAGTAAACGAGGCAATGGGAGCTGAAAAACACTAACGGAGTCGTAGAAGTCATTGCTAAAGGAAGGAATAAGTGATTTTGGAAATAATAGCGAGTGAGTAATGAACACACCATGAGAAATCCCACGTCTTCAACCACCGAGCATTCTGACATTTGGCCTTAGTCCAAGGGAGCCCATAGGCCAGGGGACTGAGATAGATGAAATTCCAGATGGCGATAATCACCAGGACAGCCGCGATTTGCAAGCGAATGCGAGGTCTTAATGTGGACGTGACAAGATCAAATACACCACATGAAAGGAGGATGGCGAAGTATAGAGCGGGAAAGTAGTGATGAAGAAAGAGCTGACGGCTCATCAGGAAGAATGGGAAGTAATGCAAGCTCCATCCGAGGAAGAGGAACCCGCAGAGCGTGTCGTACTTCACTACTTTTGCTGACGAGGCCATCAATACAAAGTAGGTCGATGAGTGATACTACGCGCACTTACTATTCTCGAAGTCCTTGCAGCCTCGTTTGGCCCGAAGAATCAACAAACCACGAACGACGATGTACGAGAAGACGGCAGCTGTGCTTAACCACCAGACCATTGGGTTACCGAGCAAGTAAATTTGCTTGTGATCTTTGACCCAGAAGTTCTGGAAAGTCTTTAGCATACCAGCAGCAAAAGGATAAAGGTCACTTACTATACCACGCCGTAATCGTGGCCAAGCATCTGGCCGCGAATCGAATGTATGGCGGTCTGTGAGCCCGGCATTTGTGGTCCACATTACTTGTTGAAGCTCAAGGAATTTGGATAAGAAGCCAGGGCGTCGATAGTTTACCTTGGCAGCGTCAGGCGGCACTGCAGGTGGGATGCAAATATTTATCAGCGATTGACGGAGGAGACTCTGAAGGACAACCTACAAAGAACATTATCGGCCGTCTCTACGTACCACAGAGAATTGGCCAGGACAGCATTCTTGTTGCATGTCACTTCCTGTTGCTCATAAGCCCAGTCAGGAAGTTTGACCTTATGCGAGAAGAGATAACAGCCAGTCAACGCATGTCTCAACCTGAAGTGCGTCCGCAAGGTCCGCAATCTTCTTTTCGACTGTGGGTCCTTCTTGCTCCCTTCATAGATCTCAAATATCCAGTCATCGTTCATATCACCAGAGTAACCCGGTACCCCGTATGCGGAGACCTCGTTTTGGAAATCAACGTCAGATACTGGGGGTCGGAAATCATGGGAATGGAGGGCCTTGTCGGTGGCAGCATGCCGGAGCTTGATACGCATACCAGGAGCCACGTAGGTCAGAGGGAGGGTCGCCCAGTCTTGGGGCTCGGAGCCGTCCGTTGTGGCATTCAAGATGCGCCAATCATTATTAGAATCTCTGTGGGGGTAAAGTGTAACCTGTTGCTCTAAAGGGTGTTCAAAAGTTATAATGTGACACAGAACTTCTACACAAATTTAGCAACACATACGTTGACTACCCGTTGGATAGTTGTGCGGATGCGAGTGAAGGTACCCTCCTTGCGTGTTAACATGTCGAATTGTGACTACAGAGCCGATGGCGACATCTGGTATTAGGTCAATAACGAGTTGTACAGAGAACGCAAGTGTATATCGGCTCGCCTGCGTATGTATCAGCCATGCCACGGCCGCGAAGGGTATGTTGAAATTCAGAGCTCATAAACCCGTCTCCGTCGCCAGAGCCAGAGAGGATAGCGAAATGGATCCAGAACATGAACATGTAGAACAAAGCTGGCACGAGAATGAGACACAATGCTCTCGCCATGAAGTGTCGAAAGAAGAGGCGCGCGGATACGCGCATGTCGCCGAGGAGTAGCCAGAGTTGATATACAGTGCTGAATCCAACCGTCGCGATCGTGAAGAGCCCGACCCACTTGCAACTGACCACGGCACCCAAGGAAAGTCCAGTGAGGGTCAACCATAGCCACCAGTGATCCGAAAAAGGTTGTTGCTTGTCTTCATTGCAGAATCCAACCCAAAAGAATACCGTAAGTGCCGTGAAGAAAATGAGAGGTGAGTCTAAAAGAATGTGTCGGGACTGAGTGATCAAGCCATTTTCGAATGTGATGAAGAGCGCTGCTAGGACAGAGGTTGTCGCACGGCAGTCCAAGGCACGTAGGGTGAGGTAGGATAAAGGAACAGTTGCAACACCGAGAATAGCTGGTACCAGTCGCATTGCAATGTATGGGACGCGTTCATACACCCTGCATAAGCGCAATCAGTGCGGAAAGAGGTCATAGATTGGGAACTTTCACTCACTTTCCAATGTCTTTGAAGTCAAAGTTCCCATCATATCCAAATACAAATCCCGCTAACGTGATCAGAAGTTTAGCAAGAGGGGGATGCACGTCTACAAAGTATTGCGACTTGATGTACTTCGAAGCGAATTTACCGAAGTGCACTTCGTCAAAGCTAGCAAGCGTGACAGGACATTAGATCTCGCCTGGGGGTCGCAAAAAGTTCACCATGAATAAACACCACTTACACGACACTATTGGGCTGCGAAAGACGGAATAGACGTATACCCACAGCAATGAGGGTAATGAGGATGAGTAGTTTCCATTCGGCTGATGTCACATATACTCCTCCTGACGGGTGAGGTTTGCGACCGGGGATGTAGCCCTTCGAAGCGAGGGTTCGTCGTTCATCTGCGTCCGAGCGGGAATGCGTCAGAGTGGGAAACCTCTGTGACCGTGGTGGTTGTGAGGGAATTGGAGAAGGCGGTCTCCTCGCCCTCACGTTGGCGGACATGGTCACCCTAGACCAACTAGATAACGAGGAAGACGACTAGTTGTCACAAAGCCAACAGTTATAATGAAAGAGAAAATTAGGAAGCCAAAAAGTTGACGTGGCGGCGGTCCTCAGTAGAGCATTAGCTGTGACGTTGGCGCCAGAGTATGCAACAACCTGATCGCTCATGTTTACCGCAGCAGTTTCTTGTCAACAATACCCTTCGCGCTGTCACGTTTAGAGACATCAGATAAAAAAAAGCATAATACCATAACTACTACGAGAAAACACCATGAGGAGGATAAATGACTATGATAGACGTAGGACAGTGTCCCGACGTTATACAGACGTCTGGGTTATTCTCATCATACTGCATATTCATGGCCTCTCACAAGAGCAACTGAAGTCATGATGCATCGCTCGTCCCCGCACCTCCTGAAGCTGGTGCCTCTCCGTTGGTTCTCGAAGGTGGACGTCTGGTCAAGCCAGCAGCAGCGAACCCTCGTGCGGCGAAACCTCCACGTCCTCTCCCGCCACGACCACCATATCCACCACGGAAGTTGCCAGCGCTCTCAGCATTCCTCGATTCCTTGTCTGTGGCTTGTTTGACTTCAGGCACCTCGCCCTTGAGTGTCTGCAAGTGGTGATCGGTTTTCAGATAGTACGATACAAGATACGGAATAGACAGACCTCAGCGTGTTTAGCAAATCCAGCCTTCATGGCTTCTTCATCACCAAACTCGACATAAGCCATCTTCAGTGCCTTGCCAGCGAAATTCTGGGGGTAGCTGACTTTGATGATCTGGATTCGAGTGTTAGACTACAGAAAGAAAGATGGAACGGATAGTGACCAACCCCAGACTGCGCCTCGCCAAAGAACTCTCGCAGCTCCTGCTCATTGGCAGGTGCAGGCATTCGCATAAAGATTGTCCAAGGATTCCTTTGTGCACGGCGACTAGTAGGGGTTCTCGCCCCAGTGCTTTCCGTTGCAGGCGAAGTGACACCGTCTTCGGCCCTCCTCGCGTCGCTAGGTCCAGCAGTAATGGATAAATCTGGTGTTGCTTTTCCTGATGGCGGAGGAGCAGGCGAAGATGTTCCATTCGCTTCGCCTTCGTGCTGTGAAGTGGCAGCTTCACGTTCTGCTCTCTCCTTCTCCTTGCGCTCTTTCTTGCGCTCGCGCTTCGCACGTTCCTTCTCAGCCTTGTCAGCAATGGATTTAGGATCCTTTGGTGTTTCTCGACCCGATACTGGTGTATCAGGGAGAGAGCCCTGGCTGGCTCTAATGACAGGTGATGAACGAGTCGAAAGAGGCTTGTCAGCGGCTATCGGAGTCTGACCACCCTTGGCGGAGAGAGGAAGGGAGCCATCCGCAGCTGGCGATGTAGGTGTGGGAGCAACTGTCGAGGGTGTCGCTGTTCTACGGTAAGCATAATTGAAACCTGAAACAACTGAGTTCCTGTCGGATAAGGCTAAATACGTTGCGAACGTACCTTGACTCTTGAGCTCAGCGCTTACTCTACCATCTTTGATCCCAAGAAGTAAAGAACCATAGGCCGCATCGCAAAGGTTCCAGTTCCAGCAGTTCTTCCATGCCGGCTCTTCCGTTGGTGTGTGTCCATTTGCTCCAGGGTGATTTAGTGGTGAAGGTATACGCTCAATAACGGACAACGCCTTGTCCAGGAGTACTCGTTGATGATCGTCAATGACGGCATCCACTTGAACCTTGACACTCTGCCAGACTTTGTCGAACCCTTCCTTGCCGACGATCAGTTTGTGCCGGAAACCTTCGAAGTCACCTTGGACACTGAATTCGTTGTAGGACGAGGCGTATCGGAAGTGAAGCCCAGCGGAGATGGTAAGGTCTGCCTTCAAGACGAGCCCCAGTTGAGCAATGATACCCTCCCTTCCTGGACTTGCATGGGTCACCAGAAGACGAGTCTCTGTCGGATCAAATACACGCTGAGCGGTATCAACCAACTCTCCGATTTGAAGAGCAGAAATCCACATAGTACCCTGACCACCGGCGATGGTGGCGGCACCATCGCCGTTGTCGAACATTTTGTGCGGTACAAGGGCGCCACCTAAACCTAGGAGACGAAGCTTCACGCCACCGATATCAAGGCAATGAGTGGTCGCCTCATCGAGGATGTGGAGATTCTCGATGTCGTAGACACCAGAACGGAATTTCTCAATGACAGTAACATCCTCGCATGCGCCCCAGACGGTGTACACGGGCACTTGGAGTTTTATTTGTCCTGAAAGCAAAAGAGGGAACTCGGACAAGAGAGAGATGGTGACAGTGGATCGGATTGAAGATGGATGATTCTCTGGAGCGAGGAGATGGGTGCGTTGAGCAGCAGGAATAAGAGGAGAGTACATAGTCAGATGACGCAATGTTCTGTCATTGATTCTATCGAGACTGGAAGCCTCTGTAAAGGATGATGATGAGCTTGCAGACAATGAGATGAAATGTGAGGGCGTACCAAAGAAACCAAAGTCACCGGTATGTACGATAGCATCGGCATTTACTTCACGAGCAAGATCATTAAGGGCGGAGAGACGGCCACGAATGTCGGCAATACAGAGGAGACGTCCATGAGCGGTATCAAACACTCGTGTTTGGGTATTGACATGATGTTGTACGGGGCGTGGATTGGGAGAGGCAGTGGGACGAGATGAAGTGGAAGCAGGACGAGAGACGGATTGCATGATGCGGCGAGCAGGATGCGGTTGACGGTGAGGAGGAGGGGCAGGAGAAGGGCGGCAGTCGTGCGCAACAGCGAGCAAGCCCAACAAAGATTCACTCCCAGCGCTCGCCAGCGGTGCCGACAGTCGCGTCGCGTTTTCCTCTGATTTCCACGATATGTCCATATATGGGACTTGGTGCGCAAAATAACCATTACGTATAGTATCTCCGGGATTCGGCGACGGCAGCAAGGGTGCGTGTCGAGGCGAATATTGCATCGCTCGATCTCCTGGCCCTGGGCTATTTCGCTCCTCTGCTCGTTCCACCACGTCCAGCTCTTTTTCATCCTCGTGGTCAACGTGCATCCCGACGTTGTACCCGCGTCGCCACCGGGCAGTCGCGCCAGTCGTTGCATCGATCACTTGTAACACACCGCTGGAGTAGAGGCTCTTTTTCTTCAGCCATGCTGCCAAAAGTAGCAAGCCAGATTCTCCATCACACTTCCCGTGCGGTCGCGGTCATCCAGAATCAGACTGGTTCTACTATCCGCACTGTTCTTCACACCTCCGGTCAATCCTCCAGTAACCTCGGTGGCAGGTCCGGCTCAGGTTCATCTAATTCTGGGTGGGGCGGTACCGCAGAGCCTGGTGGTCCAAAAACTCATTCTGGCAGTCGTTTTCATCCCGGTTTCTCCGTCAGTGCTTGCATCTGTGATCTATGCACAACTCCTAACAGTCTTTATATAGAGTTCTGCCCGCATCGTTGCTCATGCCGATCCGTCAGCCAGTCATGTCGACAGCTTTGACTACTCCGATGATTACCTCGATACACCCACCCCCCTCACTTCACGTCTTGGTGCTCATACCCGTCAAAGGCTCAGGACTACCACCCTTGCCCAAGTTGTCCAGAATGAGAACGGTGCACCTAGTGTGCTCAAAACACTGAAGCACCATGTACGGGAAAAGCATGCCTTCGCTGCCGCTACACTCCCTTCCTCCCACACGGAGCATTCTCCAGCGGACGTTGCTCCTCCGCCACTGGTCATTTTGTCTGCAGATTCTGCTACTCCGGCTGTCTCATCCATTGAAGAGCCTCTCGAACCTGAGCGTGCTTCCTCCCCCACTTCTGATCTCATAACATCCTTAACTGACGCTAGGGCACGCAATGATCCTAAAGCAATACACTCTATCGTAAAATCTCTTCGTGAGTCCGGCTCGTTGAAAATAGGTCACTACAACCAGATCCTTGAGGCTTTGCGTCAAGTGCGTTCCCCCGGAGATTCATTGCGCGCTATTCTCGAGACGTACAATGAAATGCTGGAACGCTCTATCCTTCCCAACTCGTGGACATATGGCACCTTGATACTCGCTTTCACTGATCGTGACGCTGAAGTAACGAAGAAGATCACTTACTTCGAGCGCAGGGTCAACAGACGGAAGGCATGGGGTTTAGACGAAGAGGAAATCTCGGCAGCGGATGAAGCACGGATATCCCAGTTGCGTTCGGAAAATAACTTTGGTTCTGCTCTCAAACTTTTCCAGGCTGCTTCGTTGCTTTCATCCACCGCTCTACATCCAGCAACATACACTGCGTTGCTGCGCGCATGCGCTTACCACGCTAACGTTGATGCGGCTATCCACATTTTTGCCCACCTCGAGAAGCGTCCAGACATTCAGCCCAGTGCTCTGCCGTACACTTACCTCATTAATGCATATGCCAGAGCAGGCGACCTTCAGGGTGCAGAGGAGGTGTTTGAGGAATTTAAGAAGGCTTCGGCACTTGGCAAGATCGCCTGGGAGTCCCGAGACACAAGTGAGGAAGGGTTTTCTCCTTCAGGCCGGTCTGCCCAAATTGGAGTATGGAACTACATGATTGATGCCTACTTCCGCTGTGGACAGCCTGACAAAGGTCTTAGTTTGCTGGAACAGATGATGGACGCACCGGCTGGACTCGCATTTACACCGGCTGATGTCCCGCTTCCTTCTTCCACAACGTTTAGCACTATCATCGAGGGCTTCTGTCGCGCTGGGGACACGGAGAGTGCACTTTCTTGGTTCCGGAGACTCCTTAAAGAGGGGAAAGATGTCACGGACGTTGTCGCTCCATCGATTGTTCCTCCTAAGCCTAATAGACAAGCTTGGGCGGCAATCCTAGTACATTTGGCCACGCAGGATAACCGAATCCAGGATTTGAATCAACTCTGGAGTATTGCCGCAAGGGAGTACCCACGAGTACTACGTGGGTCGTACCATGCCCTCGTCTTACAAGGGAATCTTCGTTTTCTGGAATCACATCCTGATGTGGACAGCAAGCAGGGTCTCGCCATGCTAGATTTCCTTCTTGAAGATGTCCTCTCGTACAACTTGTCTAGTGAGCTGGTTCATATCGAATTCGGCGGTGCTGACGCCCTGGTCGCAACCTTGGTGAAACTATACTTCCGGTTTGGTGGTTTGGATAGTGCTTTAGCGTTCGCTCGGAAGACAGCATCTCACACCAAGCGGTCGAACTACAACAAGGAAGAACAAGTCGAGGCGTTGGTGTCGATCCTCATCGACCACCTACGTGCCCTTCCTGTCTCCGGTTGGTCGTTTGCTCAGGCACTTAGTCTAGCACGAGTAGCCGCTTATGCAGGGAAGAGAATCGATCCGCCGTTGCTGCTTGATGCCTACGTGCAGGCTAGGGATGCCGATTCCTTACCTGAGCTCAAAAAGAAGGATTGGGAGGTTCTATTGGACACCAGCCTCGACGCAGCCTCGAACAAAACTGGAGAATACACCTCTTCGTCGATCGCGGATTCGCTTCTGACCAGCTTGGGTTCTGCGGGCATTGACATGAGATCGTTTCGACCTAGCCTCCGCACTCGTCTTGTCAATTATATAAACAGCACGATGACGACGAAGAAGACTTCAGACTTGCAATCTGAGTCCGAAGCGCGTTCCGTTCAAGAAGATATTGAGGAGAGTCCTACGACTCCTGGTGGAGTGTTTGTCGATGTGACACATGCCAACTATGTGGATGAATATCGTCTCCCCAAAAATGATCTGACCCCTTTGGCCGGTTATGATCGTCTTCAACAAGGTATACAGATGGGTGTCTATCCTACTCCCTACGTTCTGGGTCGATTGATCAATGCCCTTGGTCGCGTGAGCGACTTGCAGAGAGTACAGGATGTATATGAGATTGCACAGACGGTTTTAGCCGCCGACAAGGATACGCGCAGGCAGTCGGCAGGCTGGTTCTCGATCGAGGACAACATGACAATCGCCCTCGCTCATGCTGGTGATGTTGATGCTGCTCATGTTCACCGCATGCGTATACTCGAACAGGGCGGTTCTCCTTCTCCAGATGCGTACGGCGCTTTGGTTCATCACGTGAAGGACACCACGGACGACACGGCGAACGCGATGGCCCTTTTCCAAGAAGCCGTTTCCCGTCAGGTATCGCCTAATCTCTATCTTTACAACACTATCATCTCGAAGTTGGCCAAAGCTCGGAAGGCAGATCTCGCGTTGCAGCTTTTCCAAGAGTTAAAGTTGAGAGGAATTAAACCTAGTTCCGTCACTTATGGCTCTGTGATTGCTGCTTGCTGTCGCGTTGGTGATGCTCAGTCTGCGGAGACTCTTTTCGAAGAGATGTCTAGTCAACCGTCCTTCAAGCCTCGCATCCCACCATACAATACCATGATGCAATTCTATACCCAAACCAAACCCGATCGTGAACGTGTGCTGTTCTACTACGATGCACTGCTCCGTGCCAAGGTCGCACCAACTGCCCACACTTACAAAGTTTGTCGTGTTCATTTCTAATCTGGTATCACCTCTCACGTCTTTAATTACAGCTTCTGCTCGATGCTTATGGCACGATTGAACCACTTGACTTCGACGCTATGCAATCAACGTTTAATGAATTGGTGGCGAATACACGAGTACCAGTGCTAGGTACGCATTGGGCCGCGTTGATCAACGCGTGGGGTTGCGCTGGCAAGAATCTCGACAAGGCCATAGAAACTTTCCAGGCAATTGCAACTCACCCGAGGACACAGAACGCAGCGTTGCCAGATGCTGTCTGTTTCGAGGCGCTTCTAAACGTGTTAGTGACCCTTCACCGGAACGATTTACTTGCCGACTATAGACAACAACTTGTTGAGCGTGGTATTCACATGACTGCGTATATCGCAAATCTCCTCATAAAGGGGTATGCGGCTGCTGGCGACATGGAAGAAGCGAGACGCGTTTTTGAATCACTTGTTGATCCACCGGAAGGCGTGGCCGCGCCGAATAACCATGCTCCACTTGACCAACAAGGCTCTCCGATTGCGGTCTCACCCAATGATCCCGTATATCGCGAGGTACGTACCTTTTGGACACTAAAATACATCACTTACTTTGATGTTGATGTTAGCCATCTACCTGGGAAGCAATGATACGTGCGGAACTCAGTCATGGCAATGTGGATAATGCAGCGCAGCTCCTAGCTCGTGCTGAAGCTAGGTATGTTTGTTTCAAGATTTACTAAAGTATTGTTGCTTATTGCGTCTGGTAGGCGTTTTCCCGAGGCTGTAATCAATCGTATCAGTGGAGTTAGATTTGGCGAGCCCTCATAGATTAACACAAGTCGCATTGTCATTGCTTTCAATTGCATTGTTACATGGTAATATATTGTATATCTAGTTAAGTTGCTCTTGTATCATTGCTACTGCATCTTGTTACACTACTGTATTATATGTAGCACATGTTAAGAAAATCTTTTGCTTTGGAAGATATCTCTTAAGGCCTGATTGGTGCAAAAATGTGTTTGCAATATTGCAAACTAAAACTGTGAGTAACTGTAGGAGTATACTGTGTGTAATGATTTGTGTGACCAAGTGACTGCCTATTTTGGCATGTGATAGCTTGATTGGCCTTTTCTTTTGCCATGAAACTCTCAGCTGAACAGTAATGCCTTATTGCTGCTAAAGCAGCCTCTGCTGCACTTAACTACAGTCAATCTCTCTATGACTCTAAATCATACTATACATGAGCCCAAACTGGGCAGTAGTGAGTACAAGAGCTGATAGATGGCCATCCTGATTATATAAAGAACTATCTTGCTATTCAAGCACATGTCTTCATGAGACTATATGCTGAGCTTTATCAGAAGACTAAGCTATCTGATTCAAAATATGTCAACTTTAAGAAGAAGATTGCCATGTTTCTCTATTCTAGCTCAAAAAATTCTGATCACTGAGACATAGCAGAATAGTTTTAGTGAAGTACTGAAACTATGTCAAGATATTTGCATAGTCAATAAGCTAGATCATGTACTGCTAACTCATGATACACTATTATCACCAGTTATTCAAAACAATCCAAAGTTCTACCTCTTTTTTATGCATGCAAAGAGTGCTATTGGTAGCTCTCATATTGAAACTTTTGCTACTGAAGATATGCATGCATGCTGTTGGAACATAATTTTGTATCTTTTCAAGTTTTGTTACTGAGCATCTTTTGATTGAACTTTTCAGAGCAGAAAGACTATATAAAATTTAGCATTTTATATTATCTATAATTCAACAGACAATGTAGAATTTGAATTAACATTTTATTGAATAAATATGCTTGCAAAGATTCTAACTTGAAAGAGAATATTATAAGATATCAATAGTCTCTAAAATATAAATATTTTATATAGATTTTACTATATATTTATACAGTGACTCACTCAATATTTGTCAAATTTTGCTCTTATGAGCAATATCTTCTCACTGAGAAAGAATATCAAAGTGCATTATATAGTCTGAAAGAGTAGTGTCTTGGCTCCAATTATCACTCTGAATCATGTGATTTGGTCCAGAATTGGCAGAGATACTTGAATTGCAAAGAGCACTACTCATTGAAAGGGTTTTATTACGTGCTATTCTACCAAATGAAAACTTGAAATTTGAGTACTTATTAGAGTTTTCTCTTAATTTAAATTAGTGTGTAGACCTACCAAGGGATGCTCCAAATTGAATGAGAATAAGCCTTCTGTGATACAACCTCTTATTTCTTCTACATTCTCTTCTATCGCTTTGATATCTCTTTTAATAATATTCTCAGTTCTCCAAGCTTTCTTCTCAAATGGTTCCAAGAATTATTAATGAGATTGATTTCAGAGGACTGAATTGAGTATAGAGAAACCTCAAACTCATAACTTTTTAGTCAGTTCTTAGCATTTTTTAGGATATTTATTTTGCTAAAAGTCAATACTCTTGAAATGTTTCTATAATATCTCAGGTACTCTCAAAGTTTATCATTGAGTGCATGTGTATATAGATTGACATTGACAATGTTTTCATGATTTATTATATATCTCACTTTCATTTATTGTCTATACCCCTACACACACTTTTCAATTCTAACTATACTATGCTGAATATGCTAAACTCTGCCATGAAGTATCAGAAGTGAAGTTTCTTCATATATATAAGATTAGTATTAGTTATCTGAGATTAAAAGATTGAAAGTCAATATAAAAAAAGGAGGCAAAGAATGTAAACAATGAGTTCTTACAAAGTATAGCTATAATTAAAGAGTTTGTGTAGGGGTGTAGACAATAAATGAAAGTGAGATATATAATAAATCATGAAAACATTGTCAATGTCAATCTATATACACATGCACTCAATGATAAACTTTGAGAGTACCTGAGATATTATAGAAACATTTCAAGAGTATTGACTTTTAGCAAAATAAATATCCTAAAAAATGCTAAGAACTGACTAAAAAGTTATGAGTTTGAGGTTTCTCTATACTCAATTCAGTCCTCTGAAATCAATCTCATTAATAATTCTTGGAACCATTTGAGAAGAAAGCTTGGAGAACTGAGAATATTATTAAAAGAGATATCAAAGCGATAGAAGAGAATGTAGAAGAAATAAGAGGTTGTATCACAGAAGGCTTATTCTCATTCAATTTGGAGCATCCCTTGGTAGGTCTACACACTAATTTAAATTAAGAGAAAACTCTAATAAGTACTCAAATTTCAAGTTTTCATTTGGTAGAATAGCACGTAATAAAACCCTTTCAATGAGTAGTGCTCTTTGCAATTCAAGTATCTCTGCCAATTCTGGACCAAATCACATGATTCAGAGTGATAATTGGAGCCAAGACACTACTCTTTCAGACTATATAATGGCACTTTGATATTCTTTCTCAGTGAGAAGATATTGCCCATGAGAGCAAAATTTGACAAATATTGAAAGAGTTTTGTGAGTCACTGTAAATCTCTCTGTAACCTCTTTTTCTTCCTTTATTTCAAATATGATCTGATATATATTTTAATATAATGCTCTAATATAGTATAAAGCCTTTTGAGACTGATACAAAGAGTACCTTAAAATAGTTATTGATAATATAAGAGAGATATAATCTTATTGAAAGACTGATTAGTATATATGTATTTAGATATGATATATATCAAAATAAGAGAGAGAAAAATCTAACAAGCTGAGAGAAAATATTCTATTAAGAGTAAACTATTGTTGAAGCTATATTGTATCTTATAATTGTAAGAGAAAAAGTCTCTGTCTTCTTTTGAAATACAGACAGTCCTTTTATAAGCTTTCAAACTTTCTGCATCTCAATTATGCCATTATGAAAACTTTCTCCTCAAATCAGATTCAATCCAATCTTACTTTTCTAATTTACAGAGTTTGACACCTTCTTGGAATACTTTTTGTAGAATGCTTATAGAAGATGCATGAATGTGTTCATACCACTTGAGTTGTAGTATGTTATATTAGATTCTTGACTGTAATATTATATATTTGTAGTATAAGAAAAAGGCAAATATTGTTTGCAGAGGTGACAGCAATTCTGCATGTAAAATTTAGCATAGATGGATTCTTAAAATATTCCTGTATGGCAGTTTCTTATTAGCATATCATATAAGTTTCTATATATAGTATATTCTCTCATTCTTACACTGATAAAATGCTCTTTCAGATTGAAGCATTGACTTTATGCATTGAATTCAGAATATAGTATATAAGGTACATTACTGAGGGAGAGTAAGTAACAAAGAGCAGAGGTAAGAAAACCTCCTTAGTTATTCTCTTCTTCAGGCTCAATATTGCTTTCAGAATACAGGTCATCTGAGCCTGCATCTAAAGTATTCAGCTTATTCATCTGTGAATCTTTAGATTGTAGATATGAGAATATCTTTACTCTGTATATTAGTGCTAATTCAGAAGAAAGTGGTCAAATATTCTTATATCTATATCAGTCATATTTTTAGTTTCATCTTTTAAGATCTGTGACATAGTGCAGATGATAAATCTCAATCTCTAGTATATGCCACTGCTCACATTTCTGCTTTAGCTCTATATAGAATATTCAGATACTTGCACCCATAATAAGTAACCGGTATTTAGACACCCAGTGCATCACGTCGCATACAGATGTAGTTTTGTTTAGTCTGTACTCCAGCATCCACCTATAACACATATGCTTGTTATGCTCATTACTAAATCTTCTCACTCTCAACATGATTCTCCTAAGAAGAACCGGCTAGTTGGAGCCATCCAAGCTAGCATGAGCATCACTGAAGCGGCACGGCTTACAGGCATCCCACGCCAGACAGCATCAGACATCTGGTACAAGTATATCAAAACTGGCACCACACACAATCGCCTCCATTCTGGTCATTCACATAAAGTCATGGATTGCATGAAGGCTCTGGTGGTGAGAAGAGTAGTGAAAGAGCAGAGGGTGACATTTGCAGAGATTGGAAACCAGGTAGACCTGAAGATCAGTGAGGGCACTGTTCAGAGCATTCTCAAGGAATGAGGATATGGTCATTGGATTGCTCGTCAAGTGCCATTCCTTACTAAGAAGCAGAAGAAGGCTCATATGCATTGAGCACAGAAATACAAGAGCTTTACAAGCCAGGATTGGCAAGAAGTTGCATTCTCCGATGAGTGCTATATTTACTTGGGAGATGATTGAGGCTGAATCTACATTACACGCTGTCCTGATGAAGTCTTGCGAGAGAAATGCCTAGTACCAACCTTCAAGCAGTCCTCCATCAATGTTATGGTCTGGGCTTGCATTATTCAGGGGCGCAAGGGGCCATTAATTGTGTTGGCATACCCAGGAGGAAGAGGTGGGGGTATGAACACTGCTAGATATCGGGAACAGGTGTTGGATGGGGTTTTTTTGGATTGGTATAAAGAGATGAAGCTATAGAGGGGTCCCATTACCTTCCAACAGGACAATGCTCCATGCCACACCAGCAAATCAATTCAATGATGGTTCACTGATTATGAGATACCACTTCTCTTCCATCCCCCCAATTCCCCAGATCTCAATCCCATTGAATGTGTTTGGCATGAGCTCAAATCTGCTCTGTGTAATCTCAGGCATCCTCTGAATACCCAAGAACAGCTTCAAGCTGCTGTCCGTCATGTGTGGGATGAATTACCTATAGAAGATGTGAACAAGCACATCAATTGGATGCCAGACAGAGTTGAGGCTGTCTTGGCTGCTCATGGTGGATATATGAGTTTTTAAATACATAGATAGCTAGAATAGATATCTAATACATTGTATATACAGTTGTAGTGCCATCTGTTCCATAGACAGTCAGTTGTCTCTTCCTCGAATCAATGCGAGTCATGTGATACAACACGCTGCGCATCTGGCGCTGGTTACTTATTGTGGGCATGAGTGTGCAACTCACTGGCTCTCTTTATCTTTATTGCTTTTCTTACTTTGTTATCTGTTAGAGATATTCAACTTCTGTGACATTCCACCTTCTTACTTGGCCTTTTTTATACATTTCTGACATCCCCTTCACCTAAGCTATCCATACATACCATCCCCATCCTCTAACTCTTCCTATTCATCCTTCCACC